TCCATTCATCTCCTTCCTTGATGCGGATGTGGGCGTACGCTGTCGGAAGGTCGAGACGCGTGAAGTATTGTGCCCCTGACAGTTGATCTCGAAGCCTCGAGATCAGTGGCAGTGGGTAGCGGTTCTTCACCGTTTCGCCGTTCAACTGTCGGTAGTCCACACACATCCTGAGTTTCCCATCCTTCTTTGGAACGAAGAGGACTGGGTAGCCCGCTGGAGATGTCGATGGTCTGATGTGTCCTATCTCGAGGTTCTTTTCGAGATAGCTCCTCAACTCTGCATCTTGCTTCTCGTTGGTGTGGTACACCTTGAAAAATTTCAACTGGGCGCCTTCCTTGAGTTTGATCTCGTGATCCCAAGGTCCGTGGTCTGGTAGCCCTGCAAGATGTTTTGCCGTGAACGCCGGGTGTCCCTTGTAATCGTCTGGAATCTGTCCCGTTTTCGCGTTCTTCGCCGTACCTTCGTAGTACGCGAACTTGCTGTTTCCAGGCTCGATGCTTGCTGCTTCGAGTTCCCTGACTTCTTCTGCTGCCAGCTCGATGTTTGCCGCTTCGAGCTGATTGACCCATTGTTCGTGTTTGAGCATTCCGTGCTCGTCGACTGAGACGACGGCGATGGTTCGTTCCTCCCGTGTCTGCTTCTTTCGTCGTGTGCCGCTTCTTCCGGACTCCAGAGTGCGTGGTTCTGCACTGGCTGCTTCCTGCGGTGGGCCCGTAGAGGGGGTTTGTTCTGACCCGCTACTCTCCCGTGGCTCCTGTTCTGCGCGTTCTCCCATCGAGTTGGTCGGATGCTCCCGCTGTTCCCGCGGTCGCAGATGGCCATCTCCCTTCCAACTGATGTCTGGGTCGTAATCCTCATGCCATGGGCGTCCGAGAATCATGTCTTTCTTCGGTCCCATGTTCACGATGTCGAACACCACTTGGGTGGTTTTTCCTTCCACCTCAATGTCGAGTGGTTCTGTCTCTCGTCGTACCCATTGTGTGTCGAATGGTCCTTTGACGACGTGTGGTTGTTTCTTGATCCTCCATGGGATTCTGAGTTGATTCACAAATGTGGGCGCAATGAGATCCATCTGCGCTCCTCCGTCCACTAACGCGAGGGCTTCGATCTTCCCCCATCGCGCTGTGATCCAGAGCCTGTTGTCTGGCTTGGTGCTTCGTACAGCAGCTACTTCGTGTTCGTCTGCTGGGAGGTCGTTGTAAGGCTTCTGCTTGCGCCAGTTCTTCCTGTACTGCGCAGCCTGTCTCCGTTGTTGTGGAGTTAGAGGTTTCCGGGCCCCTCGGAGGGCCCTGAGCCGTTTCCCAAGCTCTCGTGGTGTTTCAAGGCGTCCCTGTCCGCACCTTGGCTTGCGGCGTCAATCGTCTGGTGTTCTTGGAGCCATTGGGCCGCCCATGCCTCAACTGGGCGCCTCTCGTTCCTTCGGGACGCTCTCGTCCTCTGGTGTGGCTTCCTCTGGGATTGCTGTTCCATGTATCCCCAGATTTTCTCGTCGGCGTGTGGTAGGCAGTCTGCGCTTCGGCATTCGTTGACTCCTACGCCCGCCATACAGCGTCGGGGCCAGGCTGCCTTGGGTCTAACCCTCAGCCTGCCCTCGTGAGTGCGTTGGGTGTCCCACAACATGCCTGCGGGAGCGTCGCCGCTGTCGTATACCCATCTGATGGGTAGGGGTTGCATTCCTTTTTCTTCCCTCGTGGGCCAGAAACTGTTGCGAAATTTGTCCTGGAAGTGGTACCGACATTCGTGCGCGATGCACTGGAACCAGGGCAGGTAGATGTGACTTTCTTTTCGTGGGTTCACCCGCTCGTGGTCTTCTGGCAACAACTGGAATCCCTCCGTGTTGTTCTCGCCCCGGAAACCCCACCATTCAAGGTCGGAGGTTTGTCGCCCGGTGCGCACGATGTGCTGATGTCGAGTCCAGTATTCTTCCCAGTTCTGTTGTTTCCTTCCTTTCGCCGCATTCTGCTCCTGTGCGTAGTCGAAAAGTTGCTCGGGATATCGCACTCCGTTTTCGTATTCCTCCGCCTCTTCGGTGGGTCCATCCCACGGTGTGTGATGCGGAAGTGCCTGGCGGATGTCGTCCTGCAAGGCCTGTGCCTCTCTTAATGTCTTTTCGACGTGATCCCCGGCCCTGTTGTTGGCCTCGGTGATCTCTTGGACTCGTTCTCTGGCGAAATCGAGTTCCGCGCAAAGTTGTCCATACTGGTCGTTCCTTGCTTGGAGAAGCTGCTCGAGTTCTTCTTTCTCTCTCGACAACTCCTCGATCCTTTGCCGTTGGCTTAGGACCCTCTGCTGTAGGAAGGTGAGGTTCGGGCTGACTCCTCCTTCACCCTCGTGGGTTCGCCATTGCCCGTCCTCTTGCTGAACCAGGGTGATGCCCCAGTCCTCAGCGACTTGTCGGATGTACCGCGGGGGAGCCAGTTCTCCCTCGTCATCCGTTTCGATGAAAGCGTGATGGGCGGTGTCATTTCCCTCCTGGTGGTTGCTGCTCCTCAAGTCTTCTTGATCCGAGTCGGTGAGTTCATCGTCCTGCTCGATGACTCGGTCAATGTCGATTTCGAGGTCGTCCTGCGTGTAGCTGGCGGCTGCGACCTCCAGAAACCGGGTTCTTCTTCCGACCGTGTCTTGGTCGATGGTGGCAGCTTCCTTCCCTGGAACCGGTCTCCACTCTTTCTTGCTGCGGCAGTCACGTTTGAAGTGACCCTTCCTTCCGCAGTTGTAACAGGTGATGCCTGATTTGTCCTTGGCACCATCTCTCTTTCCTGCCCACTGTGCCTGGGCAGCGCTGACGTCCATGGGTCCCGAGTGCGTGCCGTATGACGTGCTCTGGTGCTGGCGTTTCTTTTTGTCGTTGGGCTTGTGGTAGCCTGGGGATCGCTGAATCTCGCTGCCCTTCTTCTGTTGTTTGCGGGCGAACTGTCGGTCGTCAATCTTGACAGCCATGGCGATGTACTCGTCGAGCGTGTCGGGTCGGCTCTCCTTGTAGAGCTCGTCCTTGACCTCCTCCTTCAGCCCTCCGTAGAACAGGTGCATCAGCCCCTCGTCGTCTATCTCTGCCTTCATGGAGTCTTGTCGGAAAATCGTGGCGTAGGCGGTGGCTGACCTAGTCTGCTTCAGCCGTCCTAGCCGTTCCTGGGCGTGCAACTTCTCGTCCTTGTCGCCGAACACCTTCTGAATCTCGTTCTCGAACTCGGAGTAGTTCTCGAAGACCTTTTTGGTGAAGGGTTTGTGGATTGCTCCGCCGAGGAAATCACTCAGTGTTCCCGTGAACCACTTGAGTGCCTTGTCCTTGAGTCGGGTGGCGGCGTATCTGGTCTTGGACTCCTCGGTGGCGAATTGGTGCGAGTTGTGGTCGAGGTAGTTCCGCATCGCCGTGATCCAACCTGGCAAGGCTTCCTGGTCGCCCCCGTACTTCTCGGGTTGCTCCAATTTGACCTTCGTCTTGGCCGGGTCCTTGGTGTGGACCTCGGTCGCCGCAAGTCGGGCTGCCAATGCCGCGTTGCTGGCCTTGGTCTTCGCAAGCTCTTCTTCAGTTTCATCGAGTCGTTCGGTGACTCTCTGAAGCGCGGCCGTGATCTGGCCCGGCGTCGGTTGAGTCGCCATATCGTTTTACCTTCGAGCCTGAACTGTAACAGATCAAAGGGAGTTAGCAACGTGTGACGAACCTGTCTCTGGACCCGTCCTGTTAGGGTTCAGTATCGGTCGAAGGTATTCTCTCAAGGGTGCTTAGGTTCGGTGCAGCCAAAAGGTGCACAACAAAGACTTGTCTCAACAGTAGGCTCTCGATCTTGTAGCGAACTGTAGTTGTGATTGCTAACTGGAGAACTCCCAGAGCTCTCCAGAACGAGTGACTATATACTATCTAAGTCCATAGGTACCTTCGTACTTTTCCCTAGGAACATAGGGAACGGTAGCCGTTCCCTTCGTTCCTTATGGCACCTGAGGAACGGTAGTCGTTCCCTCCGTTCCTCTGCTGATTGGCCGGAGGCCCATTCTTAATGATTGGCTTGGGGCGCTTCCCGCGCAGCCCCCACATAGCCCTGCATGCGACCATGACCGTGACACCTAGGCCCTATAATAGTAGTTAATTTAGTAGATAGACTACTATTATTTTAGAAATGCCTCTATATTTACTATCTTAACTACTAGAGTTAGATTTACTACTTCCTTCTTATATACCTACCAACTAAGGTATAGTACCGAATTTAGCCTAGCGGTCTTAGTAGTAAAAAGCTAAATCCTATAAAACTTATTTATATAGGTTTAACTAAAAATGGGCTTACCTACTCACAGCCGCACCTAGAAGTACCCGGGCCTACTTATACTACTACCTTAAAAACCGGTATAGGGTAGGCCGGTTAGGGCTAAGCGGTATAGGGTAAGCTGTTTAGGAGCTAACTACGGTATAGGGTAGGTTGCTTGGGATGCTAAGCGGTGTAGGGTAGGCCGGTTGGGAATAACCGGGTATAGGGTAGCTCGTTTGGGAAACCCAGGTGCAGGGTAGGTGTAGGGTAGCTCGACTTGGGAGAAACCAACACTTAGTAAAAAGAAGAACTAACCTTCTTCAAACTAAGATAACTGGCCACCCAGTAATCGTACCGCTACAACCAAGATACCAGTATATAGCTACAGGCTATACAAATTCAATTACAGTACTGTAGAGCCCCCCAGATAGCCACAGCACTAGTAATCTGAACTCTAGGGTTCAATAGTTATAACTAAAGATATTTCCTAGAGGGGTATAATTATAATTATAGGTACATCGACATTATGATTAGTTATATGATTTATTAAGTAGTAACGATGGTTATCTCTCTAAACTTTGTAATTAGAGATATATAATTAGCTCTAGAAAGCAATATCGCTTTAATTACAATGAGGTTTAATTGTACAGTAGGTTATAATACTTATTAACGAGACGGTCTCTTAAGGCTGAGATGCTATTCCACCCAGACTACATGTGCCGCGGTTTGGACTGCTGTTTTTGGCCTGCGCGTGGCCTCAAGTTTCCGCAGTCCTAGGCCGCCCCCATAAGTACATCTCGGGCGGGCAACATACATATCACTCTCGGTGTTAACAGAACCCGCGCAGTCTAAACCCCTGGCACACATGCAAGCGCACATCTCATCAGGTTGGCGGGAAGCCGAACCCATCGCGGTTCACACTTGCGGCGATGAAGGCCACGAGCTTGGCTTAAACCTGCCATGCTTGCACCTCCTCGCATTTTCATTCCTGAGATCCTTTCGACACTATTTCGATAATTGCTTCTGCACACAATCAGTTACAGGCTTTTGGTGAGCGACTTCGATCGAACGAGTATGGCTCGGCTGACAGATGATATACCTACAGGTAGGTAGTGTTCTACAAAATCGGACTTCACGTCAGCACTACGGCCCGAAGATGGAGACGGACAGTGATAGAAAACCGAGCGCCACACCCAAGACAACCGCCGTGGCTATGGGGGCACCATTGGACCACACCGAAATGAGCGATGTGGAGACTCTTTCCGCAGTAATAGGAACACCGCCGGAGATGGTGGGTGCGTCGGAGAAGACAAAGGTTGGCAAAGGAAATGGCGACCGGGGTCGTTCTCGCTGAAGGTATAGATCTCTAGTAGGATTTATAGCACCGCGCTTGTGAAATATGGCATCCGACTCCGCGTAAGTAGGTACTAGGCATTACTCAGTTCTTAGAGGCAACCCCTCTCTAATTTCTTTTTTCGAGCTACCATTAAATGAATGCTATACTAGTACCTCGTTGAGTTTTGCGGTGTTGCGCCCCATGCCCAAGGAGAATCATGACGACGCCTTGTAAGTCCTCCTTCTGAATGAAAGTTGCACCACCTGGTTGTCCTCGCCCGAGGTAAAGAGGAAAGGCGGTGGGATTGAGGCCATCAGTTGAATATCACCTTCCGAGATTTCTTGCGGAAGAATGGGGATCAAGTGCAACACTTACACGCGTTCACCTTTCCCTCGTGCATATAGCCCACAACACCGACGTCCTTCAAGTTTCGTTCCAGCGTTGCAAGAGCGATGATTTGGCTCCGTCGACCGCGGTAGGGGTTTTCAAAGCCTTAGCTGAATAGGATCCGAGTAGAGGCAACCCGCGTACAGCGTACTAATGCAGGAAGATGTGGCCACGACCTTGGCTCGGAGACCCTGTAGCAAATGAATTCAGTGGCAGCGGGACCCTGTCGCAGACGGAGTCGACTGGGCCTATAACTTCCAGGTCAAGTTCCAGCCCCTCCTGCCCTTCGACACAGACAGCTGCTACAACGTCCTCGCTCTGGACAACCACGGCACCGCGTCCGAAGGGTTTGAGCCCTCATCCGACGTCGGCACCTGTCGCCCGCGCTCGGCCCTTGACCGCAGCGGCTAGAACGTCTACATCCGGGGCCGCTGCAACCGCGGCTGGTGCGCCCTCGTCTACGCCTACGACTTCCAGATGGACTGGGCCTGGGCCTGGCCCTTCGGCAGCTACAACCATCGCCACAACTGGGAGCACGTAGTGGTCTGGGCCAAGATGGGCCAGGTGCGCAGCGTGTCGGTCTCCTGCCACGGCGACTACGAGAGCCGCGTGGCCGAGGACGACAGGCTCCGCTTCGGCTACACGCCCAAGGAGTTCCCCTACTACACCTCGATGCCGACGCCCGCAGCCACGCACCCCAAGGTCGTGTTCCACAAGGATAACGTCCGCACGCACTGCTTCCGCTTCGCCAAGGACAGTAACGACTACGAGGGCCAGGAGAACGACCAGGGCGTGTGGATCTGCAGCGGCCTGGTGGGCATGCTGATGATGCCTACGGATTGGGTCGAGAAATTCAGGTCTCACGACTGGGGCAGTGCGTACCTCGCCTGGGCCAAGGAGGACGACTTTACTGGGCACCTTATCGAGACGATGCCGCAGGAGGCGAGAGACGATGAATTTGATTGTACCTATAAGTAACCCGAGCGCCAAATGTACCTACCTAGGTAGCCATCCCGGTTCTCGACGAATTTGTCTACACAGTCAATGCGTCAGCGTCCAGGACCAGATGGCATATCCGCGCCCAGGCGCGATGGCAAGTCAAGCACGAGAAAAAGCCACTTACTTACATGTAGATTGAGGGAAGCCGAGACCTCCTGATCCTCGTTGCCGTTCCTGCACATACACATATTTCAGCAGGGGATCGGAATGTCATGCAAAGCAAAGGCAGCGACCTGCAGCTACTGTCTGTCAGTCGTACATAAAGTGGCCAATCCCTTCACGACATGACCGCAGTCCCAGGCTGCCCTCCTCCCGCAACCCATTCACCCCGTGCCGTATTGAATGAGTATCGGGATTGGGGACTGAAAGCGACTGCTTTGCCAGATCGGCAATCGAGGTCTTGTTCGGGGCTCTTGGCATGCACAGGCGGCTTCGTTGGGGGCCAAAATACAGTTCAATACTGAGGTGGTTTGTTTGTTAGTTCGAAACCTTAGGTACCGGGTAGACAGGGGCCTGGTCCAAAAAGTGAAAACCCCTACCTCAACAGCCCAGCAACCGTTTAAAATGGAAGAAAATGCGATATCTAGAATTATTCTAGCAGACTCTGACAGCTCAGGTCTTTTTTCTGTTCAAAAATGCACCGTTCTGCCGTTGAGTTGGAAATTTTAACAAGGACCCCGGTCTTCCAGTCACCCGCTCGCGAACAAACCAGGGGTGGACTGTAACCGCCGAGCTGCTCCGCCGCACATGTGCACCAACAGACAGCGGATGGGACGGTTGATGCCCCTGCGTTTCTCACCGATCGCGTTGAGACGGTCCGCCCCTGGTTTCGGGGTCCTGGCCAAAACCTCAAATACCACGGCACAACAGCGCATTTTAAAGCAGAAAAAAGGTATTGGTTGGAACAATCTTCCTAAGTATTCATACGTCCAGATGCCATATTTTCTTCCACTTTGAATGGTTGTTGGATTGTTAAAGGGGAAGGTTCTGAACCTGGGACCAGGACCCCTGTCAAAAGTGTCGCCAACGAACAATGCAGGGTTGAAACTGCCCTGTTATTGGGCAATTATTACAGGGCGACTTTGTGGAGACTTGGTCGCGGGCGCCTCTCTACTTGTATGTTAGGTATCCCCTCTGATCTGCCTGCGCTGGCGCCGTCGGATCTTTGTTCCCTGGTTCGGCCGTCTCCCAGCGCCATTTCCCAGGTCGATTAGCCCGAGATCAGTCAACATGGCCGGTGTCTTCTCAACGCCGCCATACAGTGACCATTCCAACCTCGAGGTTGCCCCAGCGGGACTTGAGCCGGCCCCCGGTCACCAAGACTGGAGTGACTCGTCGCAGAAGGAGCTTCACTACCAACGGGCTTGGGCTGACGTCTCGAACGGAACCGTACCGCAAAATGATGAGCCCAAGCAAAGGATACTGGGGCTGTCGGTGAGACGGTTTTGGGCAGTTGTCATTATCTTGGTCGTGGTTCTTGCCGCTGGAATCGGGGGCGGGGTTGGCGGTGGTCTGGCGGCGCAAAGGCAAACGAGCTCGTCCAGGTGAGAGAGCAAGCCGAGTGTCTTTACCGGGTTGCAATGGCAGAGCTGACACGGTTCCTGCGCAGCCCGGTCGCACCCGACCAAGCGGCCGGGTCTTCATCGACACCATCGCCATTATCGACATCATCGACATCGTTAGAGCCCGCAGGGATATCGACAGTATCAACGTCATCCGAGTCATCGACCAAGACCACGTCGAGCGCATCGCGCGCGAGCTCCGAGGCGCCCACCGACGGCGGCTGCCCCGACATCAACGGCTCGTCCTTCACGCCGCGCGACGCTTCGGGCAAGACGATGCCGCTCAGCGCGGGCGAGCCCGCGCAGTCGTTCCTGCGCTACTGCAGCACCAACTGGCCGTCCGGGGCCAGGTACGGCAACCCGGGCCTCCGCGACATCATGAAGGTGTACCAGCCCAGCCTCGAGGACTGTATCGCGGCCTGCGCGTCGTACAATGTGAACTACAAGGCCAACGCGGGCGGCGACTTGACCGGCTTGTGCCGTGCTGTGACTGTGGTCAAAATGGGTAAGTTGGGTCCTTTATCAGTTGTTGCGCTATCTTGTTGGCCAAGGTTGGAGATGAAGCTGACTGATGGTGGTGTCTAGATGGGGAATTTTGTTATTTGAAGAACGATACCGGCAGTATTGCGTTTGTAAACTCGAAGCAGCCGGAGTTGTTTTCGAGTGCGGTGCTTTTGTCGTCGAGCAATGGCGGTGATTAGGGACTTCGGTGAAGCTTTGAATGCTAAGGGAGCTGAGCACCTGGGAAGATTAGTGAGCTTAGGTATAGGAGAGACTGAGTACCCCCCACGTGCCCACGACCATAAAGTCGCACTCCTGCCCACACCACGGCCCCCCCCCCCCACGCGCTCCCTCCCTCCGCATTCCAAGAGTCTCACCCTCACCCTCATTCTCCCGGAAACTCACAACATCATCCAACACGTAGCCTGTATCCCCGCGGCCCCGCGCACCGCCCACCCCTGGACCAACTCCCGGCCCCGGCATCGGTCGGCCGACGAGTGGTCGGGATTCGGCGCCAATGGCCAGTGGGGATGCCGGCGCCTGCTCACCGCGGGCTACCACCTGCATCGGGCAGTGCGCAGCGTGGGCGCGCTGCCGGGGACGTGCAGCGCCCTCGTGCTCCACACGCTGCCGCCTCTGCGGGACGACGCCTGCAAGCTCGCGGGGTTGCTGAAGGGGCTACGCGAGCGGGAAGGGAAGAAACCGGGTGCGGCGGTCGACCTCGAGTGGGAGCTGCCCGAGGATGATGAGAGCCTGGAGAACTGGGAGGTGAAGGGGTACGGTTCGGCGGCGGTGCGGCGGGCTTGCGCGGAGGCCACGCGGTGTACGTGGGCGATCACGCGTGGGAGTCACAGGGTGGTTGAGGGTCTGTGGAGGCTTCGGCAGGATCTCTACCACCTGTCGCATATGGTGTCGGTGGTGCTGCTTGGGTTGCAGGACGAGGAGGGCCCCAAGGCGCTCCCGGATTGTAACACCTGCGCAGATCATGTGTTTCCTATCTTAAAAGAGGCAGAGCGTTCACTCGGGGAGGTCGGGCGTATGGTGGGCGCAGATATCAATATGATATGGAAATCCACTGCGGGGATGAGCGAACGCGGAGAGCCTCAGCGGGTTCCCATGTCTTTACAACCAACAAAACAAGCAAACGATTTGACCGACCGAATAGGCGAGGTTATCAGCCGGTATTCGTTGTGGAGCCAGGTTATTGAGGATGTGCAATATGCCTTCCGTGAGTGCGAGCTGCATAGGGAGCCGTAGAGGCGGAATCGGAGAGAGAAACAACGTAGTACCTTAGATAGCTAACTGCGGGTAACCATCAAGAACCTGAACATTGAACTGCGGAACGAAGCAATGGGCACAATTACGAATCGAACAGAGGGTACGCGCGAAGAGAGGAAAAATGATCAATTCAACTAGGTACTAACTAGACTTAAGTAGGTACGAATGATGACTGATGCTCCTTCTTTGCGAAAGGATTGCTCCCTTATAGAGTTGTCCTAAGTTGGAAGTGACGATGTTCCATTTGGTGGGGAGGGTGGCATAGCCTGTTGATCTGGCATAGCATCTTGGCCTCGGCATAGCATACCACTAAACTGATTTTCCCCCTACAGTAACCAAGGCATCTAAGGACCTTTTTAATGTTCTGTTGTTTTGGTAATATTTCCCTATTAGTTTTCCCTATTACCTTTATCTTTCAATTGTTCTTTCTACCGAAGAATGTGTTTAGAGAGTAGTAGGGAGGTACCTGCCTACTGGTTGATAGAGAGAAAGGACTTTACGTCTATTTCCTACCTCTGTCCCCCATTTTGTATTTCTACCTTTTTACCTATAAAGCTTTTACTTAGATGGAATTAACGGAATATTGTACTCAGGGTTTGAATAGGGAGGTTATTGAACTAGCTTAAGTAGGTATGGACCATTAGCCTACGAAGTAGACGGGGAGGCGTTTTAATTTTTCGTTTTCTACTATACTCTCTCACACTCCCGGTTCTTGTGTTTGTTTAGATGCCTAGTTGCCGACTCCGACCTCTTAGGGGTTCAAGATCAAATACCGCGGCAATTCCATTCTTTCGCCACAATATTATCTACGAAACGTAGGTACCCAGGTAGTGTCTTTGTTAGTCGTAGGACAGTATAGTTTCTTAAACATTGCTTGCTCTAACTCTTCGGTAGCCGCGCAACTATCGAGCTCTTTGTTACTCTGATTTTCATTTTCCTAAACCAAGCGCTAATAGACAATGGAAATAATCGTAGGGCAGCTCCACGTTACATATAAATACTATTACATTAAACTTTCCGAGAGTTAATACCTTCAACCAAACATCCACCCCTCATCTCACGAAACAAGGCAACGAAACAGTTAGAAACAGACAGTTTATTTAACAGCTCAGCGTTACAGCCCAGTGTTTGAACCAGTAAACATGTTTGAATCTCGTCAGTTATCTTATTTCGACCTGGTGGTGCATTCCATCGAGTGTAACCGAAGGGGTCTCACCGACGCGTTCGGGACATCCGATCTCAAACACCGAGTTAAATCGTACCTAGACGAGCTCACCGCGAAGAGCGAGCACACGAAGCCCATTGCCACCGCCATCACCGAGAAGCTCGTCAAAAACTTGCCCTTAATCAAACACAGCAAGCACAACAACGCCGCCATCCACCACATACCCACCACCATCACGCAGCACACCTGCCCGGCCGACGACACCCTGACCCCGCACAACGTCGCGCTTACTCTCATCCACCCGGTAACCGCCAACATCATGGAGCACGCGGCCTGCATCCCCATGCTCTCGCGTACGCTGGAGTCCTGGATCAGCGTCAGGCCGTGGTTCCGGCCCGCCGATAGCTGGCTAGGGCCGAAGCCGGATCCTACAGTAGTATGTATGTGGAACGAGCGCGACCTGATCGCGCTGGCCTACCACCTGCACGAGACGGCGGGCGCCGTGCGGGCGCTGCCGCGGGCGTGCACCAAGCTCGCGCGCGACCGCCTGCCGCCGCTGCACAGCGCGGCCCGCGAGCTGGCGGGGCTGCTGCAGAGGCTGGCCGAGCTGGAGGAGAAGCAGCCCGGCGTAGTGGGCGCCCTCGGGCAGGAGATGCCGCGCAGGGTCGGGGACTTGGCGGAGTGGGAGGCGAAGGGCTCCGAGTCGACGGCGCTTCTGCGGCGGGCTTGGGCGGATACGAAGCGGTGTATGAACAGGGTCCAGGCTACGTGTTCTTGGATGCTGTTGGATACGCAGTCGTTGTCGTCCGATATCGGGGGGCTGGGGAGTATGGTAAAGATGCTGCTTGAGTGGGAGCGAAGGAAGGTGGTTACCAAGTGGCTGGGGAGCTGTGTATGGTGTGCGGGTCAACTGGTTGCGGTCTTGCAGGAGGCGCGGTCTTCGATTGAGGAGGTGTATAGTGTCGTGTGGGCGGATATCACCTTGTTTAAGGAGCTTATTGGGATCACAAACCGGGCCCGCAGTGTTCTGCGGATTTCGCAGATTTTATCCGACTTTAAGGAGGCGACGCGACAAGCAAACGATATGGTGCGGTGCACCGGGGAGATGATGAACCGGTTTTCGTCGTGGAGCGAGACTATTGAGGGTGTGCAATATGCTTTCCGAGAGTGGGAGCTGCATGGAGAGACTGGAACTAGAGGCGGAATCGAAGAGAAAAACTGAGTTGGACTGTTTGTTTATACAGATGTAATTGATTGAAAGAAATTGCCAGCTGCAATGTTTCACAAGATTACCTTGGTGTTAGTGTCGAGGACCCCGTCAGAGCCAACATACCTATATAACCGTGTCATGATCATCGTCTTTGAACGGGCGATTGTAGCATTTTCCGTGGACATTTTGATGGCAAAGCCCGTATTTGGAGCGTATTCAGGCTTTCTTCAACAAGCTCGATAATTAGTACCCAAATACTAATGTCCTAATTAATGTCGCCCCGCCCCCTTTATGCTGCAATCTCATTCACCCTTTTCTCCCTACCTTGAATATCATACACCACCAGTCCTATACCTACAGCAGCTCTCCCCGCAGAGACACTCCTTGTCTAGACCGCGCCAGTAACTCTCAGAATAATCCACCGTGATCTCCTCGCCGGCCCCAATCCCCTTACTCACCAACACAATCCGCTCGGTGCTCATCCACACAAAGCTCTGGAATTGCGCATTGGGTCTGCAACTGTGGTTCACAAACCGCGTGTAGTTGCCCTGCCTGCCCTGCCAGATCTGGTAAGGGTGACTGGCCGTCGAGCTGTTGAACACATCCACATCTTGCAGGCCGTTGGTGACGAAACCCACAAACTCGCCCACCGCCATGCCGCGGTCGAACGGCGTCAGCGCCTGCAGCCCGTTGTTCCGTCCGTTGGAGGTCCGGAACACCTGGACCGGGGTAGCCGCCCGCGGACCCCCGAACAGAACGGGAAAACAATAACACCCGTTCAGCTTCGCGTCATCCGACTGTTGTTGGCCACAGCTGCGACACGTAAATGTCACTACACCAGGCCCCGCCGTCGTAATAGGCGGCGGCACCCAGCGCGGATCATCACCCCCCCAGGCGCGAACATCAACCACCGACTCATCGAGATGCTCAAAACTAAACCCCGGATCACGCCCCAGATAGGTAGCGCGCAGCGGCACGGGCTCGTCGGAGCCACCACCACCACCACCGCCGCCGCCGCCGCCGTAGGACGGGAAGACGACCCAGTCGTGGGGGTGGCCGACGAAGCGCGGCGCGCACGGCTCGCCCACGACGCCCAGCAGCCGGCGCCAGCTCGGGTGCAGCGTGTCGGCGGCCACCTCCAGCCGCGGCCGGAGCGCTTGCAGGCGCTGCGCCGTGCTCTCGCCGTCGAAGCCGATGCGGTACTTGCAGAACCGGTAGATGCCCATCCCTGCGAATACGAGGGCCGCCCAGCCGCCCGCGTCTTTGATCTCCTTGTAGCCGGCCCAGATGCGCATGCGGTTGCGCATGTCCTTTTCGGTCCAGCCGAAGTCGTGGCAGGCTTCGAGGAGGGCGGCTTTTCGGCACTTTTTGGTGGAGAGGGATGGGTTGGACGAGGCGACGGTCTCGACGTAGGCCTCGAAATGCTCGATCCAGCGGGCTTGGACAACCACCTCGATGGATCGGCAGGTACGGCTGGCCTGGGTGACTCGGCGACAGAAGGAGTTGCTTTGGTTGAAGGACCCGCTCACCTCGGCTGGGCCGGCCGCGGCGGGCAAGAGACCGAAGCTACTGGGGTTGTGGCCCGTGGTGTGATCGGAGATGGCCCGGGGCGCCGGAACGTCCGCTGTGGTTGCGGCTGAAGCGGCGGCCTGCCATTGCTCCAGGATGCTTTGGGGGTCGAGATCGATCCCGCCGTAGATCTGCTCCCATATGCCCACGATGAACTTGTCTAGAGAGGCTTCCCGGAGAGTAGCGACAGCGTCATCATCGACTTTCATCCGCTTGGGGAAGCTGCGCGCGGGGACCTGCATCTGACGCTGGCTGTCGACGCCATCTATGACTGTTATCTCGGGACGAGCAGGCCGTAGCCCGCCGATTCCTTTGCGTCGAGGGTAGCTTTCGCTGGGCGAGTCCGACCGAGGACTGGGCGGCTCGGACGCGCAGAGAGTTGGCGATGGCGACAGGTGCTCCGGTTTCGTAGATGGTGATGGAGATGGTGCAGGGGGTGGAAGGGGCGCAGCCGGTACAAGGGGTGCAGTCGGCGCGGGTGGTACAGGGAGTTCCTCAACGCTTGCGCGGGCTCCCGACAGGTCCAATCGCTTCTGTCCAACGTTTCAGAATGTCAAAATGACCCGTGGTGTCCGTGTAGCCTGACTGCGAAGACTCACCGAAATAAGCGGCCTGCGCGTGGCCGGTACGACATCATGTTTGCTGCCGTGGCTGTCGTTGCCCCCATCATCAACCGCGTCATCTAAGAACAACTCGAAGCGTAATACAGGACGGTTCAGGCCGTCTATGGATGACAACCCCCGTAGTGCCTCGGTGACATGCTCGAGGATGTCACTGCTGAGACTCTGGCAAAAGGACTCGAGCTGTGTGGGAATTTCCATCTTCCCCAACCTTTTGGATGACAAGGGAGACTTGGAGAAAGCTCCGATGGAGGTCGCTGAAGGGGGGCGGCTGAATCAGGAATTCTGCCCGGGCAGCAGAAGCCGGGCTCCACCTCCCGCCCCAACCCTTTTGCCTCCTGACCAACCCCGACGGGGACAGGGGTCTCCCCGTCCGATGGAATGCGAGAAACATATAAGTGAGAAAGATGTTCCTCATCCCGAGTTCGCTCCCTCCTCTCCAGACTTGACCAACCTCTGCTCTCTTCTGTTTCTGACCCTGAGCCCTATCCTTCAACCTGATAAGAGGTAATGTTACAGCAGGGCTCGCCGGAAACGGAACCAAAAATGGCTTCGTCCACGCCTGCGAGCCAAGACTCGGGCACGGCTGCGGCAGCACCGGGGAATGAGGACACGTTCGAGCCCCTGGGTAGACAAGAAACCAAGGCCTCTTACTCGTACGTCGGCCTCAAAGGCTGGCGTCGCTGGAGAGCCCTGCGCCCTGGCCGCGGTATCTATCACGACATCAAGAGGAGACTTCCATACTACTGGAGCGACCTTTCCGACGCCTGGACATACCGGACCATTGCCAGCACCATCCGCATGTATTTTGTCAAGTAGGTCATCCATCGACTGCCTTTTTCTCTTTGTCTTTACTGTCTCCTTCTTTTTCCCTTTGCCTCCGAACCGGTTCTAACAACCACAGCCTGTTGCCGGCCATCGCCTACACCCTTGACATGTACAGACGCACCGGCGAGTTCTTTGGGGTGAACGAAGCGCTCTTCTCATCGGCCCTAGCGGCCATCGTTTTCAGCGTGCTCAGCTCTCAGCCCCTGACTATCGTCGGCGTTACCGGCCTCATCTCACTATTCAACTTTACCATCTATGACATCATCAGCATCTACGATGTTTCCATCTATCCCCAGTTCATGGCCTGGACCGGCATATGGGCAGCCATCTTCCACTGGCTCGTGGCCATCCTCAACGGCTGCGACTACATGCGCTACGTGACCGACTTCTCGAGCGAAGCCTTCGGCATGTATGTTGGGATTATCTACATTAGTAAGAGCGCACGACCAAGTAACGGTAATTACCCTGCTGACAAAAGTCGAACAGTCAAGGGGGTTGAAGAGCTGGTGAACGAATTCGATGAGTATGGGCCCACGGCCGGGTACTTGGCTTGCATGATCGCCATCCTGTACTTTTCGTCCGTCTACGCCCTTGAGAAACTGGGGAGCGGCAAGATCTGGAGAGCGGGATTTCGAGGGATCCTCGCCGACTACGCCTATGTTGTACGTGTCCTATCTCAGCCCTCCTCACTTTACATCAAGTCTGACAAGCTTCAGTTTTGCACTGTCTTTTGGGTTGGCTTCTCGCATATCCCCGGAAGAATCGAGTTCACAAATGTCGGCCGAGTGCCGGTTACGGATGCCTTCGCTCCAACCCAGCCACGAAACTGGCTGATCGATTTCTGGAATCTTGACGTTGGCTGGATCTTTGTTGCCATGCCCTTTGGTTTCTTGGTTATGCTGCTCTTCTACTATGACCACGTGAGTACTACCTCGCTCGATATTATGGCCCCATCAGTGGTGAGGACAGCGGCGCTTACAAAGGTTCAAGAACGTCAGCAGCATCACCGCTCAAGCGCGGCAGTTCCCCCTCAAGAAACCCGGCGGCTTCCACTGGGACTTCTTCCTTCTCGGGTGCACCACCTTTGTCGCCGGGATTCTTGGACTTCCCATGCCGAACGGCCTTGTCCCACAAGCACCGGTACACACCGACTCGCTTACCGTCTATAAGACTTCACTCCGCATCATCCCCACTGCCGAAGGGGAGGGCACTGAAATCCGTCGTCCAGTGGTCAGTGCAGAAGCCGTGGTTGAGCAACGTGTCACGCATTTCTTGATGGGGCTCGCTCTCATCGGCACCATGACTGGGCCGCTTCTGGTGGTTCTGCATACCATGCCCGCCGCTGTCTTTGCCGGCGTCTTCTTCATTGTTGGCGTACGTCAAAAACTCCCGATTACTCGATGCATTCTCGTCCTCGCTGACTCTTCTCACAGTGGGGCTCCATCGAATCGAACGGTATTCTTCAGAAATTCATCTACCTCCAAGCCGAGGAACGCTTCATCCAGCGGGACGAGCCGCTGCTGCAAGTCCGGAAGCGCAAGATCTGGCTCTACATCGCCATCCAGTTCTCTACCGTCGCTGCGTGTGTTGCCATTTCACATACCCTCGCCGCCATCGGGTTTCCCGTGCTCATCATGTTGCTTATACCGCTGAGGATCTTGGTCATACCCAAATGGTTTCACCTGGACGAGCTCCAGGCGCTGGACGAATTCACCGCGACCAACAAGATCGTCCTTGCCAGCCTGGGTGGGATGCCCGCACTGCCCGAACACGCCACTATGGAGGGGTCGGGCCTGGAGCGGAAACGGAGCGAGCGCCGGTTTGGCATCCCGAGGCAACGGGCGGGAAGCATTCATCGGTAAAAGCATCCCCGACTTCTCGGGACCCAGTGATAACGTTGGTTTTGAGGAGGATAATATACCTAGATTAAGACGCGCCAGTGCTCGAGCATGCGTTATTATAACGTGGCTAGTCTCGAACGTAACCCTCGGAAGGGAAGCGATCGATCTTCACGTTCTCATGCAGATAGCTATAGACGTATGATTCTTCAATGGAACGAGGCTGGCCAGTCTCCTCTGCCTCATCACACACACAACATACCTTGCAGCCCGGACAGAAGCATGGCGAGTCCCACAATGCGCGCAACTCTCCGAAGTACATGCCCCTTGCTTCCATCCGTGCTTAATCCGGAGGCGGTCGTCACATCTCTCACGCTGGTTGGGGCATACGCGTATTCCCAAGCCAAGGGTATCGATCGGCATCCTCATGTGTTGTCCTGTGGCTTCGATCACCATTCAGCTCATACCAGCCCGCGTGGCGCAAAGCTATGGTTGGTGAGTTTGGGCTTGCTGGTCTTGTTAGCGACTTCTGAGATTTGCTCGCACCCACGCTTTCCCTCATATAGTCATGGGTTGTCGTGTTGTGACGGTGTGTCTCAGGGCCCCTCGCAAGGCGCTGTCGATTGTCGATCACAAGCGCAGGTCGGTAACTATTCTCCACACCATCCGACAGTGCACCCACCGGGTTAGTTATAAACATTCATGCTCACGCATAAGAAGGACGCGTCCACCCGCCCCCCCCCCCCCCCCCCTCCCCCCCCCCTTCGTCCATCAGAACACTCACCAGTTGCGTTCCTCCTCCGGTTTCCGACCACACAACCCCTCAGAGAACCATCAACAAAATGGTACCCCCGCATCCTTCTAGCACTCCTCGTCCCGTCCGCTTTCGCCATCGCAAATCCCGGAGCGGCGGCTATCGTCAAGCGTCAAGACGACGATTACGACCGCTGCGAGTGCGAGGCCCGGGGACAGGCAGTGACCTGGACCGGTGTGCAACCATCCAGCTTGATTGAAAGAATTTGTGACATCAACTTCACAAACCACACCGCCTGCTATACAAAGCCGTTTGGCCGTGTCTGTGTCTGGTCGAAGGATCATCTCGCCTGCGAATGCGCGGTTGAAAAGGCGCGCATGTTGGAGACTCAGAGAGGGGACGAGTGGTCTCTTGTAAGTATTTCCCTGTCCGTTCCCCCTTCTTCCCCCGGCGACTACCCTTGTTTGGGGATTTGGGGTGAAGGATGGCGAAACTAACGTGGTTGAGTAGATGGACATATACTGCAAGGAAACCCGCGTTGTTCTCGAGAAAGCATAATTCCCTCGGCCGGCTTAAACTCCGGATTGGCACTTGGCAAAGATAGGACGATTTAACCTTTGTTGAGCTGTTGAGCGATGGGTTATACGGGCAGGAGTAACGTGTTCAAAAAGTGCCGCGTGGTGAAGTCGTTGCTTGACCACCGGGACGTTAGAGGAGAGCTCTTGACCCGGTCCTCGTGGAGGTATTTTCGTTGGTCCGAGACCACAGCTTCAAGTACTTGCTTTACATCTCACCTTAGAACAATTTGTTTAAACTCATGACATGCAATCTGCGTATCGCAAGCGTGCAAAGCGCATCTACTTAGCTAGGACAGTTAGCTGGCACAACGGGCAGCGGTTGAAGTGCCGTGCCCGTTCGCTCTAGCGGTTGATGGCGAGGTATTCGTCACGGTACTTGGCGGGTTAACGGAGGCTCGTGGTCGAGAAAAGGGAGCTGCGTGACACCAATGCCCGAGGCAATATGGAAGAGATTCCCGAAGGCGGTGTGTTCACAAGGGTACCGCCTAGCGTGTATGGACAAATGCATTGGTTTGAGACAAGACAGCTCGGATCGACTGCGGTCGCTCTCAGCTGCCGAGAGAATCGATCGGCATTCCGAGTTTCCAGCCCGACAACCTTAAGGGCCGTCCTCTTAACGATTCACCATTCGCTTCTCGTTGCCTGCGCGCAGTTGTGCAGCGCTTTGGCAAATTGGCGGACAATTTCCCGAACGACAAGTCTTGTTGACCGTTAGAAGCATCAGAATTGCATGTCCAGCTACCTAGCCACCTATGTATTCAATACGGTGCCGTTGAAGGACTTTACAACAGGACCATCTGTGTCCCACTGCCACAGATGCTGCAAGTGACGTGTGCTTTACCCCAGACTTGTGCCGGTGTGATGTGATGTGGGCTTCCGCTCGTGCGTCGCGCCGATCAGGGCCGAAGTCTTCTCCAAATACAGCTAGTTAGCGATCGGCGCTCACATGTCGTTCGTGTCCTGGAGCTCGTCTCTCAGTCGCCGTTCAGCTCATGCTTGGGGTCCCACGTAGCGGAGAGCTTTAATTGGAGAGTTTCACGGCTGAGCTTTGCTGGCACTCCTGGACACGCCACTCCAAACTCCAAGTCTCCAACAGCCGTTGTGAATCATTGGGTTCCTGTTTGTCATCACCGCATCTCAATGCTTCCCGGTGCTGGGGATAGCTGTCTTTATGCGTCATCTGACGGTACCGGGAGGTTCTTTCGCTCTGTTTTAATCTGTAGCTACACACTCATCTTCGGTATACGAAGAGAGCTCACCCGCCTCCCCCTTACCCTCGTCCGTCGCCACATCTTACTTGTGTCACCACCTCAGAACACTTCTCAGTCGCACCTAATTCTCTTAGAAAAGCCAGGAGGGCCATCATAAAAATGGTATCCTATCGTTTTCTAGTACTTCTCGTCAAGGTCTCCCGCAACGCAAATCTCAACAACGCAATCAAACAAATCCAACGCAAATCAACGTAAATCGACCTCTAATTTAGCCAAATAACTTGTTCGATTTGCGTTGCTTGATTTGATAGATTTGCCAAGCTGTACAGAGGAAAAATGCCCTGCAAAATGCCCTGCAAAACGCCCTCAACCGCCACAACAGCCACATCCAACCCGACCCTGTATAACCGCTGGGCGCCCAGAGGCGCCTACAATAGGTAGGTGGCCCGGATTGAGCCTTCGTTTGCAGACGACAGTCGCATTGAACTGGGGCAACGAGCTCCCTCTAACCAGAGGGATATAGGGTCTGGAATTTCGTTTTTCCGTTTCTTCGTCGCGTTCGTCCGCCCGGGACGTCCTTATATTTAGTCAGAAGCTTAAGCCCTCTCAGAGTTTACAGGGTATACAATTCTATTCCTTTTTCCGCACTTGTTAAAGTAACTTCTTTTTACGGTAGTTGTAACCGCAGCCTTCTGACCAGAAGGCTACGTATATAGGTATATTAATTCTATAGTTGTAGGATTCGTAGTATTGAAGATTGTTCTTTAAGCCAATTCCTCCTTTATATAACATTGACATTATAACGCGCGTATAGTATATAACCCACTATAAGTATTTAGTAGTGTATATGGTTTTAAGGTATATCGCTACTTCAGCATCGCCACTTTTACCAGCCAACCAGCCAGCCAGCTTATAGTTGCGTAGTCAGAAAAAAACACGATTTGAAAGATCTGAATTTTATTGCGTTTTTGAGCGATTCAGCGGATTGCAAGATCGTTTAATTTGATTGCGTTTTGATGGATTGATAGATCTGATAGCTGTAAGTCAGGAAGAGCAAGGAGAGGTGGTAGTAGGGGTTAGGGTTATATATAGGATTTGATTTGACCCAAGGCAAACAAATTCAAACAAGTCAAATTTGGCTAACTCTGGGCCAAATCAAAGCAAATGGGCCTTCATATTTGGTTTGTTTGCGTTGCGGGAGACCTTGCTTCTCGTCTCGTCCGTTCTCGTTAGCGCTGCCCCCGGATTGTCCCCCACTTTGCCAATGTCGGTTGGGGCTTGAGGAATCTAATATCCTGCCTAGTGGAATTTCCGTTGTACAAATGGCAACGTTACTCTCACCCCACGAGTATGCGATAATAGTTCGGCCGATGATTCGAACACCATAGACTTGTATCCATAGCTCCCTCCTTCCCGACCTCAAAACCGGCCGCTAAGGTTAACCCGAATATTCAATGCGGATGCTCATTACCTGTCATCAATCCATTGGGAACGTGCGTGTAGACAAAAAAGCTATTGGCGGCGTGCTGTGGGCTTTCCTTCGTGCCACTCTGTCAGGCACACACGTATCTCCAAAATCAAGATATCGATCGGCAATCACATGCACTGCCTTTAGCTCCGGATTGCCATTCGGCTGGCGCCGGTCTCGTGGTGGGGGTGTTCGGTTGGTGAGTGTAGTAGGCTTCCTGGTTGTTCCTGCTGAGGTTTGCTGGAAGGTAGTGGCGCTCCCAGCCCCCTTTCCTCAACCAATGGTGAGTTGTCATCTGTCTCACAACCCCTCTTAACGCGCCGTTGATCACCAATACCGGTAACTCACTAATCTGTATTTGTACCATCTAAGATAGCATGTCCTTTCTCCCGGTTCTATTTGTATACGCTCATCTTCGCGCATAAGAAGCAAGCCGGCCTGCTTCACCCCTCCTCTCGTTCATGGCCAGATCCGGTCCGTGTCGCCTCATCACAGGATTCACCACCAGCATTCCTTGACCGTTTCCCAACTATACGATAACCAAAAGGACTGCGGTCAACAAAATGGTGTCCCTCCTGCTTTTAGTGCTTCTGATCCCGTCCGCCCTCGCCATCGCCGGCCGTCAAAACCGAACTTGCACCTGCGAAAGGTACGAGAATGAAGTGGTCTGGAGGGACGTACAACCGTCCACCCTGATCCAGCAACTGTGTGAGGAGGGTTCCGGGCGGACCCAGTTCTGCTCGGAAAAGGGATTCGCGACCGTCTGCATCGGGTCAGTGGATCGCGAGAGCTGCGATTGTATGGTTGACGCGGCGAAGAGATGGGAGAGGGAGAAGGGACCTAGCAGCTGGACTCTTGTAAGCACGCTCGCAGACCCATCAATGCCCTGCCCCCACCCCCTTCGGTGTCCCTTAGATCTTGGGAACGGCAAACGCCGGATCTAACTTGGTTCGGTAGCTGGATTTGGAATGCACACAGTCCAACGTCACTGCCGAACCGTACGGACGGGTTGGTTACATGTAGGACTCGGAATTGGTACCAGGGAGTAAATCGGCGCCAAATAACCTTGGCTGATGGATGAGCAGTGTATTGGTAGTAAGTGGGGGAGATGGAGCTGCAGCCGAGTGGCACGCGATGCGATGCGGATGTCGTTCGGTTTCTCCTCCGCGACCCTGGAGGGAAGCTGTCGACCCACCCCTTGTTAGTTACTAGATTTTAATGGGCTTCCGGCTTCGCCACGAGGCTCTCTGTTCACATCTCTTGTTACTGTGAAACCGTCGAGTGCCAACGTTGTGACATACAATTCGAATCTCCATAAATGTTCTACCAAGGCGGTCTCCATACAACAACAACAACAACAACAACAATAACAACAACCCCTTTAAACACGAACCGGGCACCCCTTGAACCCCCCCCCCCCCCCCCCCCCCCCAACAACTAACCCCCCCAAGCACAAGCTCAAACTCAAGCCTTAACCATCCACTCACTCTCCTCCACAAACCGGTGCCTCAACCCGGAATCAATCTTGGGAAACGGATTCGTCGGCCAATACTCCCGCCACTCCTCACAGACCCGATTAAAGTCATCGCGGTCCGCCGGCGTGATGCGCTGGCGCAGGTCGTCGGGCCGCTCGAGGAAGTCGACGCTCAGCCCGCCCGACACGTGCCAGGCGATGTGGCAGTGGAACAGCCAGGCGCCCGGGTTGTCGGTGCGGAACGCCAGCAGCAGCCAGCCTCCGGCCGGGAGCATGGTTACGTCCCGCCGGACTGGGTTGGTGCCGCGGAGGCGGGGCAGGTCCACGGCCGGGTCGAAGACGAAGCGCTGCTGCGAGGCGGGGGGCACGTCGGGCGAGCGGCCGAGGACGAGGAAATCGTGGCCCTGTGTGTGGCAGGGGGGTCAGTGTTAGGCTCATGTGGTGGGTTGGTGGGTTGGTAACTCGGGAGGGGAATGGGGGTGGGGAGTGACCTACGTGCAAGTGCATCGGGTGCGGGAGACTGAACGGTCCGTCGGGGTCGTTCTCGACCAGCCAGTAGGTCCACTTCAACCCGGCGGTGTCAGTGGCGTTGGCATCTCAAGTTGGGTGGGGGGACAGAAACTCACCTGATTGACCCCATCCACTTGCACAATATTGTCACTCGTCGGGTAGCTCGTGTTCTGCGTCATGACATAGTCCAGGATCGGCTTGCCCCAGTCGACGTTGATGGCGCTGCCGTTGACCTTCCAGACAAACAGCGGGGTGCCAGTCAGGTCGATGGTCACGGGAAGGGTGTTGCCGGGTCGCTTGACAAAGCCGCTGACGGGGACATTGCGGGTCACGACGGGGGTCAGGTTCGGGAGGTCGAGGCACTGGTGGTCGGTGGGCGGGGAGCCCTGGTTGGTCGGGAGTCCGCCGGGGGCGCCGGCGTAGTGGAAGATGGCCGCCGGGGTGGGGTGGAGCGAGCCGCCGCAGGAGGCCTGGCCGCCAAAGGTGACGTTGAACCAGTAGTTGCCCGGCGTGCTGTTCGCGTCGATGGTCACGTCGTATCGCTGCCCGACCGCTAGGAACAGGCTGTCGACCGTCATGGCGTTGACGGGGACCATGTCCGAGGCGATGATGGTCATGCTGTGGTTGACGAGCGAGACTTGGAAGTGATTGTCGGTAGAGGTGTTGATGATGCGCAGACGGTGCCGCTTGCCGGGGGTGAGGGTCACGTTGGCCCACTCGCCGACGCCGGTGATCGGGTGCTTGGCCGTGCCGTTGAAGAGCACGTTGTCGCTGAACGGTGCGCCGTTGTCCATGGTGAAGTGTACCAGCTCGTCGGCGCTGCGGTAATAGTAATCCATGAGAGGGAAGACGCCTAGGTCGATTTCATAGGGGAGCGAGGCCGGGCCGTTGATTTGGATTGTGCCCACTACGCCGTTTCCGTACTGCGCCGAGAAGTGAGAGTGGTACCAGCTCGTGCCATATTGCTGGGCCTTGAATCGGTAGACTCTCTGGCCTCCGTTGGGTGGGATCGGGCATTCCGTGACGCCATTGGCGCCGTCGTGTAAGTTGGTGTCCTTCTGGTGCATGCCGTGCCAGTGGATGGAAGTGCTACAAAGGTTAGTACCTGTACATCACTATGAACCTGACTGACATACCCGTTCGTATCGAGGTTGTTAATGACCGTAACCTCGATCGTATCGCCCCAATCAGCGAATACGGTGGGTCCTGTGATTGGGTCAGTGATCGTCTTCAGGGGGAAGACTGGTCAAATCAACGGCAAGAAATGCATACCCATGATGTTGTCTATTGAACCCATGTGTTAGCTTGAAGATAGCAATAATCCGGAGAAACGGCATGGCGTACCGTTGATGAGCATGACCTTGTTCTTGACAACGCCATCCGGGCCTGGCCAGTTCTCCTTCTCGGTGAGAGTGAAAGTGTACTGTCTCATGTTAGTCTCAACCTCCGTTTTGGTACGTGGAAGGAACACTCACAGGCCGAACAACTCCCGTATCAGGACTGTCAACCTCGTAATCCGTGTTGATATTGTAGCCGGTGGTCCAGCACGCCCGGTTGCTGGGAGTGTGGCAGCTTGCCTGGCGAGGGAGCACTCCCGCCTCCTGTCTCTCCGCGATGGGGACGAGAAGGTCCCGCTGGGCGGCAGTGGAGGGAGGTGCGGCAGCAACACTGGGGACAAGTATGCCCACAGTGAGCGCCACGACACCGAAGAGAAACTTCATCTTCAGGGTACTGGGAAGCTACCCGATAAGAAACAAGAACAAAGACAAGAATGTGGACAACTGATCCTGCCTGGATGTCCTGGTGAAGACGAAAATTCAAAGTGGTCGACAGGACAACCAGCCCCCTTTATAGACGAAGCCAAGGGACCTTTCGTTAGAGGATTCGAAACGCACTCGGTTTGATTCGGGATAGCATCATCTCCCCTCCCCACCACACCAACTTTGAGATACCATCCAACACTCGTATCAGCGTAGTCCAATCCCCTTTGGAGACGCGGGGACAGGCGTCAAAGTTCCTGGAGCTATGAATAGGCCGAGATGGGTGGATATGACGCTAGGCGAAGTTGGGGCTGGAAAGGACCTCGAACGTGAGGGCGGTTCGGTGACTGGTGATATTGGACGGTCTCTTGCGTCTCTCGTGACTCAGGGGAACGCGGATTTGGCGGTTACGGGAGAGCAGACAGGACCGTAGTGGTGTAGGGAAACGACGTTGACTAAGGAGTTGATACAGGTAGGAGCAGCCCTCTAAGCCATGTTGGATCCCGCCTCCCACCACGTCGTTCATCTCCGTGGAGATTGCTTCGGGAAAGGCAGTAAGCCTTGCCGCCGGGAGTTGATCATCTGAAAGGACGCAAACTGCATGTGACTGGGGTTCATCCAGAGCAGAGGGCGTCCGCTCTCGGTAGTGGCTGCCTCGAAGGAGCTCGCCTGGAGCAGCGATGGTGTGGAAGACATAGCCGAGATCAATAGTTTTGCCAACTTCTGCAAGAAGACGGGGTGGAGGTCAAGGAGGGAGTTGAGCATGGGACCGGGTTGTGGAGGTGAGGCTTTGAAGTCCACTTCCCTGCCCCCAGAGTATGGCGGAGTAGGGAGCATGATGGTAAAGAAAACAACACAGAGCTAAGGTATCGGTCCTGCAGCATGTATTGGCTTGGCCGTCCGTGGTGCTCTAATCTCTGCGCCCATGACGACCCCAGCCACGGACAAAGCGTTTGTACAGAAAAGCGTCCAACGGCGGCACGGTATGTGGAAAACGTTCCCGTATCTCGTGGCTTGCGTGTCTTGTTCATCGGTTGTGCAGCTGCATATGGGACAGGTTCCCAAGCATCTCGTGATCATGCTCTTGGCAGGGGCAAAGCCACGCGGGTTGGGAGAATGTAAGACCAAGGCAGGGCATTCTACGCCAGGCCTCAGGTCCACCGGACCAATTACGGTGGTGGATGTGGTGGCTTGGAGCATCAAGCGGACATTGCTCGATGATGGCACGGGCAAGCATGCACCCCATAATTACCGAGAATATTTCTAGAACTTCGGCCACACGAAAACCCGAAACTGGACGGGCCTACCGAACAAACATGACTTGCATGAAGGTGTCGTATCGATGAACCCTATCAAGTCAGGGTCGCAACACAGGGGCCGGTAACTAAAGTATCGACAGACGGTGGGTATGACGGGAGGAACAAGGAAGCCCCAGCTGAGAAAGATCGATATCCAAGATCGTCAGGGGTCCGTTGTGACAACACGACGTGGAGGGGATGGCACCCTGCCGTGTAGGGTAGCATGCAGTGTGGATTGCGCCATTATATCGCCCATTTGGGGATGTCACGCTCAGGGTAGGTACCAATCCTCCCGCGCTGGCGCCCCGGGAGCGGACAGTTCTGCCCTACCGGTATGGGATTTAAATTGACATGCCGCTCGTCTCCCCTTGTCTGGAACAAGCAGTCATTGGCTGGCGATAGATCTTGGCGGAGAGGGAGAGCGGGAAGGCTTGGACCCTGTGGAAGGATGAGTTTGTGACAGTGAGACAGGTTCTTCGAAAGGCGGAAGTTCCCACCCACCACTTTGGAGTGTGCCTCAAGCTCAAGAAGGCCAGTTCACGCTAGCACTATAAGCTAACGTGAAATACTCACATCGGCTATAACGGCATTTCATCACACCGCGTACGAAGGTATATTCTTGGTGGTCAGAAGGCCGGCAACCGCGCGAGCAGTGAAGGGTTAATTACCTTAGGTAATCTGAGCTAGATCAAAAGCTAGCACGGGGTGATCGGTCTCCCGAAACGATTGGGTGCGGGAATTCCGCGAGTTGCCGAAACTCAACGTGACAGATCGAGACCCGGTGTAGTTTGGTAATGGCTCAACAAGGACGGGAACAAGGGTTGGTTCCTACGTCCGAATGAGTAGAAGCTTGCGGTTCCGATTGTGCGAGGGAAACGCCGCCCCGTCATTGGCCTGTAGACCTCTCGTCGACACGATGTTATCCCGCCCCGTCTGTCAGCAATGTTTTGAGCTACCAGGTGGCGTCAAGTTGCTTGTTAGGTAATGTAAAGCTTGCAGACGTGCCCGACCTTCTGCCCAAATTTTGAATCCTTGCTTTACCGGCTGTGGTGTGCTTTAGCTTTCGCTCACAAACTGGTTTGACGATGCAGTGTGCTTCCTCTCGACTTTCATGCGGAGATTTGGTATCCTTCCAGGCGCAGCTGATGTTACACCTCTTGGGGCTGAAACCCAACCGTTCGACCAGGAAGCGGGGATTTGCGGTTGTATCGGGTGGGATCCCAGGGTGTCGGGGACTCAGATCGCCTCGGGTCGAGGCTTGACACAATCGGGCCAGTCGGGGGACGAGGAAACAGGGCTCCTGATGAAGGTTGCATGCTCGCCCGGGATGCATGCCCCAAGCCAGGTCGGCCCTGAGCCGTGTTTGGTTACTAAATAAAGCCAGCCCCCCAAACTATTGGCCACATGCCGCCCATAGCCACTTGTTGGCCCAATGACGGGGGCCGTAAATCAAGAATCCCTTGGATCATGACTCAAGGGAGGTATCGTGACGGCCAAGGCTCTGAAAGCCCGTCTCCGCCGTGATTTCTTCGATTTCGACAGACCGAGCACCAAGCCAAGCCGACTATCTCCTCGCTTGTTGTGATGGCGCCGGTAGTTCGGTGGAGAGCTGTCGTTCGAAGCGAGGGCTTTCACGCCGGAAGGTTTCCGCCGGAGTGGATTCCTGCCGGTAACTGAACTGTCACAAGTGCCATTGCAACGACAGCAGCAACTAACGCCGCAAGTGCGAGGCAAGCAGTCGACGGAAATGAGCAAGTGTGGCATGTTGATCAAGTTATCCCGAGAACTGGGAGCTTGTGAGCATCTGCCGATACGATATCCCGAGTTCTCAGGGGGCGTCAACCGAGGCGCACACGGCTTGCCGCAAGACTGCAGCATGCATCTCACGCGGCAATCCTAGGGCTAGGCCGAAGCGCGTGTTGGTGCTCACCGAGACTCGCGCTTTCGCAGTTCCCACTTCCCAAGTTCCCGTCTTTGCCATTCCGCATGTAACTACGGCTTGTGGGGGTCCTTGGCGTCGGGTGTCCAAGCCACGGGAATGTCTTGTCCGAGGGGGCGGGGGGAGGAAAGACAACAGAGAGAACGTCCTCAGAGAAGAAACCCATAAAATAAAACCAAGAAAACTACATACAGTGCCGGATGAAACCGTGGGATTGGCCAAGTACCGTGCAGACTTCCATGCCATCTGAGTCGGCCCGGGAGTTGGAGGTAACCTTGGAGGTTCAAGTTGGAAGTGGTTTTGAGACCACCTTCCTCTCGAGGTTTGTTGGAGGAATGAATGAGACTCGAGCAAAGCACTCGAAGTCGGAAGGTGGGGTTTCGGACAGGGCCCGGCTGGCCCGGCTGGATTATTGGTTGGGGTGGTGGGGTCATGTCAAAGCTGAAGCTGGGCAGTGACAGGGGCAGTGATCGCCTCCAGGGATGTGGTCACTTGGCAAGCGCCACCGTTCGTGATGCCTCGACGGAACAGAATGCCGGTTTGGAGGTCGCTTGTTCCTTCCCTTCCTCCTCTTCGCGGCCCTTTCGCGCTAACATGTCGGGCGCATCGCACCTTCCCGCTTGCCCCACCAATCTAAGCAGGCACCGGCGGCATCCGCGGTCCTCCTCCCCCAAGCCATGAGCCACATCCCCACGTGCTCCCTCACCAAGGCAAACTGGCAAATCGAAGATTCAGCGCTGCAGGCTGCAGGGCTGCCGGGTGACGCCCGGAATTGGGAACGATCAGCGACAATAGCCACGCGAGCATGAGACCATTGAGCGCAGGACGCAGGCGTGTGGCACCCAAAAGCCAGGTTGCTGGGGATTTCAAGCAAGATCCTTCGTCCTGTTGCGAGTTCCCCGGAAAATGCGGTGGATGCATGTGGCCGTCAGCCATGAATCAGCCACCTATGCGTCAGATCGAACGCTGACTGGCGCGCATGAAGACGCGAAAGTCTCAGCTCAGTGAGGTGCGATACCTCATACTAGCCTGGGGGGTCAGTCTCTAAGCGCAACATGGAAAGGCTCTTTCGGCGCTCTGCTCTATGATAGGGTTATACCAGGCGTCTCGTAAAAATGGTGTTGACTTGACTAATATAGTTGGACAGAAGTGTTTGATGCAAGCTGCTGCAGCATTAGGTAGCGGGGTGGCCAGCCCAATTATGCCGTGACAGTTGTCGATTACTTCCAAGGTACCAGGTATCGCACAGTTCCGGTCGGGTACGTGACCTACTCGACTCAGGACTTGACTACCTACTGGTAGCACCAAAGGTGCCATTCAGAAATGACCTCCAAGTTTAGATCTTCATCGCAGGCTTATGGAAACCCAGTGCAACGAGGAAAAGTCTACGTCAGCATGTCGCGGCCAAGAGGTAACAGGCGTTGTCAACCATTCTACCGTGACGTCGTTTGTTCCGTCCCTCGTTAACATTGGAAGTTTGCCCACAACTTGCTCATCTGAGGAATCATCCGACTATCTTATTTTTTGGTTAGTGCGACAAGCGCCTTTCGCAGGGCCCTTCCAAGATCCGAGTCTTGAACCCCAGAATAATCCCTTGGAGGACATAAAACCTCTCCCACAACAGTCCCTTCCTGTTCCCTATCTAGTAACGTCGGGCTAGGAGAGGTCCCATCGCTCCGACCGTCGGTAAACTTGCTGATTAGCGCGAGTACATCGCCAAGTCGATTTGCTGAGATGGCCACCCTCAAAATCCCCTCCAGAAAAGCGATGACCGTCTCCTCGAACACTTTTACGCCCCCCCTCTCAAACTTTAGAAGCAACGTTGCCGCTACTACCAACATTTCAGCTAGCCATGGATGTCCCTCCCAACTGACAACGGTGGTAAGCCAGGCATGTGGGTGTGCGGCTATAAACAGCCGCTGTTGGACAACTGAAATGACCTTCATCAGGCAGTCGAGGGTATTGTCCATCCGCAACTTGACCGCCAGTTGCACGAACATCAAACCGACGATCGCAGTTATTTGAGCCTCCATAGCCCCCCGGAAGCTTATTGAGACGCTGACCCTTTGGGAGATATCATCGATGACCTCGACGAATTGCGCGGCATGGGGCGTGGTCAGCGCGTGTTCAAGTACTCTAGCACAAGTGTTGACTGCAAAGCTGGCCATGAGCTTGTTCTCCGCCTCTACCACGCCCAGGAGTCCCTCGATTCCGGCGCGGAAGTAATACTTTGCCTCTTCAACCTCACCTCGGTCAACGAGGTCCACGAAGTCGGCGCCGCACTGGTCGAGTATAGCCTGCACTAATGTCGGGTCCTTTCCTGTTGTAATCAGGGTCGTTAGGGCGCCGACCCAAACCCTCGACATTCTCTTCGCGCGCTCTTCATCTCCGCGCCTGAAATCGTCGAGCAAGATGTTCATCGCCAGCCGCACGGCTAGCAAGAGCGGTCGTTCGGGCATGATTTTGACCGAATTCATGACGAACGCGCGCCCGATATTTCCAAAACCGCCGTAAAACGCGCGAACGAAGCTAGTGTTCGAAAACGCGACCAATGTCGGATTCAGTCGTGGTGCCCTCGCCTGAGAAGCTGGGAGACTGCCGTCGATCTTGTGTTGACCTAAAGTCGCGTTGGTGTAATCGGTCCGAACTGGATATTAATTAGCAGTTAATATCCATAGTGATCACCACTAGACTTTAGTGCCTTTGTCTTACCTGCCCCAGAGGTTGTATTAACTCCCTCCGAATAGTAGTCGCCATTCCACAGATCTTCCGCACAAAGCGGAAGCGAGATATCTGATATATTTGGAACCTCGCTGAGACTCGCTTCCGAGGCCGTTGTCCGCCTAGTGGACGCGGTCGATAAACTCGGCAAGGAATCCATGGACACGTTCCATAGCCGGTCATGCTTATATGCCTTTGACTTGCGGCGGAGTGCCTCCAACCCTCCCCGGAGCATCGCCGGTGCCGAACGAGTAGAGACAGCAGTCCTCCCCGTCCTGACCGACGCAGAGTCGTTAGGCTGGTGTAGGTCTTGCCGCACCGTACCGGCTTGGGACCGTGTGAAAATCGTGTCGTTTGACTCGGCGGTTTCCGTCGCAAGAGAGCAGAGCTGTTTCATCATATCCATGACCTCCGCGTGGTGAGTATTACTACCCATGTTAGTTCATCTCCATGGTACCAAACAACCGATCAGATAACGTACTACCGAATCAAACTCAAAATCAGGATCAAGCTCGTCTTGTGTTTATCCAAGTCCTGCATCAACTTCTCGATTTCGGCTTCTTTCCCCGCCCACCAAATTCTTCCCCAATACATTTTCGGCTTCGAGCCCGACTCCGCCTTTTCACAGTCGTCGATGTGTTTTTCTAGCTCCGAAAAGACCAATACACACCCAGTCAACGTTGTCACGAGCTGGTCAAGCTGAACGAAGCGAAGTCCCGGGGTGTTTGACCGTTTTCCATGGGATAGTTGCCAGTCGTCAATCAGGTTCTGGACTTCGAGGAGGATGAAGTTCACAACGCGGACCTCCTCAACCGCTCGCTGCAAGGATTTATGGGTTTCCTTCACCTTCAACGCAAATGTAGTGAGTCCGAATATGACCCTGCTGGAAACCGTAACGAGGCCACACACTGAGGCGGCAATGGAGAGTGGATCCGCCATGCTGGAGGCTACCAAGGGTTGTCGGATGCTGGTCAGTGGGGGGTTTCTGGGTTTGGTAGACGCGAGTCAGGTTCTCGGGGCGTCCAGGGGATTCGGTCGTTTTAAGAATTCTTGACGGCTCTTGTATGAACCTAGGTGGCAGTAGTAAGTTGGCTGCGAACAAATCCCAATTTTGGCGCCTGTCTTGGCTGCAAGTACTTTTTGTTGTGGATGGCGGAGGGTCCTGTTGCGGTGGTGTGTTCGGATTCGGGGAGGGAGTTGGTCGTATCGGGTGCCAGGGTGGTACTATTGATGAACCCAACCAACACTTACTTCGTTCTTCCATCCTCTTTTGCAAGGTTTCAGGTTTGCTTCCTTGCCTCTCAAAGACCTGGCGTAACTCCCGCGCCCACGTTCGACAAGGGGTCGACGGCCACTGATGTAACGGTGCCTAAAAACCAGCCCAAGGGCAGACCTCAAAGCTTCCGCGCAGCCAGAGACACCAACCGTTGCACGAGCTGTCAATTCGCCGAAGGTTGGGCTGCAGCGAATGTTGGGCCGCGGAGATCACTACAGATTAATTACTAATACACGGGGTAATTCACTTGCTTCGCTACCTAACAGCCAAACACGTCATTGCAAGGCTGCCGGGTGATCCCCCAGGGTTGGGAATGATTGGTGACAATAGTTACCATGTACCTTACCTAGCCACGCGAGTATGAGACGACTGAGCGGAGGGACGCAGCTGAGCCATGTGGCACCCAAAGCCAGGCTGCTGAAAATTTGAAAGACCCACCAAGTTATCGGGAGCGAGACATACTTATACATCGAAGACCCTCAAGGAGAGCTGACGTTTGACCAATGTAGATTCCTTCCGACATACCGCGTCTTCTCTAAGTCCGGTTTCTACTACAGATAGTCTTCTCGTGGTCTCCCGCTCGGCACCTACGGCACCCCTCATCCCGAAACTCCGGGATATCTTGACTCCCATGTGTGAGTATGTCTGAGGCATTGCATCTCGCTAAGATTTGCCGTGATTTCCTCGCGCCCGTTGACGACCTTCCGCCGAGTGTTCGAGGAATTCTAAGAAGACGAAAGATTTCACTTGACGGAGCCGCGAAGCTACCGTCTCGTAGGTAGAGAGAATCGGCACCTGGATGCCCAGTCATTCAAAGTCCTAGCAGCCTCCTGAGAGAAAAGAGTTGCCATTCGAGCATTCTTCAGCGGGGACGTTGGTGCAGTCGCAGAGTGAGTCCGATGATGTTTGGACTGTGCGGGTAATGGGGGATCCCGAGAACCACAATATTACCAGGTATTATGACTTGAATAACATCGAGGCGCTTGAAGACATATCTTGTCGTCGGGGATAAGGCCTTGACAGTGTATTGGAGCATACCCTTTTCAAGATTACGCATCCAAGCACATATAGCTCAGGGGTTAGGGCGCCCCTGGTTACTCCCGCCGGAGAGTCAGTGTCCATTCCAGAACAGAAGATATGGAGAGAGGCCAAGGGATTTTGAATTTCTTAGACTAGGCAATACTGTTATTAGTAGCCCTTACCTTGAACTCATGTGTCCATATCTGAGCTCGGAAGGAAGCCTCGGCTCTCGACGGGAAGCCTCAGCTCTCGACGGGAAGCCTCAGCTCTCGACGGGTTCTCGATGCAGCGGCTGGATCGATTGCGCCAGGCCGATGGCGGCAGGGTTCCCAGTCCCGGAGCGACGACAACACTTAGACGTGACGGAGTTGAAAACCCGTTATCAGGCTAGTTCAACCGCTGCCGAGACGGAATCATAAGGAAGAATGAACGCTAGCGCTGAATGTGACTAGATTGCGAAGGGACACCCCTTCTAACCCGGACACTTCTGACGGCTGACACGAGGCATTTGGTGTCTTACACAATTAGATCCCCCTCAATTTCGCGCTATTAAAGGCACCGTACCATGCACCCGAACTGACGCTCCCTGAACACACCTTGCCGAAACCCAACCGCATCAACGGACCGCACTCGAACATCGTCCGGAAGTGAATTCCACATATCTGCCCCATGCAGCTCGGGTCGGTGGACGTCTCATGCAGCGTACACAGGGTCTCGAACTCGGTGGCGCATTACTGTCAACAACGGATAACACTCACTACTAAGAAACAGAAATCGACACCATAGGTTAGCTAGTCGCTCCACAGTAGCGCTAAAATGGCCCGAGATAAATATAAAAGAACGAAGATCTAGAACGAAAAGAAGTATAATACTCAACTCCTTTACAAACGTGCCCTCCGGAAACTAGCTCCGCTTACCTCCTATATAGAAGCACCCCGGTGTAAGGTCTACTCGCCCTCAACGGCATAGCTTAGTACCTTGCGGCGTATGGCAATTCGCGAAGCTAGACCGGGCCTACTCGGGCCGTTCAACCGCGAGATGAACGTAGGACTGCTCAAGGGCCATGAAGAAGGCGTACTAGGCGACGTAGCTGTAAGCAGAGCGGTCCTGGCCGTGCCGGTGCGGGATGAAGAGGCGTACATCTGCTAGGGAGGTCGGGCCCGGGTTGGAGACGGCGAGTCGGGCGCGGAAAAAGGCGGATTGCCGGTCGAGTTGTGGGGCGGAGGCCGAGGTGGCGGTGCCGTCCCCGCCCCGGCCCCGGAAGAGATGGACCGGGAAGAGGAGGGATGTGTTCCGTCTCCTGGACCCTGTGGGCGGCGAGGAAGCGGTCGAGGACGGTGATGGGCACTTGAAGCCGTGTAGGGGGGTTATAGGACCCATTGAAGGAGGCGGGCTGGGCTCAGGCTTCATTTCAGCGTTTGGTCAGCGTTGATCGCGTTGGTACAGTGATGGGTCGAAAGATGGTTAGGGAAGTAGTGCCGTAAAGATCACGGGGGAGCATCTGAGCAGCCACACCGTAGGTAGTTAACCCCAATATCCGGCCGCTACTCGGTTTCTCGATCTCGATTAGACATGATGCATAATAAATGGCCGCATATTGTTGTTGTCTTCTCACGAACCCCGGCTACCCCAAAAGGTTCGGCTCGGTCCTACTAATTACAAGGGGCAGTGGGAAATAAAAAACAACCTACCTAATTACTTTTGTGCTCCCGCTCCCAGTGTCCCACTAATACGCCTGCCGCTGCCGTACTAGAGCCATTTGAGGAATTCCAGGCTAAAGGATTGTTTTCTTAGGTGTTTGTGTAATAGTAGGTCTAAACTAGATTTCATAAACCTAGGTGCGTGCTTGCATCTGCAAAATCGGTGGAGCGCCAGGTTGTTACAGTGAGCCTCCCTTTGTCCGTTCTTTTTTTAGATGGATTCACTGGAACAAAGAACGCCTACTGTCTACAATTTACAGAAAGCAGAAACAGCATTCTGGCACAGGTTGTATTAATGCACACAGCCGGTACCCGCTTCACACAAACTTATAATCAGCTATTTATCAGCCACTTCTTCTTGTCCTAGTATTATTACGCGTTCTCTTTTGTTAACGACACTCGCTGAAAAACCATTGTATTCTTCAATTAGTCAGATCGCAATGGTGAATACTATTCTAGGCCTCGAGATAGTGCGCTTCCATGCCCATTACTACATTCGTCGTCATCAGTACAATGGCTCGTTCACCAGCTTGAGGGTTCTCAGTGAGCAAATCATCGCTAGGATCCCTCGGAACCGTAACAAGTACAAGAGTAAGTCGTGCAAGTATTATACGTTCAAATTTGGAAACTAACAATCCGCAGAATGGTTGAGGTCGATGCGGACGGAGTACAGGGCTAAGGAACTCGCCCTCGAGAAACATGTCCACCAGATCTGCGACGAGTCCAAGCCCGATTATTCGAAATTTGCCGAGTTCGTGGCCCTCCCATCGGAGTTGCCACGGCTGGACGAACACTGCGACGCCAAATTCTTCTACATCATCAACCTCGATAAGGGGATTCTCACCATGAACCACACCATCCACTGGAGCTTGTGCAACATCCCACACCAGAGCGATCTGTGGGCTCGCGCTATTGAAGATAGCACCTGCTGGGACAAGCTCACGGTCTACCTCGACACTTGCTCACAAGAAAGAGCATATGACCTCCCCGGCTTTGGAGATTCCCAACCGAAATAGAACGATGGGTTATGCCTACCGTGTCGTAACTCCGAAGACAAACATTGAAGAACCGCGAAAAGCATTCCTTACATTCGTTCTAGCCAGGACGCTTATCGAATACCACAAAGAGATCAGTCGATATGGGAGGGAATGGGCTCCGGGCACGTTCCCTTCTCACGAGCTGATCTTTGCCTTCGTTTCCATCGCCTCTGGGCAGGCTAGATTACACTCTTTCCCTGAACAGCCGTGCAATCCACGAAATTGCCGCGCCCGGAACTGCAAGTGGAATCACCTCCCAAGGTCTCCAGGGTGGCTTAGTAAACCATGGGCTGGCGCTAGCACTCCGTTGCTCGAGTTCGGCTCGCCGTCTCATCGGCCAGGTGAGCCCGCAGGAGCGTCGCCCACGGAGACCATGTACTGGTTCAAAGGCGTCCTTGTCAGCCTTACGCTAGTGGTTGACGAGGAGGCTATTTCGGACGCCGTTACGTGGGGTATTGAACAAAAACGAACAAACTTCCAGATGGTCATTTTGTCGCTGTTCAAAGTGGCGTTTGCCGAAGTTTCCCTTGACAACGATGGAGACGGGAAGCCAGTTGTCAGGCTCAGCGAATCTATCAATCTCTCGCCTATACGCGCGGAACACTGTGCCGGCGCACATCCCCGCGAGCGACCAGCGGGGTGGAAGGACGAACCGAGTCAGCCGGGTCATAGTATTCATCGGTGTGCGGTCATGGTACGGGCAACCTGCACTGGAACCGCGCAGGAACTGCGAGAGAACTTCCCCGGGCTCGCTGCGCTTGTCAACTTCTTCGATGCCGCTACGAACCGCCTCGTGGCATGCAAACATATGGCCGGGCGTCCTGCCCGCTGAGCTCTACCACCGGATTCTCGACTTCACCGACTACGATACTTGGCACAACTGCTCGGTTGTGTCGCCACAGCTTCACGCCTACTGCCTTTTCAAGTACAGGCTTGACGACCGGCTGAGGATTGTAGCTGGCCCTTTCGCAAAGCTGCAGGGGGTACAACTGCTGTCGTTCGACTTCGAGGACTTGGAAACAGGAGAGATCCTTCCCATGATGCAGGTCCAACGGCATTGCGGGGCGGAAAAGTATCGTTGGATGCCCCTCATCGGCGGTGAACGGAAGGCCCTCATGGTGGACGTGGTCGTCCAGTTTGGGCCGGCGGATGATGTGCCGGTGGGAGAGGAAAGTGGTGATAGACGCACATAACACCGAAATTTCTGGGCTTTGTGCGGTGCTCTCCTCTCCGACCGCCGCTGACAAACCGAAGTCGACCCGGAATCCTATCCACGTATAACTTGGATGAGTGGTTTGGAGCAGGGTAATGGATGTCCGCAACAGGGATCGTGGCCCAGATCCTGGCGGGGCAGCCAGCAGCAATCTATTCATGACCTACGTAGTTTTAGCTAGACACCCTTGCGTACCTACCTAACAACCGAAGTGCCTCATGTCCTTTCTAGGCCCACGTCCTATGTGTGGCAAAGTATATGGTTGGCTCAAGCCGCGTCAACCTCGGGACTCAGGCGAACAATATTCTCGTACAACCACGTCGGTCATTTGTTATTGCAAAATAAGTGCCACCCATTATCCATCTCTCAGACGTTTACCAGCCCCCTCCAGACCAACTACGGCTTACGCCCCTCTACACACGATCTCATCCAGAAACTACGGCCATCTGTCGCCTCCAATCCTTAGGTCTTTTGAAGTGGCTCAGTTACCACGCCAAACGTGTTGATGCCACAAGCAAGATTGCGGTACTATCCCCAAAGTCGGATAGTAGAGTTAGGTCTTGCATCACTTTATAAGCGGCCGGGGCTGTTACATGCCTGGGCACCAAAGAGACCGGTGATTGCCGCTCCGGGACCGGCCACAATCTCCCTTGCCACCATGGGCCCACCCCCCAATTTGGATATCGTGCCAAACTCACAGGCCCTGCCGCGGTTCGTGGACAGCTTGAACCATGCCAATGACCCTTCTTCGCGGGATAGTATAACATTGAAGGGGCTCTCGTCGGGGAACTGCTGGCAAAGCTCAACTCTGTCAATGACCTCGCCGCCCGGGCCGTCGATTTGAAACTCGACAGGGTCTTTTTCCTCCGGGCCGTCACTGCGGCCAAATCTCCGGCATTCGGCCGGCACCTCTTTATCGAAGAAAAAATCGATACGCACTAAGACATGGCTGACGCTGATTGCGACTTTGATAAGATTCGGGAGATAGATCCCACCGGGACCCCCAAAATAAGTCCAAAAGAGTGGCCTATATCCCCAGGCGTACCATTTAACTGATACGAAGAAGTCTTCATTCAGGTCAAGGGCCGGCGGCGGCACGTCAGGATACCATATCGCGGAGCACCTTAGTGTGTCTTGTCCATCCGGTCGCGTCGTATCCGTCTTTCGGGCCACAGCAATACTGACTATTCTGAAGGCCTGTTTATTTGAACCACGCCAGGGTTAGCAGACTGGAAAGGTGAGGTAGCAGAGGTTGTCATGGTGTTCCTACATCAAAACCAACGTCCAGTGCCGTGATCGGGTACCCTAGCGCGAGCCGTTGAGTCTTGGGCGCATCATTGGGACACCCGAGCCAAGCCGATGGCTTCCCGCTCCGGCCATCAATGCACTGCAGAGCGTGGATACCGCCTGATCCAACTGCCAGATTGAAGCCTGCCAACCCGGCAAGCTGCACAGAACGCCATTGACCGCTGTTGTAACCTAGCCGTAGGACTTCCCCAGAGGCAGTGCTCAGCGATATTCCCGCAAGATACTCCCAGTTGCCGGCCCGGATAGTCGATGCCGATACTTAGGATATCCCATCCGGGATGGTTACCCGTTTGCTTTGGAGTCGCCGACAACCCTCCTTGGAATGGCAGAAGCCCTCGGCTAGTTGCCTCGGCATACTCCCCGCCGCGAGGACCCAAACTCTGGTCTCCTCGAGGAGGGGCTCAGAAGAGAACTCATTCCACTTCAGCTCCAAGATATCCGCAAGATGTTGAATGAGGGCCCAGATTCGTTTCCTGTTTTGGAGCCCCTGTCCGATGTGACTATCCGTCGTGCGATGGTGTAGCCGACGCCAGTCCATGCTAGCGGTCCTATGATGCCGAACTTCGAACAGCCACGAGCGATCCAAACGTCCCCTGAACCGCGACGCCCAAAACTGCTGGCTATGAAACACGGACCAAAACGACTTCGACGCATGCCGAGCGTTCAGAACGTCCGGAGTCGGTAGATACGCCGCGATGGCTGAGCGCAACTCTACAGGAAGCGCGATAAATGGGTCTTTTCCGGATGACGACGCCGAGGCGGTAAACGAGAATGGATTCTCAGAAGGCTCTCGGGGACTTTCGGTCAGAATCTTGTCGACTTCGGACACAGCAAGGGGATCGGCGGTGTAGGGGATGTCAGACCAGCCGTTTAGGAACGCCCGGTCTGTGAACCGCCCTTCCCAGGGAAAGAAATGCTCCTCCCTGATGAGAGCAAGCCCCCCATAGTCGTGACCCCAGTGGATGCTATCTCCACCCATGCCTAGTGGGAGTGAGTCGCAGACTCCAAACAGTCTCGCGTGGGGAACTGGCGTAGGATGGAACGCTTGCTCTAAAAGGGACCAGCAGGAGTCGTGAAAGATGAAGCCACGCCTGCCGTTTATATCCCATCGTTTCATTACCGCGAACTCGTCTTCATCGGGATGGCCATAGCCGGGGTCATCAAACCGCGCGTTGGGATCTGACGGGGCGATGAAGGGTCCGCGGCCCGGGCCGGTGCAAAGACCGACTCCAGTTAAAAAGATACCTTCCGGGCATGAGTACACTGAGACCCGTTAGTCCTCATTGCGGAAGTTCTCGTAGGACGACAAGCGCTTACAGCCACGAAACTGATTCATCCATGAAATGGACCCCTCTTGATCATAAATCTTCCATCCGCAGATAGCGCATGAGTACATTTTCAGTTTTGCCTGTGACTTGACGCCACCACAGTGTGAAAGGCACGCGTTGAAGCGGGGAGGATACAAACGTGACGAGGTTGCCGTTGGGCGGTTGCCATTTTGTTCCCTGTTGGGCCGATCTCCGTCGGGGTTCGGGTACGGTCCTCCGCAGGATGCGAGCGGCTCACCTCCCCCCTCATTAGGCAACCAAGCCCGACCAAGCTCCTGCGGTTGTTCTGGGGCCGAATACATTCAACAGTGGCAACCCCCATCTCCAGAGCCCGGATAAAGTCCCTGAAAAGATTATAACAAGATGCCCTTTTATGACCCCAACGGCGTAAGTCCTTCTTCCCGGTGAACGTATATGTACCTATTAACCTCGAACTAACCATCTTGACAGTACATGCAGTATGAGGCCATCCGGGACTACTATGAGCGATTGTCCAAAGACACTCCGGAGGGCGTCGTTAACCACTTGTGGTACAACATCCTGCGAGAGTATTTCTTCAATAGCGAGGGCTTCCAGCTTGAGGTTCAGCCGGACGCACGAAACAGGAGGACGAGATGATCATCCTATACGTCAAACACAACAAGAACACGACTCTTATTCTCGTTGTGGACAACCGAGTATCGCTGGAGACGGACTCCGCGAGCTGGAGCAACGCCGTCAATGAGCTCACCAACCATATGAAGCTTGCCCGCTCGGACTTTCCCGAAGGCCAGGTAGCCGAAACCATATTCGGCATCGCGACCGTCGGTCACTACTCACGCCTCTATATCATGGAACCCGGGCAGTCAACGCTCACGGACCACCCAACCACCGCCGGTGGTTTACTGGAGTTCAGGAAGGACGAGTCGCAGATTGTCAGCCTCCTCCTCTCTATTAAGTCACAAGCGTCGCCGGTTGTTTTTGAGAGAGCAGACCTGGATCCCGGCTCCGGCGGTCCTGGTCAGTGAGAGCTAAAGCCCTAGCTCCGAAGTTAGTGGTGGGCTTGATTCAAACATTCACAAAAGACCGTTACAGAACCCTGATTTCTTCAGAGGAGAGGGTGTGCAAAACAGTTGGAATTCTGTATTGTAGCCAACAGAAAGAGCACCTAGGTAGGTACGCAGTACTTACCTGATACGTAGGTAGCGTTTCCTCCTGGGGCGTAATAACTGAGGAACCTCGGAACTTAGATCCAGCGCATCTTCGTGCATATGTCTCGATGCAGACTCATATCGACCTAGTCTACCCACGACAAATATCTCGCATTTTCCTTCCTACTAATTAACCCTATTCCCGAAGACCGTTTCCCCTGCTCTAGACTCCTGGTGACCTTCTTCTTTTTAATACTTGCAGTGCTTAAATGGTGAATTCGGAGGCGTGGGCACCAACCAAGCCGCGCACGCCTCGTCCTTGCTTTCATATCCTACAGAGCCCCGAGTATCGCGATGGCAATCACGACTGTTCGCTAGGGCCGTAGTGCAACGCTCAACTCGGAGTGGTCATGCGCGCAACGGGTGTGGGTGTAAATTTTGTAGTTGCACATTGCCTGTCATACTTGTCAGCTGAAACCGTGGTCTCGCTTCGCGTTTGTTTCGTTGATTGATGGAAAGATGGGCGTCGAGTGAATATGGCATGCCGGAAGATATGATTGTTCTTTCAATGCTTGGACATTTAGAGACTTTCTACAGGCAAATACACGCCGGCCTTCGGAGCTTGGGGGCCAACTGAACTACATATCTTTCGTTGAAAGTGCGGCTGTCCAAGCCATCTGACCCTCTCTCACTCAATTACGTCCGAGCCGTTACCAAAGAGCCCATTGGGTTTACGACCGCCACATGGGCAACGGCCGTCAAAAGACACAGGCTCGCAAATGCTGAACCACCGCCGCTAAACGTGATTGAAATCAACTTCAAACGCCGCAGCCTGACAATCCCCTACATCTAGTTTGGAAGCCTGCTAGAGGGCTTCTAACCCACAGGATAATGCTATGTAGGTCGAGACCGGCCGTTCTGCCCTTATTTCGCTGACGTATTCGGAAGGGATCGAGGGCGGTACGATGGACTTTTCTAAAGGCATTGAGTGAGGCATTGTAGAAGCGTGATGCTCGGGATCTGGTGAGCGGACGCGTCGAAGTGTGTGCTAGACAAAGTGGTGGATTGCCGTCGCAAGAGGGGGTTAGGAATGTCAGGACGAGACCTGGAGAAGTACTTGTGGTGTGTGGAACGTTTTCCGAAAACCACAACTTTGCGAAGCGAGGCCTGCCTGCTTGCCGAGCGAAGTACCTTCAATAGTTAGTTATTGGGTATGTGTATTCGCAATACATGCAAGTTAATATGCAAGCGAGACTCAGCCGCACGCGGGGATAGGTTGCGGGCTCTCTGTCCAGGGGTAAGTCCCCCCGCGCCAATCGTTATCACAGACCTCGGACGATGAACAACGATTGACGACACCCTCATACGGGCAGGGTGAAGCCGACAAGCGACTAGAGTTGTTCTCCTGGGCCAGCTTGACCGATGTCCGTTGAGAACAAGCCTAAAGCGAAGCAGGCAGCCGTCCGGCGCAATGGTATCGATGACCAGCTCTTCCTGCTGTCGCTCGACGGCGGTGGGGTGCGGGGCTTGTCCAGCCTGATGATCCTGAAGCAGTTGATGGAGGCCATCGACCCGCAACGGCCGCCCCGGCCCTGCGACTACTTCAACATGATCGGCGGCACCTCGACGGGCGGGCTCATCGCCATCATGCTGGGGAGGATGCGTCTGACGGTCGACGAGTGCATCCTCGCATACAACGAGCTGGCGCCCAAGGTCTTCACCAAGGTCCACCACCGGATCAGCCTCCGGACCGGCGAGACGCAAGGGCGCTTCGACCACATCGCTCTAGAGAGGGAGGTCAAGGCGTTGCTGAGAACACATCGTATGGACCCGGACGCCCTGCTGCGAGAAGCCGAGGAGGACAGCCGCTGCAAAGTGTTCGTCTCATGTCTAATGGGCATTCCGTCTTGTTTGTCTCGGGCTTGGCTGATCGTGCCCTCGCTATTTATGCAGTTTCGTGTGCGCGACAAGCCAGGAGATCGGCCGTCCAGTCGTTTTGTCCTCATATCACAACGCTCGACGTAGCAACGATGCGCTATCCCAGGCCAAGATATGGGAGGCGGCGCGCGCCACGTCGGCCGCAACAACCTTCTTCGATCCGATCACCATCGGGGGCGAGACCTTTGTGGACGGCGCAACGGGAGCGAACAATCCTATAAACTATCTGTGGACGGAAGCCGGTGACGTATGGGGCGACGGAGAAGGCCTGGATGTGGCTCGCGTGAAGTGCCTCGTCTCGATCGGCACTGGATCACCGTCCCTCGTCCCCTTCGGCCCGGACGTCGCGGGCCTCGCGAAAGCCCTGAAGGCCATATCGACCGACACGGAAGCCACAGCAAGCGTGTTCCAGAAGCACCACTCGAAGCTGTTCGCCAACGGCTACGCCTTCAGGTTCAATGTCGCCGCAGGCCTTGAGTCTGTGGGTTTGCACGAGGTGGAGAAGTGGAACGATATTGCTGCTGCAACGAGGGCATATATTCAGGAGGAAGACACATTCATCAAGGTGAAGAAGTGTGCACTGATGTTACAGGAGCGCGCGTGTAAGATCTCCCGCCAGTTGTACAAACTGCCTAGGTAGCCAGACTGAGGGAGACTGACAAGACTGGCGCGAATGTAGGGACGAATGCACTGGCCGGGGACATCATTGGATTCGCCAAGGCATCAATAGAGGATCTGAACGACCCGGAAAACCACATGGGGCGCGAGGGTCTTCAGTGGCTCACCCATACAACGCCATACGAGAGCTGGTGGTCACTGAACGGACCAAGTTCTTTCCTCTATTGCCGGCTGGCCTCCAACCCCCCAGACTGCTCCGGCGACTCGGTGGCTGCGTCCTTAGCCCAAATTCTTCCCGCTGGATGGAAACCGCATAGGCTCTCGGGAACCGAAGACGAGCCTAGCCTCTCCCGCAGCTTGTATTTCCAGTGCCTCGCAGAGCCCTCGGATGGAGTTGGCATCAACAGAGACGAGAGCGGGATGGGCCAGCTCACCGTATCCGCTCACTACGTTCTCGTCTACCTCATTTGCCAGGCGTTCTTGGTGGATCACGAACATTTCGAAGACCTCCCAAGACGGATACTCATGCTAAGCTCGGCGGACAGGCGGTGGATGCAATTGGCGACGAGCAATCCAGAGTCAGTGCCCATTAGCGTTGGCGTGGCGCTGCTCGCAACGGCAATCTCGACTGGTAGCAGGCCTGCCTGTATCGCCATCGACAACGTGCATCTCATCCGAGCCTCTGGTCTCAAAGGTCTCTTGTTTAGCCTCAGGTCTCTCTTTGACAAGTGGTACGGAACTGCGGAAGACTCCCTCCCCGTTGTCCTGTCAGGCCAGGCCACGGTCGATGTAACTGCAGAACTCGAGGGTGTCTTGCAAGTCGACAGTAACACCGAGTATCGTGGTAAGTCGGCCCCGGCTATCCGGGCAAGCATGGTGATCTGACCCTGAGCAGAGTGTGTTGCGTCACTGCACTTCGGCGACTGGAACACGCGGCGGCATCAGATCGACCAGCCCGAAGAGGGAACGAACTTGTGGATCTGGAAGCACGAAGAATACAAGGCCTGGTATGCAGCACGCCGAGGAATCCTATGGATAGAGGGAAAGCCGGGCAGTGGCAAGTCCGTCCTCGCGAGCTCTATGCAGAAGCAAATCGTTACCTCGTGGGAGCGAGAAGCAGCAGGCATTTCCGAGCATTCCCCGTCACGCGACGGTTCCCCAGCATCCATCATTGCCGGATGGTTCTACTCGACCCGACTTGGGGATGTGGGCACGTCTCACTCTTCCCTCTTGCGTTCGCTCGTTTACCAGATCCTGTGCCAGGAGCAGTCTGTTTTCCGCGATATCGTCGTCGAGTACTACCGCAAGTTCTCCGTCACACCCCCCCAACGCGGGAAGGACCGTCACACGTTTGCTACTGCGCCTTGGACACCAGGGGCTGGTGTTGAAACCGACCTCGGAAGACCGGCGCCGGTGGTCCCGGAGCCGGAATTCCCATCCTGGTGTCAATCCTCAGATTTTGAGGCCATCACCCTCGACATTCTCGGACGCGTCAGCGCCAGTGGAACCTCGATTATCTGCATTGTTGATGCCATGGACGAGGCGAAGCCAACAACCGAGGCGATGCTGCGAGGCGCAGCGGCGCAGAGAAAGAGCAGAATCCTGACCATCCTAGGGGCTTTGGCTCGTCTGGTGGTCGGAGTGGAAGGGTCGAGGATGAAATTCGTCCTCTTGAGCCGACCGGAGCCTCTGCTCGAGCTCGACTTTCTCCGAGCGCAACGAAAGCTAGAACACACGTTCCGAATCACGCTGGAGAACGCAAACAGGACCGACATCGAAGTGCTGGTAACCCGTGGGGTCGCGTCCTTGCAGGCTGCAATCCACACCTACGACTCGGACAGCGACGTAGATGTGCCCTGCTATGAGGACAAGAGCGAGCCTAAGGGCCCCCCAGGGATGCGCCGGGCGTTGCAGAACATGCAGCCATCCGAGGTAGACGCCTTGGGGAGGATTAGCGACTATATCCTCCAGCATGCCCGGGGAATCATTCTCTGGGTCACACTCATTCTCAAGGACTTGCAGGCCACAGCAGCGGCTGGCATGTCGACGTTTCAAGAGCTGGAGTCCAGACTGAGGTCGTTGCCTCTAGAGCTCGACGATCTCTACTCCACAATCATCCACGGCTTACGCTCTCGGCTCAGGACCAATGAACTACAGAAGAGCCGCAACGTCTTTGTCCTGGTCGCCGGAGCCGGCTCCTTTGGTCGCCCCCTCAAGCTCCAAGAGCTGTGGGAGGCACTCGCCGTTCCCGCGGACCTGGAACCAGCCCTCAAGTCGAGGACGGATCCTGTCGTCTCGAACCGAGTCATGATTTCGTCGTGGTCGGACTTCCGTCGCCAGCTGGCGAGATGTTGTGGCCCCTTGATAGAAGTTGTCAAGGTGGATCCGGACGAGGGTGTTCCGTCCCGCAGCGGCAGAGAGGCTCTGCCGGGTGATATCATCCAGTTCATTCACCGGACGGTCAAGGACTTCTTGGAGGAGCGCCAGGACTCGGACGAGTTCAAGGTCACCGAGGACGGCGCTCGCACGCACGTTGAACACCTCGCAAGACGGTACCTGGCCCTGTCGTTCCCCCAAGAGAAGCCTCCGTATTGGTCTGTTTCTCAGGCCACCGAAGCCATCCCGCTCAAGTGGAAGGAAAATGTGGGCAGCTTGGTGGATTATCTCGACAGTCGTATGTTGCTGTCCTTCGCCCTCAGCGTCGTCTCCAATGTCGGGGCGCCGGCGCAGGACCACCTCGACGTTCTTTTTGAGCTCATGGACCACATGATCTATCCACCGGTTCTTGCGTGGGGTGATGACCAGATACGCGACCATTTAGCGGACGAGTGCAGGTACTATCCTGGGTCCATGGGCCGATTTTTCTCAATCGTGTCGGTCAAGGCCGTCTTGCTCGGGCACGCGGCACTCCATGCCTGCATGGAAGGCGCCGTGACAGCCGCGGAAAACCTCCTTGTTCTCTTTGGTGATGGGGGTGCTCTTTGGCTTCCCTACACTCGGAACGATGAAGACGTTATGCTGAACGTTTGGCTTCCCTACACTCGGAACGATGAATACGTTATGCTGAACGGAGCCTTGAGAGCGGCAATCCGGTCCGGGTTACTGGAGGAGATGCGTCGTCTGACGCGACACGATCGGCATCAGGGTGTCTTTATCACCCCTTGCGAACGGTCGATCGAAGGAGACCCGTTTTTGCAGTTGGCAACCAAAGCTGGATTTGTCGATGTACGCACCAAGCTGCACGGTTTGACCAAGCAATTCACGGACAGGACCAATGCAGTGTACTACGGGGCGGTCACCGTTCACGACCTTAACGAACCCCTCCCCATGCATCTAAGATATGTCTCCACAGGCCCAAGCAGGTCCAGTACGGCTTTTGTCACGGAGAACAAGAGTGACGTCGTTGCGCGCGAATCCGGGCATAGGGCCGTCTCCAACTCACCGGTCCAAGATGCAGAGCTCAAAGGCTTGATGAAGCGGCGGGGTGAAATCCGTGAGGCAGTGCAAGTGATTTGCGGCCTGCTACCAAAGGCAGGTGAAGTCTTATACCATCTCAGTAGACCATTAGATGACTAACCGGCCGATTTCTTGTTGACCAGCAGGCAGATGGCCGGCAGGCAGTTGTCCAGAAGGCAGTTGTCCAGGAGGCAGTTGTCCAGCAAACGGTTGATCAACAGGCAGTTGATGACACAACCTTCGCGCGGGCACCAAGCCTGGGCGGCAGAGGCTCGAAGCCGCCATTGCTACATCTGTCACGGGCCACGCCGACCACTTGGCTTGATCGACCATTGAACGTCAAGGCATCGATAGCAAGTCGCACCTCAATCTTCCACTGCACCGTTCACTGACCTTTGAGCGGGATAACTAGGTCCCGAACACTTCACGCGGCGGCAGCTCTTGGCTCAAGTCATTACTTGGAAGAAGAAAGAAAGGGGAATGAATCGATCATTATAGATGTCGTAAGATAGTCTGGTCCAGAGAGAACACCTAGAGATGATATACCTCCTGGGCACCGAACGGCCTCGTGAGTTGATAATAGTAGGCGTTGCACAAGTGCCACGGGCCGACAGGGACGGTGTAATTACCCTAGTTTGAGCAGAACATGACGTTGGGGGATTCCTACCTAGGTAGTTATGTAATTACCTAGGCACCTAAGGTATGGTTAACGTTTGTCTAGGCCGTTTATTTATCAGCGCGCTCGCCTGAGTCTTGCCCACTTAATACACTCTCTACGCACCCCCTACCCCCGTGAAAAGAGTTCTCGTTAGAAGTGCCAGCTGGCGGGATGCATGGTGCGCCCTCGAGCATTAGGCCTTCCAAATTTACAATAGCATGACAGCCGAGGTAACACTCTCAGCTCGACACGATTATGGATGGTTCAACTGTAATGTGGCAAATGGCATCCGGGCGGGGATCAAATTTGGGAGTGAAGCGATTTCCGGATTGCTGCGGCTACTTGAGGACGCGTTGGGTAGGTAATTTGGAGGTGCTTATCAAGTTGTGTATGTTGATATCCAAATGCTTGGTTGGCGGCTGAGGGCCTACGTCAGGGGCTACGTCAGCCTCAATTCCGTTTGTTCTTTCGTCTGCTTCGGTGGCTGAGTTCAATGCGTAATGCGCAGCTCTTTCTTTAAGTATTTTGCGGCGGGTGAGCGGGAGGCGGGCGCGCGGCGACATCATGTTTGGCTTGGGCAACGACCCCGCCCGCCCGCTGCGCCCCTCCATTTCACCAACTCCCGAGTCCAAATCCACCATATTAGTGCGGGGCACCACCACCACCACCACCACCACCACCAACGCCTTCCACCAAACCAAGAACGACAAAGCATAATTGCGTTGAGAAATAGAGATGAGCTCAAACGAGAAACAGCCACCGGTCGGACCGGCCGGACAACAGGGCCAGCAACAGTACTTTCCTCCTCCACCGCCCGGCCCGCCGCCGGCACAAACCGCACAGGCGCACCCGCAAGGTTCCCAACCGCCGAAGCATACGAACGAGACTCCCCTTCCCGACTACAATATTCCCGCATACAAACCCGCCAACCCGCAGTTCGCGCCCCCCCCTCTGGGTGCCGACGACGATCTCTACAACGCGTCTCCGACGAATGAGCAGCCGCCGAAATGGGGCCACCACCAAGCTCATGGCAGCGAAGGAGAGACAAAAAAGAAGTCGAACCGGTTATCCGCGTTTGGCGAAGCTTTCACAAACAAAGTGGCTGGCCCTGTGAATGCTCTGGCGAACAAGTTTGGGTCTGAGGGGTTCCTACCCGAGTCGTTGGACAAGGAATGCGAGAAGGCCGCCAGGATTCTGCGGGGTTTCTGTAGTAAGTTTTGCTCTGTCGAGTTGTCGTTTTCTTTGGACGTCGACTGACCTTTGTCTCCTAGAGGACGGTGTCTACACCGATGTAGTCCCTCCTACCGCGCCCGCGTCTGCGGCGACAGCGACCCCGGCAACCGCCGACAAACCCCCGCCCTCGCCTTCCGGCAAACCCAAAAAGTCCCGCGTCCTGCTCACCATCCCCTCCAAGGTCATAGCTCGCGCCCAGGGCCTGGCCATCTTCACGGCCGTCCGCGTAGGCTTCCAAGCAGCGGGATCCAGCGGCAGCGGTATCCTCGTCGCGCGCCTCGCCGACGGCAGCTGGTCGCCACCCTCGGGTATCCAAATCACCTCGATCGGCGCAGGCTTCGTCGCGGGCGTTGACATCTACGACTGCGTCATCGTGATCAACACGCGCGAGGCGCTCGACATGTTCACCAAGATGCGCCTGAGCCTCGGGTCCGACCTGGCCGTCACAGCCGGCCCCTTCGGCGCGGGCGGCGCGCTGGACTGGGGCATGCCAGCAGGCGGTGGGGACAGCAGCAAGAAACAGGCGGCCAAAGACACCGCCGCCGGCGAGACAAAGCCCAACCCCAACGCGCCGCGCCCGCTGTCTGCCGACAACACGCACTTCCAAACCGCCCCGGTCCCCGAGCACCAGCAGGGCATGACCGAGGAAGAGGAGGACGACGGCAAGGGCAAGGGCAAGGGCAAGGACGGCGGCCGCCGCGCCAGCCCCTTCCGCGACGCCCTGCGCAAGCCGGTATACAGCTACGTCAAGTCGCGCGGCTTCTACGCCGGCGTGCAGATCGACGGGACCGTCATCGCTGCGCGTGAGACCGCGAATGCTAGGTTCTACGGCCGTGCTGTGCCCGTCGAGAGGATTCTCAAGGGGGAGGTCCCTGCTGCGCAGGCTGCGCAGGCTGGAACGTGGCCTGGGGGTGCGAGGGGGTTGTTTGAGGTGTTGAGGGGTGCGGAGGCGGGGAAGCCTGCGCAGGGCCAGACTGCACAGGGCCAGCCGGGGTTGTGGCAGGGTGGCAGGCCGGCTAGTGCTGGCTCTGGCGGGCACGGTGCCGCGTTTGGTGCCGCTGCCGGAACTGGTGGTGCGCCGGCTGGCACTTGGGTGCCGCCTCCTGGTGCGGGTACGCAGGGGAGTGTGCAGGGCGTCACGGCGGGGGTGCGGGATCTGGGCGTCGGCGGTTCTTCTACCTCGGGCCCGCCCCCTGGTACGACACCGGCCACTTCCGGTGCGGCCGCCAAGGCGGCCGAGGCTGCTGCCGATGCGGCGCGTGCTCAGGAGCCGGTTGAGCAGCCCCCGCCGTCGTACTCGGAGCCGCACGGCGCTCCTGATGACCTGCCCCCGGCGTATGTCGAGGACGAGAGGTATCGGCATACAGGTGGCGATAGCAAGACGGGGCTGCATTGAGTGGGATGTATGTTTCCTTCATGGTGGTTGTTGTCTAGAAAGGGGTGGATGCTGATGTGAATGACTTGATGACGAACGGGTTATGGTATGGTGCGGAACCAACAATCTCTGATAATGTATTGCGAAGCGTGATATCCCCTAGCACAGTCCCATAACTAGGTATTCGAAAGTTATTACCCGTTTGTATGAAGTTGTCTTACTGGCAGGGGTAAGGGCCGGGTGATCTCGCCCCTCGGCAAGTTCACCGGTCCGAACGCCGAAGTGACCAAACGGGCCAAGCTCGAACGCTCGCCCCTATTTCAACGACACCTCACGCTCCAAAACAACAAAATGCGTAAACATTGCCATACCCCCCTAAGAAACACGTCTAACTCCGTCTCCCGCCGTCACAATGTCCGACCCACCAACACTGGTCCTGATCCCCGGGTCATGGCACCAACCGACCTGCTACAACAAGATCACCAAGCTCCTCGAAGAGCAGCACCACCTCAAATGCGTCTCCATCACCCTCCCCTCCACCACCGGCGATCCCAACGCCACCTTCAAAGACGACCTCGACGCGGCCCGCTCAGCCATAACCGCTGAAACCACCGCGGGCCGCAACGTCGTCGTAATCGCCCACTCCTACGGCGGCATGGTCGGCAACAGCGCCATCAAGAACCTCACCCAACGCCCCCCACCCGGTAACAAAACAGGCCACGTCACCGGCCTAATCCTCATCGCCTCCGGCTTCACCCTCACCGGCCTAACCTTCATGGCCCCCTTCCTCAACCGCCCCCCACCCACCTGGCGCGCCAACACCCACACCGGCTTCGCCGACCTCACCGTGCCCCCCTCCACCCTCTTCTACCACGACCTCCCCGCCACCGAAGCAGCCCACTGGGCGTCCCAACTCCGCCCACAAAGCTTACGCTCTCTATTCGAAGGCGGCGAGCACGCCTACGCCGGGTGGCGCGACCTCGGGCCCAGGGGTGTGTGGTACGTGGGCACGGCGCTGGATCGGGGTTTGCCGGTGGTGGTGCAGCGGATGCAGGTGGGTGCTGCGCGGGCGATGGGGGTCAGGGTGGAGCATCGTGAGTTACGGGCGAGCCACTCGCCGTTTTTGAGCAGGCCGGAGGAGACGGTGGCGGTGGTGGTGGAGGCGGTGGAGGTGTTTATGGGGCGGGCGGTGCCTGGCTCTTCCGTCGTGGGCGGGGGGTCGGGAGGGAAGGGGGAGGTGGTGGTCCCGAGGGTGGGGTTGTGGGAGCCGGGGACGTGGTTTCGGTTTGGAGTGCCGCTTGTGCTGGGGCATGTCGTGGGGAAGTGTGTGCTGGTGTTTTACTGGGGGAGGAGGCTGTGGACGGGGAGGTGAGGGGAGAGAATGCGCGGCTGGGTTTCGTGCTTCAAGGCTGCAAACGTCCCGTTGGGCTTTGGGTGTAGTAAAAGTAAAGAGTATTCTTTGGGTATAAAAACGGCTAACTTGTGTATGACAGATGAACTAATCTTTCCTTTTTCGGCTGTATAAATATACAAGTGGGCCACAAATCCGACACACACCTCCGACATCAACGCTCAGCTGCCTGCCTACTCTGCCCGATATGAACTCCATGTAAACGCCTTCTAATGCCCATTCACTTCCTACGCCAAAGCCATCCCCAATCCGACACCCAAACTCAAAATAACAAAAGCAATAAAGGGGTTGAATGATGATATTTGGCATCAAGATCGAAGTGAAAACAAAAGAAACACCACCGACACCGTTACTCTGCTGGCAGCCATACGAGCTCGATGATGCCATCCCGGTTATTCATGGGCGACCCATCCCCGTTCGTCCACCGCCCGTCGTTGCGCTTGGACACGTACACCTGGCTGACGCTGCCGTCCTCGTTGACATTCGCCTCGAGCAGTTCCCAGGCGATCTTGCGCCCCGACTTTCGCAGCGGCGGCCGCTGCGGGCCCATCATGAAGTCGAGGTTATACCCCTTGTCGTCCGGTGCAGGGCGGAAGGTGGCCTCGAACTGGTCCAGGTCGAAGTCGATGCCCCGGGGGTAGTAGGCGATGCTGTATCCGTTGGAGATGATAAAATCGTCGGCCGTCTGGAACCGCTGCAGCGAGCAGTCCTCGCCGCAAGCATGCGCAACTTTGGTGTAGTGCCACGGATGGGCAATGTGCCAGATGCCGCCGCGGTAGTGGTGCAGAGACAGCGGCCGGATGCCGGACTCGTAGAAGCCCGACGGGTCGCCGAAGAGGTCGAGCTGCCAGAGCTCATTGAGAAGGGTGAGCCTGACCTCGGAGTTGTCGTAGATGCACATGCGGAGCATGATGTCGCCCTGCGGGCCCCAGCCCGTGTCGGATTCGCGGATCTTGTTGTCGCTGCTGCAAGATTCGAACCTCTCGGCGATAATCGCAGCCATGGGCACGCTGAGAAACACGCCGGCGCCGCCAAATGCCTGTGATCCGTGTCGCTGGATGTTGTTGACGTCTTCGGAGAAGGTACCGATGTACATGGGCATTTCGTGATTGTATTGGGCGAACCTGTCGGCGAGTGCATTGAAGGATGGGAAGAAGGTATCGTCGTCGCAGACAACAAGCCACTTCTTGTTGACGCGCTCGGGGTGGTTGTACAACCTGGGCGCAAGAGCGAGGTACCGTACCGCCATGATGAGATTCGGATCTGAGCGGTACACGTCCACGTCGATGCCGACCTTGGCGAGCTTGCTGTACGCATCCTCGAGCTCATCATCTGTAGCGTCGAGCAGGAGCAGCACGAGCTTTCCACCGTTGGAATTGCCCTTGCCGTCCGTGAGCCAGTAAGTCCACTCGTTGATTGGGCTTGTGCGTATGTCAACGAATCGCTTGTAGGTAGTCGAGACACCGAACATGAAGTCGGATGCGTTGGCCGTGGCCGGGAACGGGGACATGGTGACCGGGGCAACGAGGGGTTCCGGGCACGTCTCAGCCTGGTACTGCCTGTTCACATCCACCACCTTGACGGCGTCGGCGAGGAAGTCCTGGTCAAGGTGCGTGACTGATTTCCTTGGAATGTCCTGGCGGCTGGACTGCACATAGCGCTTCGTGTACTCGAAGGTTTCTTCGAGGCCGTACAGTTCTTGCCACCTTCTGAGACGTTCCATGTCGTACCCGCAAGTCATGACGTGGGACGAGTTCGATATCGTCGGTTCTGCTCCCTCCCCATCCGCATCCTGCTCAACCGGCTCTCCTCCAGGGCCCCAGCCAGCAGATTCAGGCCGGCTTATTGGTGTTTGCAGCGTCATGGCCTCGCGCGCCGAGGCAGCCGTTTTCAGGATGGCTGCTCTCACGTCGACGTCGGGCGGAAGAAATATTCCACCGATGGTAAACATGGCGATGGCGAGTATAAGCGCCCTTACTAAGGTGTTCCGCATGCTGAACAAGCGGTGCCGGGGTATTGTGGCGCCCATCGTGAGGCTGTTGCTAATGGCGCGATGTACTCAGTCGGAGGACGCGAGAACAGTGGTTCGGGTACAGTCGGGGCAGAGTTTGGCCTGCACCTGCCTGCCGCCGAGGAAATCGGGATGGTCGCCTGGCAGTTTCAAGTCGTGGGGAAGGTGCGACCTGCCTGACCGCCCGAGAACGGCAACCGCGGTTGGGTGTTGGGCAAGAAGGGTCTTGCTTGAAATTCACGGTGAGGGAGTTGAGCCAAGGAGGTGAACTACCTGAGTTCTTGACTTGCGGGGGAGCCCAAAGAATAAAAGGGTAAGAAGGCAGAGGATGGAGAAGGAAGAAGATGAAACAAAACGTAGGGAGGAAAGGACGGTGGTGGGACAGGGTATAACAGAACGGGTGTGACAGTCTGGAAACTTATTCAGGGACAGCGAGAGGCCAGAAGAGGATTGCAAGGGTCATGGATGATTGTCAGGGGAAGCATGGAAACATGGCCGCTGAGTGAGGAGAAGAGGCTCCGAGGGCAGTGATGTCCACGCATCCTGGCGACTCAATATGACGCGTCCGCACTGTGGGGACGAAAATTATGTTAACGATGACCCGACTCCGTCAGAGAAACTTCGTCTGCTCTCGGAGTGCTGTCTAACACGGCGGAAACGAGGGAGCACGACGGAAACACAAACCGGAGTTGAACATGGGGATCAGTCGATCCAGCCGCCAGATTAGGTGACTCGGAGCGAAGGCTACTTTCCTCATAAAATATTATACAAAGACCGCTGGGATCGGTCCTTCGGAACGTGACAGGTTGAAAGCATTTTTGTTGATCACCGGGTTTGTGCCAATAGAGAATGAGCGCTTGCTTGCCTGCACAGAGCATGCAACAGCCAGGCAACCCGCCCGAGTTCGCGCCGGTCGGTGTGGCCGCCCGGTCGGGGTGAGTGGTACGCCCATGGCACAGCCGGGTTTGAGATCAGCAGATCTTCAACGACGTCCTTGATTCCTGGCGGGGATTGGCTGCGAGGATTGGCAGGACGGGACCTCCTTCAATCTGGCCCCCATTATTCTGGCCACCTCGGGGCGATGCTTACGACTGCGAGCTTTTCTTAAGATAGCTCTTGAGCCAGCAAAAATAAATGCTGTCTTCGAGTTGACTTCTATTCTTGTTTGGCAACCTGCCGCCAGTTGGTTCCCCCGTATCCTCCAGTCTGACAATGAGGTCATCGGCGGGGATGTCTGGAGCCCCTTTGCAAACCGTTTCAGATGTGTGGGGGTTCCCTGCCGGTTGCAGGCTGGCGGTACGCTGGTCCACTGTTCGGTAAAAGAGATGTCGATCTCGAAGCCGCCGATCAAAATAGCCGTTGCGATCAGCGATGCTGGCGGCTGGGGGCTGTTTTTTCCTCCAGTCACTCGAAGCGCCAGCAGGCCAGCGACAAAGGGAAAGATAAAGAGGGCAAGGAAGTGGCCCGAGGATATACATTAAGTAGGCCTGGATGTATATATTTTCCCAAGCGAATACCAGGGTAGCATCCGACGCAATACCGCGAGGTTGCACCAGCCCAGCACATGGACTTTCCTCTTTCTGATGGTTGGGCAATGGGCAAAGATGAAAGAGTGCCTGGGTTTGGTAGTATTGCGGCGGTCTGGATCGAAGTTGTGCCAAGTGCCGAGCACGACCTAAGCTTCTCGCTGCCGTAGCTTGGCGATGGGTTTCACGATCCGGCCGCCAGCGAAGGGGGTGCAAAGAAACTGTGACGACTGAGGAATGTATTTTCCCCGCTAAACTGATACGACAAATTCCAGAAATACGTGCTCCTTCTGAAACTGTTACGGCGCCACAAACCACTAGTGAGACGAAGTTTCACCAACAAACAACAGTGCGAGTGTGAGACGGCAAGTGAGACAGACAATTCGTCACTCAGCGGAGCCGATTTGGTGTGGTGCGTTGGTTCTTTCACGTGCCTCCCCCGTGACAAGCCCCACATCGCTATCTTATCAGCCCCTTATCTTATCAAACCCCAACCTGGCGCCTTCGACCACTCGGCCAAACCTCGAGTTTGTCCCAAACTCACACAAACCTCGACCCCTCCAACCTCCCCCCCCTCCAATTCTCCCACATCCCCACTGACCTCGCCGCGCCCATCACCGCCCCCGTCGTCTCCCGCACCATAACAGGCGCCGGAGCGAACCGCACCTGACTCCCACTCCCACGCCCACGACCCCCACCAAATCCCCCACCCTGCCTTCCACCAGCACCAACACCACCACCAAGACCAAGAAGCACCTCAAAAACCCCCCTCACCCGCACTAGCACCACCCTCGTCTTCCCCCCCGTCCCATCCACCATAAACCTCACCACCGCCTCCCCTCCCCGTGACCCATCCCCATCCCCTCCATCCCCCCCATTCCCCCCATCCTCCCCGCCCTCCCCATCCCCTCCCAGCGGCGGCAGCACCTCCCCCACCCTTACCCTCCTCGACCCCGCCACCAACCGCAGCCAGTCCTCCGCCGTGCGTATGCGTGCCGCCGCCGGGGGCGGGAGGCGCGGGAAGGCCCATGCCAGGGGCCGGGTCCATGGCTGGGTCGCCGTGGTGCTGGTGATGGGCCGGCGGTCGAGGTCGATGGCGCTGTCGGCGCCCCAGGGGCGGGCGTGGCGGGCGCGGTGGCGGTGGGAGGCGGTGGATTCGGAGCAGTAGGTGCATGGGAGTGGGATGGCGGGGGGTGTTTCTGAGGGGGGTGGTGGTGGTGGGGGTGGTGAGGTTGAGGTTGAGGTTGGGAGGGTGGGTGAGGTGGAGGGGTTGGGTTTGCGGCGCTTTGGGGAGGGGGTGGGGGAATGGGGGTCGGGGTCGGCGTTGCGCTTTTGTTTGCTGGTGGTGGTAGTGGGTTGTTCGGTGGTATGCTGCTCGAGTTGTTGTTTGGCGAGCGCGAGCTTGTTGCCGACGGATTTGAGGAAGACGTTGCTTGGGATGGCCATGCCGAAGGCCTTTTCCAGTTCGGCGAAGGGTGCGGCTTGGCGCCGCGTGTCGTCGTGGTGACTGTCTTCGTGTTTCTGGGCCGTGGCAGCTTCTTTGGCCGCGAGAACCCCGAGTGACGCATCCCGGGCCTTTGCCGCGAGGGTGCTCACGAATAACGACGGTAAGTGCGTCTCCACCGATACTACCTCCTCGTGGGCGGTCTGTAGCGCAGCGTCAAACTCCCACCACCAGTGACCTATTTTGCCTCGGTTGTTTTGTTGTCCGGGGCTGTCCTTTGGCAACCCCTTCGTCCGCCATCGCACAACCATGCTTTTGCCCACCGTTGTCATGGCCTGGAAAAACCGGGGCCCAACGCCAACATCTTGGCGTAACTCTTCGAGTAGCTGGTTGACCTCCTCCCTCTGTGCTTGTTGAAGGCCAGAGGTGGGCCTCTCCGCCAAAATCCGTAGCAACACAAGACCGACGATGTCCGACGGGTACTCGTTAAAATGCGGCGCCTCCCAACTCTGACCATGATCTGACATGACAATGATCTTTTTCGCCGCCACAGACCCCTTATTAGGCCCCTCTTCCTCACTCTCGGACTCCGAACTAGACGAGATATACGCCGGCGGCGGCGGACTTCTCAAGCCACTCCCACTCAAACGACTCCCTTGGTATTCTTCCGTCAGGCATAGCTCCGCCTCCTCGGCCTCGAGAGATAGGGCCCGCAGTTCGTACAGCGCCGTATCCCCGCCGAGCAAGTGCAGGACGCGCACGACTCCGTCGCGGATTCTGAGCCACCGCGCAAGGTCATCGCGGAAGCACGTCTCGCAGTAGACGTTGCCCGGACGCGCGGGGGCTCGCCGGACGGCATGCTGCGGTGGGGTGTCCGTTCCAAGATCCCAGATGCCGGGGTCGGCTTCGGGGGCGTGATCTACGAGTGGCGATGGCGGTGATACGGGAAGTGGCGGTGGCACGGCTGATGGCTCGTCTGGCGGTGAGGCGAATGGGTACGGCGTGTCGGCAAAGGCAGGGTCCACGAACCGATCGGGCTCTGGTGTTTCCTGGGCTAGGGGGGGCGGTCGCTGCTTCTTGGGCCGCTTCTTGGGGGCCTTTGGGAGCTTCGGGATCTTGGGCATGGGCCCGGGACCGAGAGGGATGTAATCTGCGTCCATTGACCTGTCGTGGGGGTCGGCTTCCGGTTCTCCGCTGAGGTCTTCTTCCACCATTGCGACAGTATCCGGCGATGGCAAAGGGGAGTCGGCAGCACTTTCTTTGAGCCAAGCGTTGGGGACATCATGCCGAGAGATACTTCGGATAGGCTTCGCCGGCTTCTTTTTGATGCCGGGATGTTCTTTTCCTTTCTTCCTTTCTCCCGGCCTGGGCTTACTCTTGCCGTCGCTGGGTGGCTCAAGAATGCCATATATCTCCCACGGAATCTGCGACGGCGTTGGTGCCTCGACAGCTGGTGGCTGTTTCACGCCGTCTCCGCAAGTAGGCTTGGGAGGTGTTGGATCCGGCACAGCCCTTTCCGGCGTTGTCGGGACTTTGGGGGTCTCGTAGAAGTCGGCAGCTTTAGGACGTTTACTCTGGGGTGCTAGTTTGTTCGCCGAAGGTTGGACGGCTCCGCCCCGACGACCTGTGTGCGGGATGTTGGGCTGTAATGGAGTGCCGACTGTTGCTTCCGCACTCGAGACTGGTGGCGCCTCTTTTTCTGGCGTGTCCTGCGGCTTACTCCTCGTTTTAGTCGTCGGGGCCGCAGCTTCGGTCTTGGATTCTTTAACCTTGGGTGCAGTTTCTGCTTTTTTGCTGGTCTTGGTGACGGGATTGGATGTTTTCGCAGGTTTTGAGCTGCCCTTTTTGACAACGCGAGCCGAAGGTTCGTCTTTTGGTTTGGGAGTGACTGCCTGTGCTGCCATGGACCTAGTCATCCTCCCGCTAGTTCCGGACGCATGAGCAACCATCTTTCTAGTTTCTCCTTCTGATTCGGTTTCCCTTTGCTGATTGGGTTTCGCAGTGGTAAGATTTGCTGGCTTTAATGTTGCTGAATGACGGCCCGGTACAGATTTCCTCGGTATCCGTGACAGCGACTCTCCCCGAGTAGTTGCTGGTTGAGCTTCCTCGTTCGATGGGTCCATGGGGCCCCTAGTCTGCGAACCAGAGGAAATTGCACCGTTGTTTTGGTACGGTGTCCTTTCCCGCCACTACTTGGGTACTCGGCGGTGGTATTTACGGTTCGTTGGAGGGTCGTGCTTTGTGCGGAGGCAGGGGCTGTGACAAGAAAGGGATTCTCCCTCGCAACAACTTGTCGCCTAGTTCGTTAATGCAGATGCTTTCGGCAAGACTTGGTCTTCAAGATTTGCAAAATGGAAAGATGAACCTCGAAGACGCAGAGCTCTCTTCAGCTCTGCTCTGGGAGATCCTGGATTCCTACACCCTTGTGCTTTGTCCTGGGGTTTCTCCTTTGTTAGTACCGCGAGGGAAGGAGGCTAATAAATAATCGTTTCCGGCGCGACGTTGAAGTCGAACAAAGACGAGGAGCCAAAACTAGATGCATGGAATGGTAATCTCAACCTTGATTGTCAATTGTCGATATCACTATCGAATAAAAAGTCTGAGTCTCACACTGCCTCAAGCAAATGTCTACCTCGGTTCCACGGGACGAGTTCCGGAGGGTGGAATTCAAGACTCAATCGTCGCTGATTAAAGGTTATGGCAAGGTGGCCGAGTGGTTAAGGCGCTGGATTTAGGAAATTCCACTCCAGTGGGAAACCGCGCGAGTTCGAATCTCGTCCTTGTCAAACACATGCTTTTTGGAGTCACGGGTCATGATTGCTTGCTATTCGAGCTGGGCAATCGAGTCGACAGCAAAGACCTCAGGATCCGAGCCACGCGAGAAACAGCCGTACCCTAACCCTGATCATTCTTCCCCACCTTGCTCCCGCTCGCTCGAGCGTGTGAACATCGCATCATCTTAAAGACATCAACAAGCGGTAACTACCTAGGTACCACCATCGCTATCGTCGATGAATAAGGGCGATTTGTTTTTATGGAGGTATTCTTCTGGATTACAATTAAATCCCCCCACCCCAGGCCGCAACTTCGGTGTTCAGTTGAGGACTGCAAGTCAAACGGAGTGCATCAACCACTGCAAGTGGGCTGCGACTGCATCGGTTAACATGTCAGATCGATCATCGATGGGTTAGTGCCAACTTGATCAATTGATCACCACCATCTCACTTTCGTTTACACCACTATTTTCTCGAACTTTCCCAACCTCAATTGATCAAAAATGTCGCCCTCCTCCGCCTCAACCCCTCTCCTCTCGCGGGACCTCAACTCGCCCGAGCGCTCGACGCCGTCATCCCCGACGCGCCTGCGCCCCAAGATCGCAAACCGCATGTCCTCCAGCACACCGCAGCCGGAGCGTCCCCACGTCGAGACGCACACGGGGCAGTACGACGCCGTCCTGCGCGACGTCATCATCGGCTTCTCCGACGGCTTGACCGTGCCCTTCGCCCTGACCGCGGGGCTGTCCTCCCTCGGCAACACCAAGATCGTCATCATGGGCGGCCTGGCCGAGCTCTGCAGCGGCATGATCAGCATGGGGCTCGGCGCTTACCTGGCCGCCGATACCGAGCGCCAGCATTGGTGCGTCTGCTCTGCCCCCTCCACAACCCATACCAAGAAAAGTCTCAGCCCATGAACTGACACCCCCGATTAGGGAAGCCGAGTACGCGCGCGAATCCACCGAGGTCGACACGATGCCGGGCATGGAGCGGGCCGAGATCCACGACATCCTCGCCGACTACGGCATCAGCCGGGCCGCCGCCGAGCCGCTCGTGCGGGAGCTGACGGCCGACAAGGCGCAGTGGGTGCGCTTCATGATGGACTTTGAGCTGCGCCTGCCCGAGCCCGACGCCGGCCGCGCCTGGGTGTCGGCCGCGACCATGGGGCTGAGCTATTTTGTCGGGGGGCTGATCCCGATGCTGCCGTATTTCTTTCTGGACCGCACGGATCGGGCGCTGCTGGTGTCGTGCGCGATTACGGTGGTGATCTTGTTGGTGTTTGGGTTTTTGAAGAACTGGGTTGCTATCCGGACGCGCAAGGCGGGGGTCTGGGGCGCGGCGCAGACGTTGGTTGTGGGTGTGCTTGCGGCCGGGACGAGTTATGGCATTGTGCGGGCGTTGGACAACGCGGGGAGTTCGTGATGGCTGCTAGGCTGGATACTTAGGTGCGGGATCAGGGTAGGGAAGGTACGTAGGAATGGAAAATGGCATTCGGGGCGAGACTCTGATTTCAGTATTACAATGGTACCTCGAAAAGGGAAACGAAAATACCACTAGAGCAACCACCACCGTAGGTGCTCACCCATCTAACACTTCCCCGACGCCGCCGGGACTGACCATGCCAGGCTCACCTGCGGACTGCAACGAATGGGTGTTGAGCACTCGCAAAACAGACTGCGTATTGCACTTGCGTAGTGTTATACCTGCCTGCCCTGCCTATACAAAGATCGCATCAAATAAAATCCATCGCATTCCGCGGCCTCTCCGCCACAAACTCCAACCCTTCCCACTCCACGTTCTCCTTGTCCCCGCCCACAAGATCCTCAAACCCCTTCATGACTTCCTCCGTCGGTCTCCAGCCCTCACCGACCTGCCACGTCACTTTGCCCTTCCCATCCCCCTTCGGCGCATCGTATCTCACCCCCCATCGGAACATAACCATCCGCATTATGTGATCCTCATCAAACAAAGGGGGCACGTCATCACTCTCTTCATACTCCTTCGCCCGCTCCTCGGAAGGCCGCCACGTAAGCCATGTAAACAGCTCAGCATCCTGAAGCAAGGCCATATTTTGCAGAGCCGACGCAAATGCCAAGAGCAAAGGCGTGATACGCTCCGCGATGGGCAGGATGCGGAACATGTCAGGCGAGCGCATAGACAACATTTCGTCGTCATCTGTGTACTCTTCTTGCTCGCGGTTCCATAACTCGTCCGTTTCTTGGCCATCTTCGTTGCCCGGCGGGTAGTGCTCTTCTTGCGTGATGGCATAGCCTGTGGCGTGGGGATCTTCGCTTCGCGGCCCGGAAAAGTACCAGCGGCCGTCGGGCGCGCACGGGTGGAATTCGACTTTGAGGTGCTGCATGTGTGGCCATGATGAAGAATGGAAGAGATCGGGGGTTATAAACGCGCGGATGTTAAATTTCTCCATACGGCTCCCCAAGTCCCGCAGCCCGAGAGACACAGGGTCCATGCCGTCAAACTCCGAAGTCGATGAGCCGACTAGGTCAGGCATCTGCACCGCTTGGTCCGTCTCGTCGCCGTAGGGATTGGGGTTCCAGAACCAGAGCCGGGCCTTGGTGAGGGAGGATGGGAGCAGGGGCATGGTATCGCGCACACCCCGGCCGAACTCGACGCGGGCATCGCGCCAGGGACCTTCCCAAACGCGGGCGAATTTGTGCAGTGCCTGGAAGGAGAAGGCAAAGGGAAAGCGCTCCCATAGCCAGGGGCAGTCGAGATTGCGAAGGCGAGGGAGGCGAGTGGCTAGTTCGAGCGGCACGCGCGGAGAGACGGGCCGCATATGGGTCATGTTCATGTCCGGCTCGACGGTGTAATTCCGGGCCGGAAAAATGCGTAGTTCGGTGGCGTAGTTGAGGAGAGGTAGGCTGTCTACGTTCTGGACGGTTAGGCGGCGGGTGTGAAAGTAGCGGTGCAAGCAGTCCCCGTCGGGGTAGATGTCGAAGGACTGGCTGACGATGCGGATTACGGGCCAAAGGCCATCGTGTCTGCGGATGAGAACCGGCTCGTCCGGGAGCTGTTTGTCTGAGATGTCCTCGAGCTCGTGTAGCGCATTGAAAAAGGCGTGCACTTGGGCTGAGAAGTGGTCGTTGATGGCCTCGAGCACGACGGGGGGCTCCCAGCACCCGATGGGCGCATCGCGTGGGTTGAGAAGCAAGGGCATTTCCGCGTCCATATTGCATTCGCGAAGGCCGATGAAGTCATTTAAGTCGACTGGTTTGAGCGCGCGGTATCTGCGTTCCATTTCGAGGAGAGAATTGAGAATCGCATCTTTAGAAGGGGGGGGTGGCGAGAGTGTGTTGGGAAGCCATCGTGAAGATTGGCTGACAGGTGTTGTGCGATGGAGGTTAAGTGATGCTGCTATCATTTAAAGGAAGAAACTAGAAGAGCCGCAGGTAATATCGAACTTCTATTACATGTAGGCAGGGAGTTACATTCACAACAGGTCAACAGACAGCCCAAGTTCCTCAACTCGCGCAAGCCCGCCTGTTCATGAGCGCCAAGGCAATGCCAAGACCTGTACGGAGCTTGTGAAACCCTCACGTTGCGGGAGAGTTATCGCCAAAAAAAGAGAGTAAACAACTAACAACAGAAGGTGACGAGGGATAGGCAGAGAATAAGTCATATATACAGCCGCCAATGTTTTACTAGTCTCGACCATTACACGTTATCGTTAAACGGCCAACCATCCATATCATGCCCTAAGTCTCACAAGCTTGTTCTCACCATAATTCCTTAGACGATGTTGTCTCGCCGTGAACGACCTAAGGGTTGACAAGCGACTGTTTTCGTGAAAGTCTAATGAATAGGGTATCCTACAGGTAGGTACCTACTCGGGAATGTAAAATCGCCCACCTGATCATCCTCTTTTCATCCAGCTGTGTGTCTGATGTCCAGCTCGCTATGGCCGTGGCCATGGCCGCCACAGACCTGACCACCCGGCCGCCATGTTGCCAGGTGATGGGATATAAATGAAAACTCCTTCTACCGAGAAAGCAGACCTGTCGTAATATTGGCGTTGTTGTGATTTACTTAATATTTTCTTTCGCTTTGCCTTTTCCATTGTCGTCACTAATACGGTTCCGCTGATGTCCTCAAGCAGAACATCAAATCATCCCGGGCTACGGTTTGGCGTCGAGATTGAATTGCTAGTGAAAAGCAAACACCAAAATCATACTACATTTAACAGTGTAGCTTCCGAGATTTGCGGGCATCTCAACAAGGCCAAGGTTTCGAGCCACATCGGCAACCTCGTAGAAAAGACGGGCGCCGCGGAAACCTACCAAGACTGGACTATCATTCAAGACTGCACCCTTCCGTCAAAGCCGACCGAGAACACTTGTAAGTTGACTCGAACGTGCTGTTCTTGCATGTACTTGACATACTAACCCCGGACTAGTTGGTGTTGAACTCGTGTCCCCAATCTTCTATTTCCAGCAGAAACACATATGGATCAACGAAGTCAAGAAGATATGGAAGGTGCTTGAAAGCGAGTTCGAGGTGCACCCCACCGACGAGTGCAGCACTCACATTCATCTATCCCCATCAAACGGTCCTTGGAGCTTGAATGAAGCCAAAGGGGTTGCGAAAGCGGCCATTTTCTTCGAAAGATGCATCGATGCGCTGATGCCGGGCCACCGGCGTATCAACCCCTATTGCATGAGCAACCGCTGGAACCCAGAGTACAGCCAACTTCCCACGCCCCTAATTTTCAACGACATATTACAAGCGGAAAGCAACCTCGATTTGGGGGACCGCATGTGCATGTGTTCCAAGGACTCGATACATGCCCAAAACACACTGCACGAGGAAGACTTTGTGCACCCGCATTTCCGGTGGAACTTTACCAGCCTTACGGAGCGGACGAGAACCATCGAGTTTCGACAACCTCCAGCCTCCAAGGACGCCCGCGGAACCATGACGTGGATTCTCTTTGCTGCATCCTTCGCCCAGTGGGCCTCGGAGCGTGCGAACACGGCCCTAGATCCCACAAGGACAGCTGGAGTTGGGGATCTGTACAAATATGTGATGGCCGGATCACAGATGAATGGCGTGTCGGACGATACGCTTTCGGGTCTGTTAGAAGACCTGTTCCGAGGCGCAAAACCGCTGCCGGTGCCTCGACATGACTTGAAGACAACCACCGAGCAGGAACTCGAGTTGGAGGCTCAACGCAAAAGAATGCCGTTGCAGCGATATAAAGAAGTCTTTGCGCAGTTATAAATACTGTCTTTAACATTCTACCTCTACCAAAACCTCCGTATCCCTGCCGCCGTTTCGGAGCTGCATCACACATAATTAGAGTTTAATATCAAGTCCCTCGTGCTGTCTCGTGCTGCCAACCTAGTTACTGCTTCCCTTCTTGCCCTCCCAGACAAACTCGACGATGGACATAGCGGACCCTTGGGGCTCGACCACGCGCTTAAGCACGGATGCAGGGTCAGCTTCTCTGAACAACGCCTCCCAGTCCGCCAGCGTCTACTGGCAGGCATTGAAGGTAAAGGCCATCCCCAGATCCATTGATCCGTGACAAGGGCAGTTTAACTTAGCTTGAAACCGTTATCTGTACATCGGTAACGTACCTGAAGTCCTTCTCCTTCCACTGGGCCACTTCTAAGCATCCCGCTAACTCACCAAACAGACGCCGAGTTTTACTTCCTCCGCGGCGTGCTACACGACCACCCACACCACAAGGCGCGCACAATCTTGGAACAGACCAAGGCCGCCATGGGCCCGGAGTCGGTGCTGCTGGTCGATGAGATGATCTTCCCAAAAATGGGCGTCAACCTCGCGGCGGCGTCTATCGATATGACGATGCTCACTGGGTTGGCGGGCATGGAGCGCACCGAGGCACAGTGGCGTGAGTTGTTTGATGAGGTGGTACTTGAGCTGGTCAAGATATCTGTGTACAACCCGGGGAACTATGAGGGTGTTATGCATGTGCGTTTGCCCGGTTAGGGGTAGTGAAGGGTGGTCCTGTTTACGCGGAGTGGCTTCAATTATATCAGATCCCCAGGAGGGACAAATGTGAGAGGTGGGGCCTTCCCTGGCCCACCTCACGTACAGGGCAACCGCCCACATCCTCCCGCAGTGGCAGGGCTAGCTAGCTTTTCCTCCTATACACAACATTCCATACACGTTTTCCCACCGACTCTACTATCGCGAGTCCTATAGGTTATAAGCTCCGTACAGCGCATTTTACAGTAGTTTTCGACTATTCTCCTTTGTTTATTTGCTTTTATATATTTAATTTCGTTATACTTTGGTGGTAGTACCCGAAAATGTTAATCGGTTAGCGAGGTCTGAAAATAAAATAGTTCTAAGCCTACTTCCTATTTTAGGCTTTATATCTAATAAGCTAGGTTAATTTAAGTAAATTACCTAATAATTAAAAGTTCTTAAGGTCTATAATTCTAAGCTAGAATTATAGTTAGTTTTATTATAGCCTATTTTAATCCTAATATCTAGGATCTTTATAGCTATCTTTATAGTTATATTAGCTATTATTATTTAGTAGCTTTTATAGTAAATTTTAGTAAGTATCCTAGAGTATTTTAATATTCTATTTAATTAAACCTTTATTAACTTTATTACTAATATTATCCTTAATAACTTTATTAATTAAAAATAATAATAATAAAAGAAGATATTATAGCTAACTTAGGTAAAAATATAAGGGAGTTCCTCTATACTCTAACCAACTAGATATAGAAGAGAGATAAGTAATAGAATAAGGTTATTTAAAACCTTATATAATAACTCTAAGAGGTGAAGATAATAGCGATCTTAACTGAGAAGAGAATATTTATTACCCTATCTACCCTATCTAGTAAAAAGGATCTGGAGGTTTAGGAGTTATTAATATATATATTACTAGTATCTAATAACCTCTTTTAATATCTTAAGAAGGATGTCCCTAAACTAGAGGATACTATTACTATTAAGTAGTATTAGTAGAAGATAGATTAATAGGATATCTTTAAGCTGTTAATAGTATCTATTAAGAAGGTAATAGTAATATTATATATAATATATATTGGCTGGAAGCTGGATAATATTAACCTCTGGAAGCTATATTAGAAGGTCTTTAAAACCCTCTAATATAGTATTAAGAAGACTATATATATCTTAATAAATAAGTACTTTATAATAGTACCGAATAAGTTTGATTTAATAGATGCTTATATATCCCGAATTTATATCTTCTATTAGTAACTAAGAACTACTAGGCTGGAATATCTATTAAAGACCGATATCTATATAGTTTTAATAGCTATTAAGCCGTTATATTTAGAAATCTTTGAGTAAAGTATAATAAAGCTAGAGAAGGAAGATCTTATCTAGGATAATTTTATTAAGGAATTAATAGAGAAGTATATTAATAGGGAGATTAATAAGATTGTTAATACCGCTATTAAGGTAGGTAGTAAGATATAGCAAACCTAAGATAGAAATTTAACGATATTGTTATCTAATAATAATAAAATATTAAATAATAATAATAACAATATAAAGGGTAATAAAGTTAAGTATAGCTCTTATATTAAATTTATTTATAAGAACTATATCTATTATAACTGTAGTTACTATAAGCTATCTAAGGCCAATACTTACTAGTATTACTATTCTAAACTAGTACTAGATAACTTTAACTAATATAGAGTTAAGTAGTAGAATAATACTATAAATATAATAGTATCATTATTATTAGTAATAACTGGCCCAGTATAGCCTATATCTGGAGTTATAAGTATAGCTTCCTCTACCTAGAGGACGAACTTCTTTATATCTACTAACTTTATAGTATTATAGCTAAATTTTTAATAAGGCCCCTAGAGTCTGACAACTCCGAAGTCCAATAGGCTCTTAAAGTAGTAAGAAATTATATTTATTATAACTCCGCTACCGGCAATACAATCTTCAATAATTTAAAGTAGTTTATAGAACTTTATCTATTAGTATATCCTAATATATATCTTTATACAGATAGAAATTTTACAGAGGTTACCTATATCGGTATAATAGTATTCGAAACAATACTATTAATAGGTTAGAAGATAATACTGGAATTAATATAGGCCCTATTTAACCCTATATCCCCAGCTAATATCGTTAGTAGTATAATATTTCTTAATAACAGTATCTACTAGAATCAAGATAACAATACCCTCTATAAAAAGGCAACCTGTTAGATCGTCTATAAAATAGAGAGGATATTAGGTATCTTCCTTATCTATATAAGGCTGTTAGCTATCGGTAGAGAGGTCTTATACACTATAACGCCTATATAGGCGGTTATAGCTTCTATTAACTATAGAATAATATATCGCTGCCTTATATATACCGGTAAATCTATTGTTAAAGCTGTATATAACGATATAGGTATTACGTTAATCAGGAAGAACAATAACTTTTATAAGCCCTATATCCTCGGGAAGGTAACCGATGAACTTGGGAAGTTTACCCCTATTTAGGGGATAAAGCTGTTTAACTTTATTTATATTAATATAGTTTAATATAAAATAGCTAGCTATCTCGGTTATCTTTATAGTATCTATATTATTAATGTCTATACTTCCTACTAATAGGTCTGTTTTGCTAGGGAAAAGGGCAAAGCCTTCTTATATTTAAAGGACTTTGCTAAGATGATCTTTACTTAGATAGGAGTATAGATTAAGATCCTCGGTATTAATAGTAGTACTAAATTCGGTTAGTTGCTGAAGCTCTTTAAGGATAATAGCCTTAAGGTTTAGGCTGATAGTAAGGGTATCGTTATTAAGAAAACGATGCTAGTAACCCTATAGATAAATAGGAAGATTGAATATATAGTAGTAACGGTATATAAATGTATCTGGATAGCTATTATTATATACTAAATCCCTAAATGATTGTAGCTATTTATATTGGAAATAACGGTTATAATCTCCAACCTACTACTAACAAAGGTAAATCCAGGTAATATAAGCATCTATAAGAGCTTTACTATAGTAATAAATATACCTAAGGAGGCTCGAAAACCCTATATCCGGCATTTATACAGCTACTTTTATTATATATATTACTATATTAAGCTATATCTCTATAATAAATTAGATAAGTTTATTATAAGAGTATATAAAGCTAGACAAATTGGGTATATAGATATCTATAGAAAGATCTACTAGGTTTAGGATCTAGAGACCTGGAAAGTTATCTATACTATAGTTTATAAGTTTAACGAAGAAGATAACTACTACCTAGATAATGATATTAATCTAGAGAAGTAATATATTATTATATTTACCGATATAATAGTTGAAGAAGATAAGGTAGCTTTAGCTATCGAATCTACTATTATTACCTCTAAAACGATAACGTCTAACCTATAGAAGAGGGTTACCTTTAAACCTATCTAATAATAAGAAGGAACTTTAGCTATAAGAGAGGTTAATATAGCCGATAATAGTAAGTAATAACCCTTTTAAATAACGGTAACTGTTAGTGGTTTATTAACCCTAGAACTAACTCTAGAACCGGACTAATAATGCCTGGGTTAAGAAGATTAAAACAACTAGGCCCTTAAAGATAAAGATATTAAAGATATTCTTTAGGAGGCGTCTATACCCCCTAATTACAATCTCGCTCCCTATATAACGGGATTAATTTAATAGGAGGTTAGACTACAATGTTTAGCCTATATTCGTTTATTAAAATATAGTAACGTTATATAACCTAACTTCTATACTAAACTTATAAAGGGTAAACTACCCTTCCAATCTCTATTTACAGGCTATCTAAACGATACTCGAAAATCTATAGAGGGGATCCTCTTTATTATGTTACCCCTATAGGTTAACCGAACAATTAAGATCTTCTTAAACCCGACTATCCCGAAGAACTTTAAAGAGGTATAACAGTGTAAGAACTTCAAAGACTAGTAGCTCCCTACAATATAGAGCTAAAATAATAGTCTAATCAATAAAGATATATACGAATTAGTCGATAAAACCCCAGATATAAAAGTTCTCCCTAGTAAGTAGGTATTTAACGTTAAGAAAGACCCTATAACCAATATTGAATTTACCTATATAAGATAGGTTATTTACAGTAACTTTAATTAAGGATCTTAGAAGGCTTAAGATGTTTATACTATAGTTGTTAATAGTATAACCGTTAAAGTTTTCCTTACATTAATAACCGTTATAGATCTTAAATGCTAATAGTTCGACTTTAACTTTAAGACTATATTTCTAAATATGGAAATCCCTAAAGATACGAAGTATTTTGTTGAGCTACTACCTAGTCTAGGGAAGCCTTTGGATAAAGTTTATAGGTTAAAGAAGGCTCTCTATGGTTTGAGATAGAGTTTACTATACTGGTTTATAATATTGAAGCTAGTTATAGAGTTATTAGGATATAAGTTGATACCCTCTAACCTCTATCTCTTTCACTATAAAAAGAATAGTGTTCTAGTTATCCTCTATATAGACAATATCTTAATCTCAGCACTAACTATCGATATTATCAATGCTATATATAATAGGCTAAAGGCTTATTTTAATATAAAAGAACTAGGTAAAGTTAAGTATTTCCTCGGCTTTAATATCGTCTATAACCGACGATAAAAGAAGATCTTCCTATTATAAGAAATATATTTATATATAATACTTAAATAATATAGTATTAATAACCTCAATCCTATATAAACCCTATAGTATCTATACCTTAAACTTCTATATTTATAGAAGCTATTTAATAAAGAAAAGATACTTTATTAATAAAAGATAGGAAGCTTTAACTAGCTAATAACTGGTTTATACTCTAATATTATATATATTATATTGTAATTATATAAAGTTAATAATAGTCTATTAGAGGAGTATATCTTACTTCTCTAATATCTTTACTAATATTTAAATAGAACTATTATATTTAGGATTAAATTTAGTAGATTAATAATAATTAATAATTTAATAATAAAGGTATTTATAGATACCTCTTTTACTAATAATTTATTTAGATAATAATCAACTAATAGTTATATTATCTTTATTATAGGAGGCCTAATACTATAGAAGATAAAGAAGTAAACCTTTATTACTCTAAGTATAATAGAGGCCGAATTTATAAACCTTACCCCTACTATATTAGCGATATAATAGGTAGCTAAGATATTAAAGGATTATAGTACCGAATAGCTAGTACTATATATAGTAATAACCGATAGTAAGAATACCTAGATAATAGTAATAAATCCGTTAAATATAGTATATATAAGATATCTCGATATCCGATATAAATGGATTGTTAAGAAGGTTAAAGAGGGTCGATTTATAGTTAACTATATTAAAGGAACTAATATAGTTACTAATAGATTAACGAAACCATTAAAGTATAAGATATATATACAGTTCGTTAAGATATTGGGGATGATATTACAGGAGGTTCCGTAGAAGGACTGAGACATTACAGGATCTATTGGGAGGTATAGAGCCTCAACACTATATAAACTATCTAGACTTCTATATTCAGTAGTTGGGAGGAGGTATGTGGCCGTTTGTGGAGGGGTGTGAGAGGTGGGGCCTTCCCTGGCCCACCTTACGTGCAGGGCAACCGCCCACATCCTCCCGCAGTGGCAGGGCTAGCTAGCTTTTCCTCCTACACACAACATTCCACACACGTTTTCCCACCGACTCTACTATCGCGAGTCCCACAACAAATGTTGATAAATATACAAAGTAGACGTTAGGGGTTATATGTGAAGGGAATTATATCGCGCGTGCCTGCCAATTCCCCTCCTTGTCTTCCCATCCAACGTCATTACATCACTTCACCCGTGCCGTCGGGACATAATGATATACTCTGCAAAACAACACTGTCCCAACACAGTCTAGAAAACTCGAAAATCCCCACGGTATTTTCAAGTCAAAGGGTATTGACGATGTTAACCGGTAGAGACCCAAGCCCGGATGTCCGAAGTCGACTACCGTCTAGATCCGTCGTTTTCCGGAGAAAGGCAACGTCGTCGGTTCCTCCAGGACAAAGTCGCCACCTCCGCATCAAACAGCGGTGTTCTATTGGTAATGTACCCGAATCCCGTGGTGGACGACGCAGTGAGGCCTACCACTGCCCCCTCATCCAGGGAATGACCGCAGCCACCAACGCAATGGTCGTGTCGACCTTTGGCTGTAACTGGTCCGAATTTGATATCAGGGCTGGCCGATATGCATCGCCCCCGCTCAAGGACAAACAAACGGTTTCTGCGGTTGTGGTGGTAAATTGGCTTTTCTTCCCCGGAGCATCAACTAACCCCCCCTCCGACCAAGCCCTGTTGGAAGGCTGGATTCAACCTCGAGTTTCCACTTCCTACCGTGGTATGGTGCATATATTTCGTCTCCTGTAGAGGTACCGCTGGGGTGCCCCAATCTGTCTTCCAGCTGCTGTCAAACCACCCCAAAACCGCTGTAAATCGACAAAACGCGTCGGTGGAAGCCCTGTCAATACCCGGACCGGGGACGGAACTCACTCATCCCCGCCGCGTAAATCGACCTCAAACCCGATTCTCAACATGGCGTCCCAGAAGAAGCCCTACAAGCCGAAAGCAAAGAAAGCAAAGAAGCCCGAAAGTACGACTGCTATGTTTCCAGACCTCCACGAAGACATCGAGAACGCCCTTTCGGCCGAGGGAACCATCATCACCCCGAAACCGACGTTCAACCCCACCGAGGACCACGAAGAACGCATTGCCGCCAAGGAAACCTACATCATGGGAAGATTCCAATGCCGCAACCGAACGTGTCCAAAGAAGGGCTGGGGCAGCAAGAAGATTTTTATTGTCATCCAGCGGTTCCCGGACAACGGCTACAATGCTGTCGTGTTCAAGCAGTGCTGCAGCATATGCGAGGAGTTGGGCATTATGAGAATCAATGAGAATTCCTACGTGGAGAGAGTCATGTACTGGCTGAAGAAGTGGGCTGGAATCTATATCGAGGAAGACAACCGTGAGCGAAAGAAAGGGCCGCCGCATGAGGAGGATCTCTGCGAGGGCTGCAAAGTTGGTCTTTGTCAACGTGGTCGGAATGCTATTATGGTATCCCCGGCCTTCACATGATATCGCTGTAGCACCGGACCTGGCTCGATTTTTAGCATCCCATACCATAGTCCCCACGTCCGTATGATAGTTCTGTTAGTGTGAGCTCCATCCCGCCAGGCGGAGCAGGACCAAGAGTACTCCGGCTTGGGTCTCACCACCGTGGGTCATCGGATTGCTCCTGTTAAATTTCATAGTGTCACCGTTGCTTGATTCACCCCTCGCACCTGTATGTGTCTGTAAAGAACGAAATATACCACGCACTGTCATGCTCGATTCCAGGAAAACCCGCCCCCACTCCCATTACGAAGTCCGATGTCATGCACAAATGTGGAGTACCTAGATGGGGTTAGGATGGGGCGTGAGACTGTCTCTCGATTGTTGCATGTAACTGTGATGAAGCGGGACTGAATTAAGGGGGAGGTAGCTCATGGCTCACACTGAGATAATACAGGTGCCTGCCTGCTTGCCCGGTTTTGGATGTTTGGATCCTAGTGGTGGGTTTACCAAGGTGCGTCACACGAGCAGAAGTAGTATAGGCAACCATTAGAAGTTTTATGGTGATAAGAAAGGTGAAGATGGTTAATGTCGAGCGGATTTCCGCAACAGACTCACCGGGCTTACCACCTCTCGACGGAGTGAAGATCGGTACCTAGTGTGTTGTATCACGCCCTTCACATCTCAAGCCTAGCGAGATGGGGAGATTTCCCGGTCGCAATCTACTTGGTAAGCACTTTAAGGGTTCGTCACCCGTGGCAGCGGATCCCACATGAGGTGAATGGTAAACACCCCGCAGGTCCTGGGCCGCTAAGGATGGAGGGTGCTACCACGCAGACGGACGGAGGATACTACATCTACGCCCGGCTAACCGTGCCTCCACCCAGGCGCCCCCACCATCATCACATCCTCCCCCGTCCCACAAGATCCTCCCCGCAAAACACGGCCACCGCGTAGGTAGTTACCCCGTACTGTATGTAGCACACCCTGAACGGCCCGAACCACAAACAACCCACGTTACACAACCCAACTTACACCACACAACCCAACCTACCTACCTACACAACACCACGCCGCCACCGACCCCAACCCCAACCGTCTTCATCAGCGGCGCCACCGGCAGCCAAGGCTCGGCCCTCGCCCACCACCTCCGCCAGCATCTCGCCTGGCGCGTGCACACCACCGTGCGCAACCCCTCCTCCCCATCATCCGCCCAAGCCCTCGCCGCCATCGGCGTGCAGCTCACGCTGGGCGACTGGGACGACACCGCCGCGCTGGCAGCCGCCCTAGCTGGGTGCGACAAGCTGTTTTTGTGTCTGCTGCCCGATTTCAGCGATCCGACGCGCGAGCTGCGCCAGGCAAGGGTGCTGGTGTGGCTGGCGTGGGAGGCTGGCGTGCGGCAGGTGGTGGCGTCGACGTCGCTGGGGGTGTTTACGCTGGAGGATGAGAGTGAGATGGCTGTTGGTGCGGGCGGGGGGTTGGTGGTGGTGCCGGGGTCGGTGATGGCGGGGCATTTGGCGAATAAGAAGGGGATTGAGGAGGCGGTGAGGGCCGGGGGGGGGGGGGGGGGGGGGGGGGGTTGAGGCGTGAACTTATTTGAGGCCGGCGTTTTTCATGGCCAATTATCTGGAGACGAAGGTGGCGAGGTATCCGGAGCCGAGGGAGAGGGGGACGTGGACGACGGCGATGACGGCTGAGGCGAAGTTGGCGTTGATCGACCATGCGGATATTGCGGCGTTTGCGGTGGCGGTGTTTTAGCAGCCGGAGAGGTTCCATGATCGGACGTTTGGGCTGGCGGGTGACAGTGAGATGTTGATGGTGCAGGAGACGCTGGATGCGTTGGGGGGGGGGGGGGGGGGGGGCGCGGGAAGGCCGTTTAAGGCGGTGTTCATAACGGATGAGGAGATTGCGGAGAAACAGAGGACGTCCAACGTCTTTACGGACTCGCAGGTCTCGTTGCGGTATGCGGCCAAGTATATCGACATGGGATGAGATTGCGTCGGTGATCCGGCCTACTTCGTTCAGGGACTTCTTGGAAAGGGAGAAGGAGGGCGTCCATAAAGGCGACGTATCTATGAAGGGTCATGGCTTCACTAAATATCAGCCAGCACCCGGTTCTTGTTTCCTCTCTTTCTACATGGTGCATTTCGCTAGCTGCCCGTCTATCCCATAGTACATATAATAATTGTCGATATCCTGAAGCCCTTAATAGGTGTCTTCTTTCTTGTCCCTTACAACCTAGGCTTCCTATTTTAGTGTAGCATAGGTATAATGAGGGCAGGTTGTACAGGTTAAGAAATGCCCAAGATACGAACTACCTACCCAGTCTTTGCTACTTACCATCACCGTCCAAAGTTGGCTAGGTCTAAAACAGTAAGAACTTTAATTCTTATGCTCGTATATGCGTGTATGTCTACCCTGGTGGTTGGATCCCCCAGGTTTGCGGGCACGGGTCAAACTGCCGGAGCCCATGTTCATCGAACCTTAAATACGACTTGCACTTTTTGACAGCAGGACAGCGGGAGCAACACACGCGTGCCGTTGCATGGTTCCTCGGCCGTTTGGTTCCGCCGCCTCCTTGCGCCACCGGCTCGGCCCAATAGACGCCATCCAATTCAGCCTGTTTGAAGCATTCGATCCCGATGTCAAAAGATTCCAAACCCGTTGCTTTGACAGTTGTTCCCAGCAACTGGATGGAAGTAACGTGAATAATAAGAGTACGTCTGACTATGCCGGAAATGGTGCAGATCGTCAAGGAGGTGTGCTCGTCTTCGAGCCCGTGTGCTGGACGCCGCGGGAAGAACCTCCATTTGGCGGCGGACGGGTGACAAAGTACGCCGAAAGCCAACTGTCAAAGCAACCCGTGGTTACATTTGGCAATATAGATACCGGAGGTAGCGCACAAATAACGTCCAAGCTCGGACACTCTCGGACTCGAAAGTTCCTGGGGAAGAAGGGAGGCCCTGAGTGCGTTAATACGCAGGAGGGCTGTTAAGAACTTAAGAACCCACAACAACTCTATCTTGGAGTGTCGATCTTCAACCTTCCAACCCCGTATTGATGCCTAACAAGATATCAAGCATTGCTTTTACAAAGACCCTGTAAATCCTAGGTCTAAAGATGCGGTTTTCCCAACTCGCTGTTGGCGCCATCCCAGTTGTGGGTGTCCTGGGCCACGGAGGCGTTTACAATTACACGATTGGAGACGTTTCATACGCTGGGTAGGGATTCCGAAACCCCTGTCTTCGGGCGAGGCTAATAGTCAAACACCCAGTTCGTACCCGTGGCTTCTCGAGGATCAGCAGCCGAAGGGCATCCAGCGCCGTTGGTGGCCTGACCCGATTCAGTCTGTGGACCACCCCCAACTCTCTTGCAACCGCGGAAACCCGCTGGAGAAGAATCTTCCCACGCAGCATGCCCCCATCCAGGCCGGCACCAACATCACGGCGTACTACGTCCCTCCCAAATGCCCGCCTAACTTCAACCAGCCTACCGAGAGTCTCGCTCCGGAGTTCCAAGACCCGCACCCGCCGATGCGGTGCATGGGCCCGGAATACTCGTGGGTGCACTCCACGGGCCCACTCCTTGCCTACATGGCTGCTTGTAACGGGCCGTGCGACGAGTTCAACCCCGAGGGGGAGAAGGTCTGGTTCAAGATCTACGAGTCCGGGCTCAAGAACGGCGGCGAGTTGAACGAGTGGGGCCAAAGAATCGACGTTGCCTCTAGCCAGGGTTGGGACCAGATGACTTTCGCCAACCAGGGATGGAGCATTACGATCCCGAAGAACCTGAAGCCGGGCAACTACCTCATCCGGCACGAGATCATCATGATCGAGCTGATGCCTCCCCAGTTGTACCCCGAGTGCGCCCACCTCACGGTGACTGGGGACGGGAACGAGCTTCCTGGCGAAGAGTATCTGGTCTCCTTCCCGGGTGCTTACTCTCTGGAAGGTAAGTTGACCCTTCCTCTGGGGGTAGATAGAAGAGATATGAATCTGACCGTCTGTCTAGACCCGGGTCTCGCTATCAGCGGCGATTTGTACTCTCCAAAGGGACACTCCACTTACGTAAGTGTAGAAGTACCTGAAAGACAAGTTGATATACCTACTGAACCTAATATTAGAACTACACCATTCCCGGGCCGGCCGTTTGGACCGGCGAGAAGTAGCGGCGTACCCCAAGAAGAGGAAGCTGAGCAACCCAAATTGAGTGTGCGGAACATGAAAACCCAAACGAAAGCAGACGTAACGCTAGCAGAAGAGTGAACGATATGGATTTACTCGACGGTTTGCTCGAAATAGTTAAGCCATCGGAAATTGAACTGTTATGGGATTCGCAAAGGGCATGCGTGCTGTGTGTTCTCAGGATCGACGGTGGGAACCCTTGTCAGTGACTGTCTAAAAGGGGGCCTAAACAAAAAGGGGGGGCCCTCGCACAATCCAACCCCAAACCACGCCAAGCTCGTCTTCTGCCTGCACTGAACTGTCCAACCCCTGAGGCTGACATATTCGGACACTTCCCCGGGCGGCAACGGACTTACCTAACCCCCCGAGCCGGAGAGGCCACAGCGGGGCGGCGACATTTCGGGGCCAAGGGTAACTTGAACCTGCCAACAGACTGAGGAGGCAGCTGCGTGGCAGGTGTGATCGATTAAGCACAACATGCGGGGAACTCGCATTATAAATCCGATGTCTTTGCGTTTTCCCAGTCGTCACTTTCCGTCGAGTCCAGCCGTTCCATTCTCCGTCTCAACCCGAGCAGCACTCAAACCATTCACCCTCTCCAAAACAACCCCAACAACAACAACAACAACAACAACAACAACAACAACAACAACAACAACATACCAACCCCGGACCAGCCCCGGATCCCGCAACCTCCACACAACACCACCACCACCACAAACACCCACCCCCAAACCACCCAAAATGACCACCCCCGTAAACGCCTACGACATCGGCATCGCCACCCCCCTCCGCGGCCTCCTTTCCCTTCAAAACATCCTCGCCAAAGCCGCCGCCCACCCCTCCGCCGCCACCCTCGCCATGGCCAAGCTCCACGGCTGCGAAGACATGAAGCCCTTCGCCTTCCACGTGCAGTCGTGCGTGTCCATCGCCCGCGGCACGCCCGACCGTCTCGTGCCCGCCACGCAGCCCGTGGAGACCGAGCAGGCGGGTGTTGATTTGGATGAGGAGAATGTGACGCTGGAGAAGCTGGGGGTGTTGGTGCAGGGGGTGGTGGGGTTGTTGCAGGGCGTGCGGGAGGGGGAGATGGAGGGCGCGGAGGGGAAGAGGGTGGTGTTGAGGTATGGGGGGGAGCACACGTTTGTGTGGCAGGGGAGGGGGTATATACTGGGGTATGGGCTGCCGAATTTTATGTTTCATTTGTGTATGGCGTATTCGATCCTGAGGAGTCAGGGTGTGGATGTGGGGAAGATGGATTACATTGGGCCGTTTATGGACGGGATGACGGTCCAGGAGTGACGGTTAAGGGGTTTGTTGTGAAGGGGTGGTTTGTTCGTGATGGGATATCATGCATAGCCACTGTCTGGACTCGCGCCTACGCTTAAGGGGGTGGCCAGTTTGAGACCAGCGAATCTAAGAACACTGCTTTTACTCCTCATACATGTGGCATATGGTTGCAAGGGAACATATGATACATTAACAAGCTTTCGAACAACACAATGGTCATACATCATCCCTCATACAGCGTCCCGCGGACAAACAAGTTGCATCCGGCCTTCGTGCCAATGCCAAAGTTGTCCGTTTCCAGTTGAAAGTCCTCGGCCGTTGCGCCCTAAATCTCAAAGTCAAAACGCCGGAAAAGGGTAGAGAGCAGCTGGTACAACTCGGCCCAAGCGAGGCTGGATCTGTTAGCAAAGGACTCAACTAAGCCTAGCAAAACGGGTAGCAAAACGGGGTGGCTTACTGCATCCCAACGCAGGTCCTCGTCCCCTTCGAAAACGGAGCATACACCTTGTCGAGCGCCTTCCGATCCGTAGGATCCATCCACCGGTCGGGGTTGAAGCGCAACGGCTCGGGATACAACTTCTCATCAGTATGCATCAGCAACGTAGTCATGCCCACCGGCGTGCCAGCGGGGATACGCCAGTCACCGTAGACGAGGTCCTTGTTCGTAAGGCGGGCCGATCGGGTACCGATCGCGGGGCTGAGGCGCAGACCTTCCATCAGCACCGCCGTCAGGTACGGTAGCTTCTCGAGCGTCGTCAACGGGATCGGGTCAGGCGATGTGGCCGCCGCCGCAACAATCTCGGCTCGTACCCGCTGCAGAATCTCGGGGTCGGAATAGACATGGAAGAGGATGAGGCGCAGAGCGCTGGCGGTCGTCTCGAATGCCGCTCCCGTCAGAGTGGCGATCTCTTCAAAGACACGCTCAAACGTCTTTTCGGAAGGTGGCAGTTTGGAGCGCACAATCTCGTGCACTACAGTAGTCTGGGACTTGTCGTCGTTGGGGTCAGAGGCTCTAGCCGCCGCCAGAGTTTCTTTGGTGTCCGCTTCGGATTGCTGATAGGGGGCGTTAATCACACTCTTCAGTGCCGGATGAAGCCTGCATTACCTGGAGATAGCGAAGGAACTGCTGGGTGCCTTCGTCTGCGGTCTTCATGACCCAGTCGATCGGGATGGACCTCAGAGTTGGACCAAACCAGCGAATGTGTTTCGTCGTGCGCCAGAACACGCCGGCGCCCTGGGACGAGATGGACAGGCCGATGCCGAAGTCCTCGCGGTCCAGCTCATTGTACTGCTTGCCCGTAATGTACTCATTTGCGATGTCTCTGGTGAAGGCGCTGACCGCTGCACCGAGGTTGAGTGTGGTTCCGCTGGCGGCGAGAGCGTCGATGCGCCGGCTGAGCTTGTCCACGTTCTTGCGGATTAGGTCTTGCCGAGAAGCAACCTTGGCCTTGGAGAATAACGGGGCAATCGCCGCGCGGTGGGCCTTGTGTGCATCGTGATCTACGAAACAGGTTGCTCAGCCATCTAGGCCAGGGGTCATGGTAGATATCGGTGCCCATGAGGTAGTCATACCTGAACCGAAAACGGTGGAGCTCTTGGCCCCAAAAGCATCGTACATGAAGCCGTACTTGCCCCAACGGCCATCCATGCGGTAAATCTTGTCATAGAATGCCGGGTCTATCACATGCAGTTCGAAGGGGCTGATGCGGATAATGGGACCTACCCGAACATGGAGTTAGACACAAATTTACAAGCCGGCCTTTCATCACAGCAGAATTTCTGACCATATTGTTTGTGCAATTCGGCAATCTTCTTCGTATACTGCCCGTTTTGAACGACATCGTAGTAGGCCTCGTACCAGCGCGAGAGGGCGGCGAGCTTGGGGCCAGGAAACCGAGCGAGCGGGTGGAGGAACAAGCGGTAGAAAGCGAGTGTTGCGTAGTATGTCACGGCCGCCCCAGCCAGGTTGCGCCAGCCGAAGAGGCTTCTCAAACTGTAGATGTATTCCATTGCTCGCGTGAGGGCCGGAGGAAGCAAAATGCAAATAGGTAGAGGGGTTGACCGTTGGTCGTTGGCACCACCAGTGGATTTAAGGCTGGGCCGGCCCTCGTGGGATTCAGCTTGCTGGGTAGGGAGGTATGTATGTAAATAAACCCCAGGGGTTTGTGAGATGGTGCAACGAACCAACCAACAACACCACATGGAACCCTCACCAACACGGAATTCCGAAGATGACGCGAGCACAAGGATTACAAGACGGATTTGAACAAAACAATGGCAAACTACTCACCCGAAGGTTCTGTTGTGCTACCAGGGAGCAATCAGGAGAATGATTGGGAATTTGAGATATGTGCTGTGCTGCAAGATACCCACCACCACCGCATCGAAATTCGGGCAGAAACCACGAGGGGGTAACTACATACATGTCCATGGTTCCCGGGGGGGTGCTGGTCAGATTACTGGGGGCCTGGACCAACGCCCAGTCTTCCTGCATACCTGCATATCCGACGACCCACCCCCCCCCCCCTCCCCCAACCATAGCAAACGCGGGAGGATTATTAAGCAACTGGGACACACCCAGGCAGCTCTCATTGAAACCCTCCCTTCCCACGTCGTTTCTCCCTCCATCGCGTTGGGACGGAGGTGCAGCGGCCTATCCTCCGTTCGACTGATACAACGCCCCTGAACGCGGGCGTGATGATTACCCCTGATGCATTCATGGGGGGATTGCATGAGCAGCGTAGTCTGCCCAGACCACGGAGCGTAGGGTACCTGAACAGCTTAGGCGGGCTCACCTGGAGCTGATCTTGCTCGTGAGGGTGCATATTCGGGTTCCTCAGTCCCGCCTGTGCCCCTATCCCCCACCTAGCCACAGAGATGAAGCGACCCCGGACTTGGAAGTCAGCCAGTGCTCACCCCGAATTTGTCGACGCGAGACTCGGAAGCAGTGGCGACCGCAAGGGCAATGCGGCACAGTCGAACCACCGATGCGACCATGTCTCGTGCACTTGATTCGGCACCTCGCGCCACGAGGAGACCATCCGGTATGTCCCCAACTGTAACTCTCACCCAGGGCGACGTGATCCAGTGGCTGATTGCCGTGACCGAAAACCACGGCCCGAAGCAACTGACAGCCCCCAAAATCGCCACGCGCATTCTCGCGTTAACATCCATGTTTGTCTTCGCTATCGGCTGGGTCTTTGCACATGTCGGACTGGATATCTACTCCAGCCCGTCGCGCGATGATTTCGTCAGCGGCCTGGAGGAAGAGTGCGCCCGCGTCTCTGATGAAGATAAAAAGATCGCCACCAAAGAGGCCGCGGACGCCCTCTACCGACTCGACTCGGCGGTGCGCGAGTCGATGCGCCCGAACGATGCAATGGTTCATCTGATGCCTCTGGATGTGTGGAGTGGAGAGGGGATCGATCTTGGGGGCGGCATCCGGATCACAGCTGGCTCAGGGGTCCGCACTGTCTTCCCTGCACAAATGGTGCATATGGATCCGTGTAAGTACAAAGTACCGGAGCGACCCGATGCGTTTCGCTTCTCTCGGGAGTTTGATGAAGCGGAGAATGCCGGAAGCCCGTCGCCGGCTGGAAAGAGAGAACTCATGACCAACGTGACGGCCAAATTCTTACCCCTTGGGTAAGGCAGAGATGCCTGTCCGGGCCGGTGGTTCGTGGCGCACATGGTAGAACGGTCAGTTGCGTATGTGCTTCTGAACTACGACGTTGAGGTCACGAAGAGGCCGGGTAAGCGCCAGTCGCTGCTGAACTTTATGCTCCCGCCAGAGAGAGCCGAGATGCGTGTCAGGTGGAAGCACAGCTAGATTCAAGGGGGGGGGCGGCCTTCGCTTTCTGGTCTAATTAATACCCTCTATGCTGGTTCAATTTGTGATCTACCTAACACATGACACATGCTTTTTGATATTGACCATGTGAGACCGGAATACAGTTCCGTTGTTAACAAGCCATCTTCAACCGGAAGGCACGGGGGAACCGGACCAGGTCGGTTTCCTTAACGGAGACTGCGACCGCTGTCGTAGCTTATGCGCAGCTCAGTGGCGGCCTGCTCCGAATCCCCAGGCTCGCCAACCTTTCTAGAAGCCCCGTCGCGGCCGAGGTAGGCGCTGGGGTGGAAAACACAAAACACCCCGATAGCGATGAGCATCGGCACCGACTCAAACACCCAGAACAGCCACTCGTGTGTGAACGAGTATCCTTCGATGCCTTCAGCAAACTCGGCCACGCGGTAGATGCAGCGTATCTGTAGCGCGGACTCACATTAGCACACCAACCCCCATCTCACAATCACCCCCTTTCCCACCCAACGGAGATACACCAAAACAAACAAAAACAGCACATACCATGATCAAAACCGACGACACAAAAACCGCCAGCACCACCCTCTCCCACCCCACCGGCGCATCCCCCGCCAGACACCCCCCCTTCCTCGTCGCCAAGTACCAAAACCTCGCCAAAATCCCCAAGAACACCGCAAACGCCACCGCCTGCAACACCAGCCCCCCAATCAGCACATACACGCCCACCTCAGCCGTCGTCCCCACCCACTGCACCGAGCTGGAGATAGACGAGCCGCTGGCCTGGACCAGGCAGGAGAGGACGTCGCAGCCGACAAAGACGCGGGTGAGCAGGCGGGCGGGGATGCCCAAGACGCGGTGGCGGGTGCGGGCACGGTCGAGGACGGCGCGGATGAGGCGGCCGATGAGCAGGTAGTTGCCGGCGGCGATGAGGACGGGGGCGAGCACGATGAGGGTTTGGCTTGCGGCGAAGGGGCCCTGTTTTTGGGGGGTGGGGGTGTTGGTTAGTTCCTTGGTGGCTGGTTGCGTGTGATACCAACGTAGTGAGGGTGGGAAATGGGCGAGGTTGAAGGGGTTGGGGTTGGGGGGGGCGGGGGGTAAGAAGGTTGATGGCAGACGTACGACCTGGGTTGGCTGCTTGATGGAGTAGCACCGCAGAGCATAGCCGAGCACTTCGACGGCGGCACCGACGACAACGGCAGTGAAGAACCAGGCGCGGTACTTGATGACGGTGAGGTAAAAGATTGCGAGGAAGACAAGGCCATAGAGGACAGTGGCGAGAATGGTGACTGGGAAGGATGGGTCGTAGGGCCAGATGGAGCTCTGTTCGTCCGCCATCTCGTCGTGGGCGGGACTTCTCGCGTTGGGCCTCGTTTTGACGAGGAAATAAGTCGTACTTCGAAGGGGAGTGAGTGTAAGACAAGCAAAGGCCCGGATATGATGGGTTGTCGAATCTGGCTCGGGATGGTGCTTCACAGCTGGACATCGTGATAACACCGAACATCGTCGTAACACAACAGCTCATATATACAATGCCAGTGATTTCGAACACGCGTCACCATTAAACGGTTCATTGACGGTTCAAGATTACAGCCGCACGATATCAATCGGATCCATCCCGAGCTGACGTCGGTACCTATTAAGATGTTTCTTGGCGTTCGTGCTGGCCTCCGCGTTTACCCCTGGGCACGAGTCCGAACCCGACGAATGCGATAGCCTCGTCACTTTTGAGCCCCGCCCAAAACAACGCATATCGTCTTACGGCCGCCACAGCTCCTGCTATTTTTGTGTGTTTTGCTTGCTAGAGGTAGAGATTGCCAAAACTTCCCGCTTCAACACAGAGTTACAATGCCCACTCGGAACAAATCCCCAGTCATGCAGCGTTGCATGTGAGGATGAAGACGTCTCCGAGGCCGTGTATTAACCCCGAACAGGACGTTTCTAGGATGGGCACCCTTCTCGGGAGGTTGAGGGGGTCATTCAAGGCCTATCATCTGTGTCGGACAACTCTGCCCGCGGGGTTGGTGGGTCGGGTTCCCGATGTCCAGTTTGGTTCTTGATGCGACCTCCCGTGTTGGGTGTTTGGTATGAACTGCTGATGATGTGTCTGAGATCGAATCAAGTGTCTCACAACATCGGCAACCTTTACAGCGTATTTGGGTCCCGTAAGCGCAACATTTTTGGATGACGACTTCCTTCCTTTCTATCCTTAATACGTTCCTTGACTCCACCCTCCCAAGTCTAACCGAAACGAATCCCGGAGTTCGGGTCCCAGGCCCCTCTCCCTGGCGGCTTTGCAGTCCCCTGTCTCCCCGACTGGGCATTGTTGCTCCCGCTGGTAGCAGGCGACCCGCTGAATCGTATCCCCATCTCAGGGGTCCATGCGCCCTGCATACTCGCAACGGGGGCGACGGGCGGCATCGGCCGAGGCTGCTGGGGCTGGACGTTGTCGGCCCAACTCTGAATTTGTGCCTCAACTGGTGGAGAGGCGTGGGGGGTCTGCCGACTGGGCTGGGGCTGAGGCTGCGTGTAGTAGGATGCTGGGTTCGGCGTTTGGTACGACTGTGCAGGCGACGATTGCGTGGGGTTGAGCGACAGTGACGATAACGGGGGCATGGAAATCTCACTGGACAAGGTTAGTATCGAGTCGACAGAAATGTGGCTGATTAGCTTACTCTTCGAGGGCGCGCGCCTCCTTTCTCCTCTCGTTAACCCATTGACGCGCCTGATTCCGGAAGCCCTCAACTATCCTGTTAAGATCGTTGTAGAACTTCCTCCCCACCTCAACGTTGCTGACAATCTCCTTGTACTTATAGTACGCGTTGTCAAGCCGCTGCAGCGCTTTTTCCCTGTCATGGCTTCCTTTCTCACCAATGTTCCTTTTCTGCGCCTCGAAATCTCGGTTGGCCCGCTGCAGGTCCTCGACGGTCTTTTCCTGATCCGCAAGTTCCTTCTCTACGACCTCAAGTTCAGGCTCGTACAAGCTGTCAAGGCGTCTGTCGAAGAATTCTTCGAAATGGGCGGGTACGATTGGAGTGTTGGGGTATAACCGTTCCAGACGGGCTGTTTCCCCAAGGATATCCGCTTTGATCTCATCGGCCCGACTCCTTGCACGAAGAGATTCCACGCGTTTTCTCCTCCTCGACTCGAGACGCAGGACATCGTTGTAAACCCCCCTCAGCCTTCCTATGGCTGGTTTAAGGAGCTCAGGGATCTCGGTTTTCCTGCTGTTTGGAATGTAATCCATCAGCCCTCGGTCAGGACCGGCGAGGATGGCTAGCGTATCCTTCACCGCTGCGAATTTCTCGCGGACCACCGCATCGCTGGAGGTGCTTGACGCAAAGTAACCGTCGATCTCGGTCGCTTGGTTCCACAACCTAGCCCCGCCGTCGCGGCTCGGTTCGACCCGAGACTCTGGCCGCGCCCAGCGCTGGGTGCCATGTTTCAGCCGCATACTGTTGTCCTCCTCTTCCTCGGCTGCCAACAACGATCGGCCCTCCTCAAAGACAGCCCTGTCGCTAGCGCAAAGCTTCTCAATATCCGTGAGGCCGCGTTGAAGTCGATTGATGGCATCGGCCTGCCGGATTTCGTCGGCGTGCTGGGCAAGGGTACCGGGCAGCCCCAAGGGTTTCTCCAGGGCCTGAAGTGAGCCGGGGAGATTTAAGCTCGAGAGGATCTCATGCAGCTTGTCGGTCATAGTCTCAAGCTCGGCGACAATGTTGTTGTTGACGAGACGGTCCCTCCGCTCTTCATAAATAGACACAGCCACATGAACAGAAAAGGGAACCAGTTTGCTGAATAGCGGCGGCCCAAACTCGGCGTTCTCCCCCATGTACTCGTGGGGGTTGGCAACCTGCGGCGGTACACGAGCCACAGCCATGTTGGCACGCTCCAAGATCTTCAGTTCGGGCTTCGGTGTGACGATCTCTGCCAACGGTCAGCATGCCGTAGCAAAGGATTCGTGCAGTAGACTCACGAAGGTAAAGGATGTCGTTGTCTTTCTCGGCCCGCTTAAGGTCGTCCTCTACCCGTCTCTTCAACCCCTGAAGATCGTCCACCACGGCCTTGTTGATGTACCCTCCCCTGCATTCCTTCAAGCCCTCGTTAACGCAGGCGACAGCATCAGTCAGCCTCGCAACCTCCTCGCCGTACCTCTTCTTCTCTAAACAGTCGCAGGCGGCACGATACTGAGCGGCGGCGGCGAAGTGGTGGTGCTTCGCGCTCATGTGATGGATCCAAGCGGAACTGATGGCCTCGCTGCGCATGGCTGCCTCCCCAGCCAGGTTGTAAAGATCAGACACCCGCGCAGCCAGCTTGGCGATGGAGGCGTCCTTGTACCCATCCATCACTGCCTTCTGCCAGAAACACTCTTGGCTCTGAGCCAGGAACAACTGCGTCAAGGACTCCAACGTTGCATCGTCCATGTCGTCGGGCGGGTTTGGCATGCCCACCTCGGGCAGTACTTCGGTCTTGATGTGTTTCAGCACCCCCGCAGCCTGGGAAAAGTAACTCGATGCCGTCTTGAGACCCTCGGTGTTGCCGCGGTTGGATGACATGGCAAGCTGCGAGTACAGTGCGGCCAGATTGTAGAGGACGTTCATGAGCTCGTACTTGAGGTTGTTTTGGACGAGGGGGTGTTCGGTATGGTAGCCAAGCGCGGGATACCATGTGAAGTCGACGCCGATCTGTCATGCAATCCCCAGTCTCCCTGTCAGTCTACCGATCGCGAATAAGTAGAAGACATGGAATAAATCCCTACATCGACAGGAAATTTCCCATTCATCCCCACCAACTGCCCGGCGTAGGCCTGTAGCTTCTTGATCCCGCTAGGGTGGGCATCGCGCGAGTTGACGGCGTCGCGGCGCAAGGAGTCGATCACGTGGAGGTCATCGCGAAACATGTCCGGGTGCTGATCGTACTTTTTCGAAATGTACTGGCGGATCGACGACACGAGCGAGAGTTGGGTCGACTTCCGGAAAGGGAGCGACAAGATGTTGGAACTAAGTATGGCCATCAAAGTCAACTCGAGTCGGTTGGAAGAAGACCAGGGCGGGGCATCGACTCACGTAGTCATCTTGACGGCGGCTGCGCACGGCAGCGCTTCTGTGGGAATAACCTCAGATCCGGGAAGCCTCCTCGGCAGGTCTGGTGTCGGAACTCAAGGGCAGGCAGGTACTCTGGTAACACAGGCTGATGTCATCAGGCACCGCCTGGCCTGGCCCTCCTGTTCAGGGTCTGTGTTCTGAAGGGGATTGTTTGGCGGGGTCTTTCTGACCCAGCGCCCAGGCAACACCAGCCAAACCCCACATGCGCGAGTTTCTTGATGCCTTGTATTCAGGGCATCCATCAGTTTAACCCCATCCGCGCCGGATTGAGTTCATCCCATGGAAGGCGGGTACGACGTACGAAGTTGAGTCTTGAGTGTTCATCCCTTCCCGCCAGCTCACTCACAATAACAGGTTGCACCATCGAAAATTAAATCCCCAACCCTCACCAAAGCAAACTCAGCCCCGACAATCGGATTCGAGTCTTTAAATTCTGTCAACACGAGCTTGGCAACGCATAGCCGCAGGTTGCCACGTTGACTCTTTTTTGAAACCTTTTCGTTTCTTGGTCAGAACCGGAAGCTAAGACTGGGCGATGTCACTGAAAAGATCCGGAATCAGCCGAAAAGAAAAAGAAAAAAGGTTCGACGACATGGAAGTTAACAAAGCACCGGATCACGACATCTGCATCAGCTGCATCCAGTGTGTCGGCTGCATCGGCACGCTCTTCCTCCAATCATCCCCAAGGATCGGCCAGCACCTCGCTCCTCAACCTGGATAGTGCCGCCTCCTCATTCCTTGCTAGGTGGCTTCTGTGCTTCCGCGCTTGATGCTTCAACCAGGTTGCCTGCCGTGCGACCGACATCCGTTATGCAACAGCCCTTGAGGCGTCCTGTCACTCGCTCTAGCTCTGTTGATGCGGTGATTCTAAATTCCCGAGTCCCCGAGCTTCTCTGTCTCGGCCGACCGCATCTCGACTCCCTTGAGATTAGCCCGACACCAGACCCGGACAGCACACCCAAACATGCGCAGGATCTGATTCATTCTCTATCCGCTTGTATGGGTGTCGGATCTCCCCCAAGATGCAGCCCATGAAGTGCGTCCACAGAAGGCGCTTCGGTTGAGACCTTGCGGCAACCAGCGAGAACCGTCCACCACTCGCCTTCGATATCACCGAATTTCCAGGATATCGTCATATCAGGGACAGGGATCCGTTCGGTTCCAATGCTTGTTTCGGTCCCGACTTCCGAAGTGTTGTGGTGTTACCACTTGTTTCAACTCTGCAAACTTCATACCCGCGGCGGTAAGAAGTCCAAGATGCCGAATCGGCCACCGAACCCGGACTCTAAGCTTCCGATTACGGCCCCAACAGTGCCGGCGAGACTTCACTTGTTTTCGGCCATTCCATCTCTCCTATTTATGCTGCGTGTCCACCACAACACAAGGCTGGCTTTGTATAAGATGACCCTGCTCTGTGGCAGGTCTACCAACGTGGCGCCTGTCAAGTGCCTCAGTTGCACCCAATACTACCCAACTAGACCTTACCCAGTCTAAACTTCATCTACTGTCACAATTTCCGCGGCAAACTCAACCGGGGCCATCATGGGGGATGCGGCCCGGCCAATGGATTGCTAAGACCCGTGGCTGGAACAGTCCTCCGATCATCTCCGCTTGGAGCCCCGGGGTCGTGGCGGTCCATCCACGCTGTCGAGAGAATCGCGCACATGGAAGTTCCGCTCTGGTCTCAGATGAGGCATCGGAATATGTAGGTGGACTTTCAACACCATCGCAACATGGTCACTGTGCACAAATCCATCCCCAAGCCAAGGATGAGGCTGCTGCACAAACCCCAATCCCCGGGCCATCTGCCCAGTGCAAGACCTGAAAGTGAGCTGGGCACCAAGCCTCTTTGTGTTAGATTTGGCCTGTCAGCTTGATGAGACGGCATCACCGCAGGCCCTGTGCGCCGTCGCACAACACTCTGGCGCAACCACAGAACAGCTGCTCTTTCTAAACGCGGTTCAAAACAACAGCCACGGGCAATTTACCTCGCCGACTGCGCGTGCCAACTAAGTATGCCGGCCACCCTCGTCGGCTTCTCGACCCGGATGATTGGATTCCGAGGCGAGTTGGAGGGGCGTTGTGATACTCACCCGCCCTAGCCCGGTCGGTATAATCAAATCCCGGAACCTTGTCGTCCCAACACCGTGGTTGCGGGACCCACAGCATCGGCAACGTAGCCATACGCCTCTCTGAGGGCTGAACGCGGTGTGCCACTTTATTCGCTTCTCAGGCGACTTTATTCGCTTGTCAGGCGGCCCGAGTCCGGACATCCCCAGACCAATGTCCACAGATTACCCTGGTCGGGTCTCGCCCCTATTGTGAGACACGACTTGTGCGGAAACGGGATAATTCAGCACATTTTACCGCTCCACTAATCGTCGTCGCGTTGACTAGTTCGGCAAGCTGCGCACGAAACTTCAGCACCGAACTTTCTTTGACGGGGGCGTCTCCGCGTCTGTGGCGCCAAATCTGAGACATGATCCCCAAATAACCCTACAGGTAATTTAAGCTACGCCTAACTAGCCGGGACGGGAAATCGTCAAGTTGGCATCATGAAGTCCGTCCCGTGGGGCGGCAGGAAACCCGGGTTGACGCGGTTTGCGTCGTGGGGAACGGGAAGTCATCCCGGCGGAGGCCGAATGGATAGTCCCTCGCAGGGGCAGGGCGTGGGAGGCCGATATTGTAAGCTCCCCGTTCGTGTCAGCAGAACCTCCTCCTCGATGCCCAGTTACTAAATAGGTCTTAGGGCGCGCTACACAGCATCTCCTCGGTGGTACACAACAGGCTGAATCATTACCACCATCCTGGGCACTTTGGCAACGAGATTCTCGTGCCGACCGAGTTTAGAACTGGTCAACATCCAACACAGCCGCTTCGTTTAGCAACTGGGTTCCTAGATACCAGGATACATGTCCCTCGCCTCCGGTTCCCTCTGCCAACTTGACGATGGAATCGCCCTTTCGGACTCTCTCCACGCCGAGCCCCAGTAAACGAGGCCGGCCCGTTACGTGGTTACTGGTCCAATGATGAAGCTTGAGCTGGTGCCGGGACCCAAAGCATGTACATACCACGGATTACTGTGTACAACGCGCTCTCGGGTGACAAGCTTGCTTATTCGGGCGATGGCGGCCCACCCCCCTGCTAGCCTGGGTCCAGCTGGGCATTTCGGAAAGACCAGGCTTTTGAGACACGCATGACCCAGGTCACGGCACATCCCATCTCATTAATAACTATGGGATGCCGCGCCGTACTCCTTTATGGGACCAAGGCGGATCGCAGCTCCTATTTGTACCCTCGCGATCTCGGTCAGAACCCCCCTCTCCCCCAAGTACCTGCCCACGCCGTCATTCTCAGGTCATTTTCACACCGGTGAATCCCTTCACTGAGCCGCTAAGATGGAGGGCCTGACGCTGATCCTGCTTTACCTGGCTATCCCGAGCCTTCTCTTCTCAGCCATCAGGCAGATCGTGTCATGGAGAAAGAGTATCGGATCCAAGGCTAAGTTCCCGGGGCCGCAACAGTTTCCCATCGTGGGCCGCGTTCATGACCTCCCCCGGTTCTCGTTATGGTTGAAATTCAAGGAATGGGCCGACGAACACGGGCCGATCTACTACACCAGAGCACTCAATCAACCGTTCATCGTCGTCTCAGACGAGAAGATCGCCGAGGAACTGCTGGTCAAGCGAGGCCATATCTACTCGGGCCGGCCGCAGATCCGCTCCCTGATCAGGCACAAGGAGGGGCCGGCATACTCGGCCTTGATGGACCGCCATGGTAAGTTCCATGCCCACCTGCCATAAACCAAACCTAGCCACTCACACCCAACCCAGACATCTGGAAGGCGCAGCGCAAGTGGGCGCACGCGGCGATGGCGGAGGCCTACAAGCACCACTTCTACGGGCACGTCGAGCGCGAGATGAAGCGGTACCTGGGGCTGCTCCTGCTCGACCCAGCCCGGTTCCTGGACTACACGCGCGAGTACTGCGGGCGGGTCATGTCGCGGCTGGCGTGGGACGACGCGACGCAGGGGCGCACCAACGGCGACAGCGCCGACCAGACCCTGCACTGCATGAGCGTGTCGGGCCCCCTGACCAACACCCTCACCCCGCTGTGGTACCTGCCCTCGTTTGCGAACCCCTGGTACAACTACGAGATCGAGCGCGAGCGTGTCCAACGTGCCTGGTGGCTGAATAACTTCCGCCTGGCCAAGCACCGCATGAAGAAGGGCGAGCTGCCGGACGACACGTGGGCGTACCGGTACTTTGAGCAAGTGAAGAAGGAGGGGAATGAGGGGCTTGATCAGGCTGAGGAGCAGGAGGTGTTTGCGAGCTGCATGATCGGGTTCTTGAATCTGGTTGGGGTGGTGACCATCAGCGGGCCGCTCAAGTTCTTCCTCATGGCCATGGCGCTGCACCCGGAGTGGCAGAAGAAGGCGCAGGCCGAGATCGACCGGGTATGCGGCGACCGCATGCCGACCATGCAGGACTTTGCCGACCTGCCCACCGTCAGGGCCTGCATGAAGGAGACAGTGCGGTGGAGGTCAGGGGTACCGCTCGGTGAGTAACGCAAACTTCTTCTCTCGCGGGTTCTCGCAGAAAGTACTGACGGCCATCCGCCTCCCCCCTAGGTGTTCCCCATCAGGCAGAACGTGACGACGAATACCGTGGTGTCACCATCAAGAAGGGTACCATCGTGCTCGCATGCGAATGGTACGTACCGTCTCACACCGATCCCACCCACACATTCCAACGTTACACACACATAAAAGAAGAGTCAGAGAACAAGACATGCTGACTAACCCCTCCACACCAGGTCCCTCAACCGCGTGCCCTCCAAATACCCCGACGGCGACAGCTTCCGCCCCGAGCGCTGGCTCGAAGCCGGATGGCCGACCTTCCAAGCGCCCCTGTCACGCTACCCCAACTTCCGCGAGGGCCACTCGATGCACAGCTTCGGGTGGGGGCGGCGCACCTGCCTGGGCCAGAACATCGTCGACGACGAGACCTTTGTCTTCGCGGCCGCGGTGCTGTGGGCTTTTAACTTGGGACCCAAGGTCTGTCCGCGCACCGGTGAGCCGGTGCCGATTGATACGCAGGCGACGAATTCCCATGTGATTTTGGAGCCGAGTCCGTATCAGATTAGTATTAAGGTGAGGGGGGAGGAGAGGGGGCGCCAGGTGCTGGATGGGTATCATCAGGTTATGGGCGAGTTGAGGGTGTGAGGGGGGGAGGGAGGTGGTGCGTGAGGGGATACCATGCTGGGTGGGCGGTGGATGGGATGGTGGATCTTAGATCGTGGGTAATTTGCTGGGTTGGAAGATCATCATTTGCGAGTTACTGACTGCGGGTGGAAGGTTGATAGCGCGGTGTCACGGCAGATGGCGCTAGGAGCATTCGTTTTATTTTGTGCCTCTGCTCCGTCGTTCTTTTCAGGTTGTTGGTTGATCTCACGGGGGCTACATTTGGCATCTCAAAACTAGGGATTTTGCATGAAGAAAGTCGAATGTCAGAATCAACTGTTCTTGATTAGGTTATTTATCTCGTGTTTGCGAGACAGGAGTCTAGAACGCCCGAGACTTGTCCAATTCGTGAACCCTTATGTGATTTACGAGCCATCACGCCTTGTCATACCAAATGTTTGGGCTGAAGTCCGAGGTGTCACTGACATGGAATCGTGTAACGCGCCCGGTGCGCCATCTCTGAGCTTAATCGAAGAATTTGAGACCCTTGACTCGGAGGTGTTGCCTCTAGCATCTCGGACTTCAACCGCCGAACAACTAGAAACACCAGTGACGGTCAAAGTTCGAGGGCTGGCGAACTTAGACCAAATTGTCCATCCTCACGGGCTGTTCCACATGCGCTCCCTGATGCTCCTCTTGTCTTGCCACGTAAAGCCCGTAAATCCTGTAAACAGACGCAAATATAAGAAAGCCATGTGTCGCCCTGCGAAACAGATTAGTCGTCTCAGCGAGGTTAAGAGGGTGGAGGTTAAAGACTTACAGTACCGCATACACCAGGTAAAACTGTGCGGTAAAAAGCGTGGTGTATTGAACCGGATGGCCGTCTTCGAAGCGAGACCAGGAGTCGATCCAGTCATACAGAATGCTGGCGCCCATAAGTACCATAATAACCATGTCCCAGAGGACGGACCACGGAGAAGGGAAAAAGTGTAGCGGATTATTCGACTTGGCTGGCAGGGTGGGTGGTAGAGCATATAACTGAATGGCGTTGACCAAGATAGCGAGTACAACCTAAACGGGGGTTTATGATTAGTTTCGCTGGTCCAAGGAAAAAGGGGGAGAGGGTTTTACGAGAACTTACGCCAAAAAGTTTGACAACGCTAGTACGGTGCTCATTCACACTAATATGGATGAGAACACCGAGGACAGGAATCTCTAAGAGAAGGGCTAGAAATCTGGAAAAGCTAGTCTGACGCTGGTTGTTGGTAGCGGATTGTGTGTTCGCCATGGCGACGGAAGTGGCTGGCGTTAATGAGACTCTGGTTCCCTGAGAATAAGATAGTCGCTACAGCTCGGTCGTGGTATGCAAAACAGAACCTGGGCTGGATGGGGCTGAGAAGAAGGTGACTGGGATGGCGGCAAGGTACCTATTAATACACACAGCTGGCGGGGGGTGATTCATGAACACGGGGTTGTTCGGTAGTTCAAGTGGGCTGCATAGGAGACTTGTTGCAAAGTTTAGGTAAGTACTCATGTAACATCACGGCTTCAATATATCATCAGGTACCTTTGATGTCCACAGTTGTTGTTCCAAAAGTCAGACACCGAACAAGCTCCACATTACCATGTCCATGTACGTCTTTATTGTTGCTTCCCCGAAAGACACACCGCAGCCCGTTACAACTCGCAAGGCCGAAGCGCGATAGGGGTGCCGGAGATGGCGCCACCCTCACCGCCTAGTATAACCACATCGCCAGGCAGCTCGCAACCAAAGACTTCGAAGCAGGGGAGTGGAGGTACATACACATGTAGGTATATTAGTAGGTATTTTAATAACGGTGTAATAATAATAGGAGGCCTTTCAGAAGGATTAATTTCTATTATGATAAATTACTAGCAATCACCTATATAAAACTGGAAATATTATTACTACATCAAGGACGCTAGGTAGCTAATATGAATAATGAGGCAGCTGAGTGTGGCCGTACAATAGGCGCGAGGGTGTGGGCTGTTGCCGTAGGTAGGTACCTTACCCTTGACATGGGCTACTAGGACGGGGGGCCGCCTCCCACCCTGTAGGTTCCCCCCTCACACACTTTGGCCGCCGGGGCAGGCGCAGCATTGAAATAATCGATGGTGGTGATTATCACGGGGCATCCCACAATGTCATAGCTCTGCCATGCTCTCGTGTACAACGTGTAAACCCTGTCGCCTCGGACTCGGTTCGTTGTGTGAATAGCGTTAATGATGCTCTAACTCCCGGCACTGGCGTGCGACATTAAGCCAAACTTCCCAGCGTCATCTCTTCCCCATGCCCAATGCCTAGCCGACGGTCAGGGCGTCTCCGAAAGCAGATGTCGCAGAGCCAGACAACTATAAGAACGCCGTGTATGGCACTACAAAATGGATTAGTTGGCCGAGGACGTAGGTAGAAAGTGGACTCAGTGGAAAGCTCACAGCACCGTGTATATGAGGTAAAAGTGGTTGGTATAGAAAATGTCATGTTTTATGTTTCAGGCGGGTGGTGGTAACACGAAGTACATGTGCCATATATTAGTTGTGGACCAGGTTTGCCACAAGTCTTCCATGAGTGTCCTGTTCACACATCTGACATCAAGGATTCCGGCCTTGTTACCCTTTCCGGACGACATCGCGTATCCTGTCTTTACCAAAACAAGCGGTCTGTCGGTTTCATGGGGTAATTCAAGGGCGAATCAATCTCTCATAGCCATGAGGCAAAAGAGAAGACGCAGAGCTTTCGCTCATCCCACTTTCGCTCAAGCATCGGAATCAGGAATAAACACGAGTATTAAGGAACGCTTGGTATCCGCTAAACTACTAACTGTCAGTTGTACCTTGGAAACTACCTCTTAATATCTATCTAATGGAGCACCTTCCTCCGCACCAAAGACCTATTACCATTACCGCAGTCTTGCTGCTCAAGTTCCAGGCTGCGCCTGCGCTTCCGCGACCTCCCCCGAGGCTCCTCCTCCTGTTGCCGCTCAGGAGGACTCAGCTCGTCATCATAGAAGCCATGGTCCTCAGAAGTATCGGTTCCAAAGGAAGCACCGTCAAACAGGCCGAGGCCATCCTCTATTAGCAGGTCCTCGGCGGTATCGGCTGGTGTCGGCGCGCTTCTCTTCCTAGGAGAGCGTGACCGGGTGTTTTTCCATATCTTCCTGCATATCTCGGGACTAGTGTCTTCAGCCTCCCATTGCCCCGTCTCGCCACTCCAGAGCAGCAGCCGCCTCGGTACAGGCGCGGAGGGGAGGAACATGTCAAAGACACGAGGGCTGAAGATGGTCCACGCGAAACGTGCAAAGAGACACTCTATCATTACGGTTGTGGGAAGGGGATGAACAAGGCGGTTGTGCCAGAGGTTCGGGAGCTGTCCGCTGGGGGTCAAGTTGAAGACGTGGAGAACGAGCTGTGGCGGCGCGGGCTCTGCTTGGGATCCATCACGCCCTCCGTCTACCTCCCCGACCTTGGGAACAAGACAAAAATGTCTCTCGTCGAAAACGCGATGCAGATCGGCCCGTAGCGTTAGGAGGTTGGCTGGCCCATCAATCGGGTTGCTCGAGAAGAACTGCGTAAGCGAATAGCGCTGCATCTCGTTCGAAAGCCACCAGTCGTCTTCAGCGGCTGGTAGCAGGTGGGCCGTCTCTAGGCCGTCGCCGTAGTTGGAGAGCACGCAGCGCCGAGTTGTGTCTCCTCCTGTGCGTGGCAGCGCCGCATCTGCCGCCCATCTTTGCCATAAGGGCGGTAAATCGCCATGCGGGAAGCGCCAGTCGGAGAAACGCGGGACAATGGGGTATGGGGGATCAAGCGGACCGGGGAGTTGAAAGAAGTACCGCGGCTCGCACAGGATGCCATTCTCCGGGCGCTCCACGATCAGAGCTCCGTTACGGTCCGACGAAAAGAAGCCATCGCTCCACCGGTTTCCCGCGATGAGGCCGCATGCCGCTAGAGCCGTGTCGAAGTCGATTCCCGCCGCGTCGCTGCCGTCGTCATCGAGGGCGGGCAGCGACAGAAGTATCGCGTTCCCTGGATATCCAGGGTGAAGGAAGTCAATTCGACGGGATTGCAGGGCCGCAGGGCTGGCTGGCTCGTTCGCAGCGCGACGTAGTTGCATTTTGTGTATTCGGTGGTGGTTTTGTGAACTTGTGATCAAATGGAACGGGGCAACGGGCAAGACGCCAAAGCTCGGCGATGTAAGATAGCCAAAGGGTTAGGGTCTGCCATCCCCACCCTGTCACCTCACTGGGCACCAAAAGCTAAACTCGCAAGTGTGGATGTCGACAAGTGTATTGATAGACCTAACCCAGTGCAGTCTGGGACATGTACCAAGAAGGCATCAAGTATGGACAAGAATGGAAACATTTATATACAGAGACGCTCACAACCGGCTCGCCAGCTCTTCACAGGCACTGCGAGTAGTAGTCATTCGAGTACTTGCAAGTATATGGGGCAGCACACGTCGTGCAGCCCGTGAACTAGGGATATGTTAATAACCTAGTCCTGTTCGAGAACTCGATCAAAGAGCACTTACCCCGAGGCCCCCGCATTGTGACCACTGAGCGGCGTTGCAGCCGCTGCTCGTGGTGGAGGTAGCCGGCGCAGTGTTGGTCGTGGTGGTGGTCGACGTGACAAGAGTCGTCGACGACGGGGGAGCCGTGGTCGTGCTGTTGGTGTTGCCACCACCGGAGCACCCGACACGCGTCGAGCTCACCACAATATCGTCGTACCAGAACGTGTTGCTGTCGCCGCCGTACGACTCCCAGCCGAAGTAGACGGCCGAGGGTTTGGGAATGATGGAGCTGCGTGTCCAGCCGCCGGCATTGGGGTTGGAGACGCCCGGCCCGACCGTTAGACCGGCAATCGCGGCATCGTTGAGCCAGGTTTCGATGCTACCGTCGGTGCCGATGTAGTACTCGAAGCACTCCCAGCTGCCGGTGGGCAGGGCCACCGAAGCGGCGACGCCCTGTGGCGAGAGGTCGGGGAGAGTAGCGTCATCCGACTCGCGATTGTACATCAGGATCGAGTTCTGGCCGCCAATACGGAGATGCTTCTTGGTACCCTGGGCTGGGTCAGGCATAGTCATGAAGGTAACGTGCGATGCGGTCAGGGCCTTGGACGCTTTACTGTAAGCAGACAATATTAGTCTTACATCTATCCGTTGACTATCACGACGCAGTGGTCGGTAGCCTCAGTTGCTCCCCGACTTACAGGTAAGTCCTGACATAGAGATCGCCGCTGGGGACTTTGTCTGTGCCAAAGAAAACATGGCCGCAGTAACCACCAGCGCCGTCAACCCGGATAGAGTTCTTCCCGCTGTGGGCGGTCGTGCTATCGAGGGTCACCTTGCCGCCCTGGTTGCAGTCGGGCGCATAGATGGGCCATGCCGTCTGGTCCCATCCGCTCTCGAAATCGTTGGAGACCAGGGCGGACGAGAAAGGAAGGATCGCGACAGCGGAGGCTAGAAGGGCAGTTTTGCGGAACATGGTTGCGAAGAATTGCTGCACGCCTTGCAAAATAGGTACGGAATACACAGGGTCCTCCAGGGATGAGCAGGGACGAGATCAAGCACTGCCAAGTAAATGGGTGCCAAGTATTTATATACCTCCCTCATCGAATTCACCGCTCCAGATCCATTGCTCTTCTACCAGTGCCAGCAAGCTCGGCGGATGCTCAAACCGGAGTTCGGCGCTGGTGCTGTTTGGTCCCTCAATAGGCATGGAGCCGGGCGCGTCGGACCGTAGCAAGGGGCCCCTCAATTTATCCTACCAAGCGAGCCAGGCAATTTAGGGACAGGTCCCCAATTCCCAGTGCAACGGCGCAACCGTAGAAGACGTCTCTTCGGAACCTTCGCCGACCCCAGCCAGAGTGACACCCGCAGGCTGGCGAGGCGATGGCCGTGTTTCACGGGGGGTAGTTCCGCGTACCTCCGTCGCGGTTCTCCAACTCGGAAGGTCTTTCAGGTGCAAAAAGGGGCATTCAGTTTAGGTTTGGTTAAAGCACAAGCTGCTTGGTCTCCTGTAGGTCGAGATGAAGCTGGCTCTCACGGGATTTCTAACTCTTTGGCCCACCAGCGGTTGTTGTGGCACATGTGTCGTCGAGTGAGACCAAACGGACTGGTACATGCTGTGGCACGATGAAGTCCTAGAATAAAGTAGGTACTGTCCGCTACACACGTAAATAGTAGTGGGATGGGTGGCATTCCTTATATCGTCGTGGCCAACGCTGAGAGTCTTCAATGTTGGCTCTGCAGTTTTGCCCCCGATTTCCGCGGCCACGTCCACAAACCCCGCCAACACGTCTTCCGCCCTCATGCATACCTCCATGGAAGTTTTCCCAGTATCAGTTTTGAAGCAACTCGGCGTCATGTGTCCAGCCAGCCCCCGGAAGGCACGGAACACGGCCGATTAGGAAATACGCGGGAAGACCGCCCTCCCTTCTCGAAACTGGGCGGCTCCATGTCGCCCGGGGAAGGGGTTGCATTTTCATGACCGTGGCATTCCGCCGCTTCATGTTAGCGATAGCGGCAATCGTGTCCCCCTCGGCCCCACATACCTAACGGGGGCTGAGCAGTTGCGTATAGCCCAGGTTTGTCCTCTCGTTTCCGAAGTAGGCGTTCCAAAAGAGAACATAGTACGGTGCGAGGTGAAGATTTCCCAGCTTGTTCATGCCTTCATGGCAATGCGTTGGCTCTACGAAGATAGGGGCTCGCATCGCCATTCAGGCTGGGGCTACACATCGAGCCGCCCCGGCCCAAGGCCATCATTGTGACCCGCCTCGGTCTATCCTGTTTGTTACACCGAGCGTTTACGGTATCTCCGTGATTCGCTGGCGAGAAGGACTGGTCGAGAGAAGATCACACCAGCCCGCCAATCTCCGAAAAGCCGCGGGGGGCTCTGTTATCTAACGAGGGATCAGTCCATAAAGCCTGGTCTCGCTCATCTACGTAAGCACCCTGACCCGCCAGCTCCCAGCTCGCTATGCCTCGTGGATCCGAAACGGGTGCAATTGACGTATTGCCACCGAAACACGCGCGTTCAATTCCTAGGTAGCTACGAGGATGGCCGCCGCTTTGGAAAGTGCGCATAGCTTTCTTTCCAAAGAAATAATCGATTTGAACGAATAATGAGCGCTCCAATCAGATGAGTGGCTGCCTGGAAATGCGATTTATCAAGGAAAGTCGCGTGTTGTTGGTGCCTTCCCTTGAGTCAATCTTTCCCAACTTCTTTTTTCTTTTTTTCCAAGCCGCAACCCTTCAGCCCCCAGGCCCCCTGTACCGCGTGAGACGCGTTTCTGGGTGACGATTGACAACAACTCCCCACCACATTCCCAATTTTCCAAATGCTTAGCACGCCGACAGACGAGGGAGACGAGGGTGCTCCGCCGCCCTCGCAGTCTCACTTTGCAAAGTACAAGCATTTCACGCCCAACGACGCGGCATCATTTGACGATGAATTTGCCCGACTCGCCTCATCGCAGGAATGGGTTCCCGGTTCCCAAAACTACACCCGACAACGCACCATCGCCATGAGGGAGGAACTCGAGCTCCACTACTTCTCGCAGTCGCAGTCTCAACAACTTGACGACATCGACGAAGAAACAGGAGAAGAGCTCACCCCCGAAGAGATAAAACTCCGAGGTTACCAAGCACTCTGCCACGAGGTCGGCATTGATCCGAGCGACTCGGTCGCAGAGTGCAAGAGACACCTGAATAATACCCTCGTCAACATTGTTGACCTCATCGATGCCCGGCGGACCGGCAAACGTGTCAAAGTGTGGGACAGCTTCCAGGAGTTCCGGGCCTACACCCTCCTCGACAACCACAGGATCGATATCACAGAGGCGAAGCGCCCTCCAGGCTACCTTGCTTCATTATTGCAACGTTTGTCAGGTCCTCGATTGCGTAGCAAAAAGGGTGTCTCCAAGCGTGGATCGGGCCGCATCACCAAACGTAAGGCGGCTTAAAAGCAACATTTCGGGTTGCATCTGCCACCCTCCGTCCACCGTCGACAACCTCTATCCGGACGTCGAACAGACTTGTCGCTCGCCATCGTGGCGACGCCTCAGAGCTGCACGGGGGGCGGCATTGACAGGCGGTTGTGTGAGGCAAGACTTGGAAGCACGATTTGGGAGCCTAGATACGATGGATTATGTTCCGGATTTAGCCATCCTCTAATTGTACACGATACCGGCCCAACCGCCGAAGCGGCTGTGGCAGATGGAGCTGATGTGCAAGTCTATCCTGTCCCTACTTACTAGTGTCTGCTGTTCCATGGCATTCCCGGTTCTCCGTCAACTGGATCGCCTCTGCTATCAACTCCGTGGCTGGTGGTGGGTTCTCTTGACTGACGATCGTTGGCCCGACGCTCTTATGCCTCTGTGCCTCGAGATACTTGTCCAGACTCGGCAGCACCCCCTTCGCCGTCGCGAACTCTCGCTGCCAGCACTTCAAATCACATCCCTTGCCGGCAAACTCGTGAGATCATCAGGTTCTCCTGCGTGAAGTTGGGATACGCAACACTATCTTCCCACTCCCCCCACTCGTCAAAGGTCTCGAACCGCCCCGGCGTCGCTTGGTACGGCTACCAACCGGTATGGATCGTGTAGAAAGTCGAAGCCATACCAAATAGGTCTAGGAAAACGCTCGACTGCCACTCGAAGACAGGGCTGTAAAACGGGCTGTCAGGGAGGGACAGCCCCTCGCCGAGCTCCTCGCTCACGGAGCCGCCCAAGTCGGCGAGTAGCAGGTCCCGCGCGCCTAGGGCCGTCTCGTGGGTCAGGAGGTTAGCCGGCCGGAGATCTGAGTGCAGAACGCCGCGGCTATGGATGTCATCAAGGGCTTCGGCGAGCTGGCGGCACCAAAGGGGCGGCTGTGTGATGCTCGTCGAGGTAGGTTTGGAGGTTGCCATGCTTTTGCTGGCAGAGGTACGTAAGTAACGGGAGCGATAAGTGGGTGGCCGATGAAACATTTTGGTGTTTGAGAGTGAAATCACCCGACGATCCCGAGGCGCTGACCCAGTCACTCACTCGAGAATTTCCGGCTCCACGAAGAAATTGTTTGCAAGCCGTTTCTTCGTATGTACATTCGCCTGTCACCTCATGTGGCTTCTTCAAAACGGCGGCCGGAAACGCCGGTTCGATGCTGCATGTCGATCCGTGAACGGACATTGCTGTTCTGACTTGCAGGGTGAAAGGACGCGAGGGTGTCTGGGATGGGATTGGCAGGAAACGAAAGTTTGGTACTTTCTTGAGGACGTATTACGCAAGATGTGATAGAGGTGGTGTGGGTTTCATAACGTTCCAATATGCCGGCTTTCCCTGTTGGTCACAACTACTCTCTCAGCCCTTGTGCCCCTGTACGAAAATGGTATGAAGACATGAAGCTGTAGTCACCGAGGCGTAACCGATGGACTTCTCCCGTTGTGATTATATCGTCGGCCCCACGTTGCTCAGGCGGGAAACGGTAACCGTCCGCCTGAAATAGCGTACGTAGTGGACCAAAGGTTCTCAAGCTGTAGGTAACCAAACCCGGAGATGGTCTTCCACCTAGCCGGTACACCTAGCTGTAAATTGTTTCAACACCTGCGATGAGCCACAAGACGTTCATATCTCAGATTTCTGATCTCGAATTATCCCATGACATCTAACAAGGACCCTTGAGTAACTCATTCCGGGATGATTGGGGGCCTCTCATGCAAGACAACCCATGTTGTACAGGGGTTTCAGAGGCAGTGTGGACCAGCCAAGACTCGGACAAGCGGGGGAAACAGTTCTCCGAGGAGCCATATCAACGGAGAACTTCTTCCTGTAGTGTCTTCTTTACTCCGGTTCGATATCAAGTGTAAGTTCCTTGACCTTACGAACCTCGCCCCTTCATCCGTTCACCTAGTAGCCCTCAGCCAACTCGAAAGCCAGAAGCCTGAGCCCAAAATGCAACTCCCACTCCAGACCGAAGCACTTGTGGTAGACACAGTTGGAGGCGACTTTGTCATGACTCCAGTCACCATACAAGACCTAAGGCCGGACGAGGTACTAGTTGAGATGAAGTACTCAGGTCTCTGCCACACAGTATGTGTCAAAGAATTCCCCAGACGCAACCGCCATCACTGACTGCTATCAATTTCAGGATTTCTACCTCCAGCAGGGCGGTTTTGGCCCGCTCGTAGAATTCCCGGCCATTGCCGGGCACGAAGGAGCAGGAATTGTGAGGGCCATTGGTTCTAGCGTCAAGGACAAGTCACTCCAAGTCGGCGACTCCGTTTTGCTCTCTTTTGCCGCTTGTGGGGAGTGCATTTATTGTCAAGGGGACCAGTTTAGCCGATGCACACAGTTCGTACCGCTCAACCTAACCGGTATTCGACGGCCGGATGGCACCACCCCTGCTAAGCTTTTAGACGGCCGGCCCGTTCGGAGCCAGTTCTTTGGGCAGTCATCATTTTCCCGTATCTCGGCGGTCCATGAGAACTGCCTAGTCAAATGTCCATATCCTCAGGACATGGCCATCTACTCCCCGATGGGCTGTGGGTATCAGACCGGGGCGGGGACAATTCTCAACATCTTCAAGCCCAAGGCGAACCAAACAATAGCCGTCTTTGGTGCAGGCAGCGTCGGATTTGCGGCGATGATGGCTGCCGCGACCGTTCCAGGCATGCAGATCATCGCCATAGACATCGTGGAGAAAAAGCTGGCATTGGCGAAGGAGCTCGGTGCCACACATGTGATAAATTCCTTGACGATCCAAGACAGTGTTGTGGACGAGATTAAGAATATCACGGGGGGGCAGGGCGTGGACTTCGCTGTCGATACCACTGGGGTGTCTTCGGTTGTCGAGAAGATGCTTGACTGCCTAGGGTACAGCGGGACAGCGGCGTCCATCGGAGCGCCACCAAGAGAGGAGAAAATCAGCGTGGACGTCGGGGCTTTCTTTGCCTACAAGAAGACGTGGATCAGCGTTGCGGAAGGGGATTCCCATCCCCCCGAGGTTTGAGCCTTGCCATGCTCTCGGATTGGCATCTACTAACGGCCAACAGTTCATCCCCAAGCTCATCGACCTCCACAAACAGGGAAAGTTCCCGATCGAGAAGATCAGCAAGGTCTACCCTGTCGCCGACTTCAAGCAGGCCGTGTCTGACATGAAAGACGGAATAGTAAGGCCTGTTTCCGTTGTATCAGCCCTGTTATGACTAACACCAGCAGGTCATCAAACCGATTATTGAGTTCTAAACTGCGGCTCGAGGATTTGGGTTGGCAGCGGGTAATAAATGCATTATTAGACAATGCCGCGTTTGGGCGTCGAATCTTCGCTTGTCGTGACACCCATAATGGCTCGTATCTGGACCGGCGGGAACTCGTGTGGAATATATTGATCATGATATGAAGAGACAACTTCCATTCACTATCATGACCACCGTCTCCCCGGCAGGCTATTTACCCACTGCCATCCGTCTCAAACCTTCTCCACGTTAGCCACCTCCGGGTTCTCCACGCCCGCAACCTTGACATCCGTTCCACTTGTCACCGCTCCCCCCCCAACCACCGCATCCTCATCCCGTTCCCGCAACCCGACCTCCGTAGTCGAAAACGCATCGACCGTATCCCGATACGCCGGCACAAAGTTCACCGCCAGCGCATACGACCAGGCCGCCACAAAAAACAACGTCGGCACAATCATGGAGAACCCCGTCCCATGGCGATCCGCCGCCAGGCCCATCAGCGGCGGCACGCACGCGCCGCCCATCACGCCGCCCACGATCCAGCCCGACCCGCGCTTGGTGTGCCGCCCCAGACCGCGCATGCCCAGCGCGACGATGGTCGGGAAGCAGATGGACTCGAACAGCATGACCACGAACAGCATGCTCAACCCGGTGTTCTCGCGCTGCGTGATGGCCGGCGCGCCGAAGACGATGCACAACGTCAGGAAGAGGAGAAACACTTTCCGGGGCTTGATGAAGTGCATGAGCGCGGCGCCACCAAAACGGCCGATGGCGAACCCGGCCTGGGACCCCGCGAGGAACTTGGAGGCCAGGGCGGAGTCGGTGTTGGAGCGGGTCTCGACGGCGTAGTTGATGAAGTAGCTCGCGATGGCGACCTGGGCGCCCGTGTAGCAGAACTGGGCGAAGGCGGCGTGGAAGAGGCGGTACTGCTTGCGGAAGGGCTTGTCCTGCGTGCCGGCGTGGGTCTCCGAGGCTTGGAAGGCCATGTCGGCGTCGGTGATCTCGGGGATGACGGAGAGGAAGAAGACGCCCGCGAGCAGGAAGACGAAGCAGGCGATCGCCAGGTATACCCATTGTACGTTGCGCAGGGCCACGTCGTCGTCGAAGTTGAAGAAGACGTAAGAGCCCAGGACGGGCGCGATGACTGTGCCGATGCCGTTGAAGGCCTGCGCGATGTTGATGCGGATCTCGGAGAACTTGGGGGGCCCGCAGACTGGGGTGGAAGTCCGTCGTTAGTACCAGATACTCGAACCGCATGGGGGGGTGTAAGGGGGGCGAATGAGGCGGAAATTACCGGTGATGTACGGGTTAGCCGCAGTTTCGAGCGAGCCAAGCCCGTTGCCGATGATGAAAATGCAGACGCAGAAGCCACCAAAGGATCTACCAATAATGGCGGGAATCGCGAGCAGTGCCCCGAGGCCGTACAGGAACAGACCCCAGATGAAGACGGCGCGGTAGCCAAAGTGTCGTAGAATCCATGCTGCGTGTCCGAGGGAGGCGAGGGGGGTACGCGCTGGCTAAGAGTCAGCAGCTGGAGACTACCGTCGCCAAACCTAAGCACAGGATGCTCACCCAAAGTACGCCGCTTGCAACCCGGATGACCTCGTCCTGTCAATGCCGAGCGTCTCCTGAAAGTGCTTGTTGAGAGTATCGAGCAGGCCGTAACTGAACCCCCAGAGGAAGAACAGGATGGTGACTAGGCAGATGGGGTATATCGAATCTCGCAGTGTCAGTTCTGCGGCCTTCGTCTGCTGGTCATCGGGCACCCGCAGGGAGCGCCTCTTCCAAAATCCTTTCGACACCATCGTGGCGCGGTTTCAGTTTCCACAATAAGGTAGCCACGTACTGTGTAGTCTGCAACCCTCCTCGCGGAGAAGGGATAGACGTGCATATTTGGGGAAAACCGTTGCTTCGGGTCTTCCTCGCCGAAGGGCCCTGTTCCCCGCGCGTAACGGTGCTTCCTCGGGGCATTGGACAGACCGACGATCGGCTGTCGTGTCTCGCCAGGGGGCTGGGCGGCTTGAGTTGCACGATGACGATGACGGTACAACCTTGCCAATGGTCCTCCTCGCACGAGCGTCCAAGTCGTATCGAGGGATTCCACCAATGAATATCCCCGAAGAACCGGGGTCAACGGGAGAGGAATGCTTTGGAGTCGAGTTTACCTTCCCTTTAGGGTTTCCCCGCAGAGTTTCGGTGCTCAAATGTTACCTCGATTAGAAAAAGTAGCGGGATCGGCATCAACAGTGGGTCGGGGGTCGAGGGAAGCCGGCAATTGGGTTTGGCAAGCGGAGGTAAAAGTTGGGGTATTGGTGCGGTTCAGGGTTGTATCCGTGGATAGCCACCTGCCGTGCCGTTACATTACTGAGACTCTCAAAGTCCGAGGGCGGGAAAGAAAAGATGAAAATGGAAGACTGGTTCCGAGCTCAGAGTCGTTGGGTTCGGGTTGCAAGGTGTCAAGGAATATCCTTGGGCCTTGGCTTCTTATACAAGGAGTTGGGACCCTGAACCCAAACGAACAGCTCAGATGATCCCGCATTCGTGGTCTCGACATGATACCGAAGATTGTCATCCCATTGGAGCGCAGTTATGTAGATAACAAATATGATGGCCGGTATATTACTTATAGATAAGAAATCCCCTCTAGAGATCACTCGGACCGTCAGAGTCAACCACCCCCTTGGTAGCCACTATCCTACCCGGTACTGCTGAGCCTCGCCGCCTCGAAAGCTTGATCGTTGGCAGCTCTGACATGTGAATCTTTGCAAGCCCATACGGGATCATCCTGTACGTCTGCTTCTCCGTCACACATGCGGGATCCGTTGGGGGCACATCGGGCGCCACACCCTCCCGAACCGGCCAGTCGATCTGGCATCCCTGGACCGTGAGATAATTGGTAGGCCCCTTGTCAGCTTGACGAGCGCTGAAGCCTCTTTGTATTCCAGCATCGGTATGCTCGTGGTGACGAATCGTTGAAGGGTCGATGGCGACGTTCCACTGTTACGGTCAGGTCAATAAAGGGGCCGCCAACCAAGGCACGGGAGTCGCCACTTACCGGCTTCGTAAAGTTGAAGTAGTTATCCTTGACATTCTCATACTCGGAGAATTCGGTGGTGCCGTTTCCGCTGGTCTCCCAATACCTATGCGGCAGCGAACTCGTCACACTCTCCCCGACGTCCAACGCATACAGGACATTCCCAACATAGACGGACACCGCGTTGTCCGCCCTTTCTCTCGTCTCGACACGAACTGCGTAGTCAATGTAATACTCCAGGATTGACTTCCCCTTCGGCACCGACACGCGAAGCAACCCGGTATTCTCATTCGGCGACATGGGAAGGGTTTCCGCCTCGGCACCATCGGCCGAAAGCGACAAGACCGACTTGGTGAGCACGCCCCACGAAGGGAAGCGTAAGTAGAGGTCAAAGTCCGACTCGGCATCGACGATGTACCTCAGGCGGTTCGAAAAGGGGTATTCTGTCTCGCATGTGATCGCTACCCTTCCGATCTCTGGGATGGTTGTGTCGACGGTTGACGGGCTCAACAAGGCGTGCACAAGTCCCTTGTCGGCTCTCGCCCAGCTGTTTGCCAGGAATTTGGGGTATCCCTGGGGGAAGTTGACCGTGCAACACGGGTACTGGGGTTCCAGCCCGAAGATGGTGGCAACACCGTTGGCCGTGGTGAAGAGCGATGGCTGGCGATGTTGGTTCAAGGCCCATGGCGCGTTGGGTCGTGTCATGTATTGATGTGCCCACATATCGTGGGTCAGCATGGTGGGAAGAGCGTTGAAGATGACGAGTTCGGCGCGGTCGGCAAAGGAATTGGTACCCAGGGCCTGGTAGAGATAGGCGAGTGAGTAGCCTGTCTCGACGGCAGTGCAGAGCTCGGAACCCATGAACGGCGCGAGGTCTCGCTGGATCTCGTCGGCGAGGATGGTACCGGAGGCGGCACCCTTGTATTTGAAGGTCCAATCAACACCGTTGGTCGTCGTCTTGGAAAGGGAGTCCCGGTGGGTGAATCTGCGGATGACAGCGGCGGATTTGAGACCTGCGTTCTGTCAATGCTCGTGGATCGGGTAAAGAGGAGGTGTTGACATGACCTACCCTGGCCGACGTTCACGCCGTGAATATAAGGAAACAGCGGGTTGTCCGTCGTCGGGTTCCCAATGACCTTTTCATACCGCCCGTTCTTATACCAATCCTCCCATTTGAACCTGGACATGTCGTAGAGCATGTCCATCGTCTCCCACAGGATAGCATCGTCCTTCGCATCCAGCTCCGCATGCTCCAGCAACCAGTGAATGACCAAAATCGTATCATGCACTCGGACCTGTCCCCAAGAGCACTGAACCGGATTCCACGTGCACTGAGTATACCCCTCGCCATCATTCTTGAGCATCTTATGCGCAAGCCTGAAATACCGCAGCGTGCTATCCACCACAGCCCCATGCCAACCCGTCGCATTCGCCTCAGCAAGCTGGGTCATCCCCAGCAGGAACGGCGTCCGCCCCCAGAAATTCCGATCCCCGCCCGGCGCTTCCGGCCCGATCCATCCATCCTTACCCTGCCGACCCAGCACCGCGGTCGCGACGCCGTGCACCTGGGCCTTCAGCCTCGCATCATCCAGCACATACGCCAGCGGCACGAGCCCGTTGAACCAGTAGGGCAGGGCCTCGTTGAGGACGCTGTAGTCGGTGGTGCCGCCGAGCCACTTGGAGTCCTTGACGTAGGGGTAGAACTCGAGCTCGTGGCCGGCGAGGCCGGCCGCCATGGCCTGCAGCTCGCCCCGGAGCCAGCCGCCGGGCGTGACGGCGCCGAGGGGGAGGGGCGGGAAGGCCCATGGGAGAACTGAGAAGGTTTGTGGTTGGTTAGTGAGTGTGACCAGAGTAGGAGCGGGGTTTGCGATTGGTTGGCCGGTCGACGTACGGTGCCGGCTCTGCGCAGCCGGTGGGTAAAAGAGGGCGAGTGTGAAGGGGATGGAGAACTGCCAGAGCTTCATGGTGGGCGTGGTTGGTGAGGGAAAACAGCCCGAGTGAGAGAAGAAGGAGGCGAGGTGGGAACGGCGGATCCCCAGGATTCTGGCCCAGGAATCCGGAGGAGAGGCGAGACTGGCGTTAAAGGAAAGACAATGCTGTTCAAATAAAGTTGAGAAGGTGAAACAACAAAATCCGGGGAATCACCGGTGACCCGGTCACAGCGGTTGGCCGCAGGGGTGGCACACGAGCAATGCCGGGGGACGATTGGTAAGGCAGGGGTCGGCATCGTGCGGGGCACCAACTTTGCGTCACATGTTGGGCATGGACAGCGGTGAACAATGGTGAGGGTCCATCAGGCAACGTCAGGACGGAAAGCAGTCTCGGGTAAGGTAGTTGAGCAGCTCCCTAACAGACCTTCGTGCACTATTAGCAACGGTTTGGCATGTGCTTGTTCAAGAAGATCATATTCCCTTCTACATATTGTACATGACCCCCGAGTCTATGCGGGCTCCAATTGATTATCATATCCAAAAAAGAATTCATACCATCCTGCCATCACCTGCTCCTCCCTGGCCCCCTCCTCCTGCTCTTTTCCGACGGCCTCACCAGCGGCGAAGCCTTCACCTCCCTCTTTGGGAACGGGCAAACCATCTCCTTGGCATACGCTGTGTATCGCCCCAACAGGTCCGTATCCGAGATTCCGTGCTCATAGTTCGCCATCCGCTGTGGGCCGAACGCGAAATGCACGGCCAGGCCATTGCCTGCCACCACGACGTGTTTGCCAATCTTTTTGGCATGTTCCACCGTTAGGAAATACTCATCGTCCTCCTCGGTGAAAGGGTACGCATCCATGATATCCCCTCCGCGCAAAGCGATGAAATTAATGCTAACGCGATCGTAGTGGCAATCCCAGATGCCGAACTTGTAAAGCGAAGTCTCGTTGTTTTCCAGATGTTGGAGGAAGGAATAGTGGAGTTGGGCCCCGGCAGCCCAGTTGTCCCAGGACGGGCCGAAGGGGTCGTATGTGAGTGTCGAAGCGGGGAATTTCGTCGGGTCTTCGGTCTCGCCCTTTTCTTTCTGACGAACCGGGAGCCAGCGGTGGCCGGTGAAAGGGGCTGGGGTCGAGCCGTCGATGTCGAAGTTGTCGGGGCCCTCAGCGGGTCCCTTATACGCAGGGAGCTCGGAGGCGCGCCAGGAAGAGGGCGACGAAGGCTTCCAAGGCTTCATCATTTCCGGCCAGTAAGGCTCGAAGACACCCATGTGGTAATGCACCCATGAGAGGGCGGGGTTGTTGACCACATTGGCCGAGACGGCAAAGTATGAAGGATTCTCGATGAGGGGCCGAACGACACTGGCTATGGTACCATCATCGATGAAGACAACGTCGTCGTCAATCTTGATATAGATGGTGTCGCGCTCGTCGACAGCGGACCACTGTCCGAGGAAGCCGTGTTCATCTGTGGCCGTAAACTTGCGGTAGTACGGGGAAGGGAGGAGCTCGTTGTCAAGGTAGTCGAGATCTTCCTTGATGTCGGTGTTGATGGCGAAGACGACTTCGTCCAAGAGTCCGCCGTTGATCCTGAGATTGCGCTATACGGGGTTAGTGAACATCACAGCCGGGATTCCGCGTGGGATGGCAGCCGAGGTAACGAGGTAACCTTTAGATAGCAATCCAACACGCGAACCAGGTCTCTGCGGCCGAAAAAGACAAGGCCGACGATCTTGACTTGGCCCGGCTTGGGAGATTCCAGGGGTTCCACAGGGTCCCCGGCGGCTGGGTTTGCACCGGTCGGAGATGTCGACGAAAGGGGTGGAAGGTTTGATGTTACGGTCGCGGGCGGAGGTTGCGTAGCCGGGGCATTGTGCGAATCGTCAACGTGGGTAGTGAGGTTGCGAAAGTGGTAACCGACGTCGCTAAAGGAAACGAGGTAAACGCCCAAGAGTGCGACCAGAGCGAAGGCGTAAACAGCGATCCAGCGCATGGAGAGGGGAAAGGTGAAGCCCCTGGAAGACATGGCAAAAAAGAAAAATGCCGGAAGCAAATGAGAGGTGGTCCACTACCAATACATGGCGTATTTAATCTGATACGGCCGTTGTCGTCGTTGGGGAATCGTGACAAAACTTACCTCACCCAAGGAAAAGGAAAAGGAAAAGAGTGGAGAGAAATTGAGAATTGAAAGGCCTCGAAGGTGAAGCGGGTCCCCTCCATCAAATTAGCTTCTTCCGGAAGCAGGGAAGCTTGTCCAGAGAAGCTCGGCGTATCGGCAGTTTATCAAGCTGATCACATTCCCGAGTTGTCCAAGTCCCCCCCCCCCCCCCCCCCCCCAAGCCACAACCGCACCGCCCCAGACAAGCCCTTGTCCCAAGTACTTTAGTCTTTGACCAAACAGCTTCCCACGGGAATGTGATGGGATCCGGGCAGCCCCTTCGCCCCCGACAATGTAACCAGAGTTGCATCTATCTAATTGACGAAGTCATTTCCACGAGCGATAAACCAGGGCGTTCCCTGGCAATACAGAAGGAATCAGGATGAGCATCCCAGCATCCAACTCGGAGGACAGATTTCCGAACAGTCGACTGTTCTTCCACTTGCATGATGTATCAGTGGCATCGGCAGTGTATAAGACAATAACTCGCAACTAAACACCGTATAGCCAATGACTCAGTAGGGAATACCATGATATATCCCGAGGCCTTAACTAGATATTATAACCACAACCCGCATATAACCCCAACCCGCACATAACCCCAACCCTAGCTCTCTCGCCCCCTTTTTTTTCCGTTAGATCCATCAATTAATTCAATTAAAATCAATTAACAACGCAGACCTGTCAATCTAGGAGCCGCTGGATCGCTCAAAAACGCAATAAAATTGAGATCCACAGAATCTTGTTTTTCTTATCGCCGCGTAACTTTATCCCACCCTCTTCACTGCGTGCGCCGAAGAGGGCGCAGTGCGGCGGGGCGCCGAAGGGGTTAGGGTTAGTACTGGGATAGGGTTACTTACAGTATCCAACTTAACTTACTGCGCGCACGCGCGTGCGATTTGGCAACGGTTCCAAAGGAATTAATTACGTGATGCAAAGGCGCGACGGGCCAGGGTTGCGGGTATGTATAATGTGATACGGGCCAGGGTTGCGGGTATGTATAATGTGATACAGTCCAGCGAGACCAGCATAGCAGTCCGAAGAGCCCGCCTCTAGAGATTTCTGCCTTGATGAACTCTTTGAAGTGCAGTTCCTAGCTTATCTGCACCTAGAAGCCGCGTTGGTGTTGATCGTAATGTACACTGCGAATATCGTCGGTCTGCTGAGCAGCCCGTAGACTGAACTATAACCGGCTTTGGAATGACGAGTGACTTATATCAAGATACCTAGTACAGGCATCGTAGTACCTTTGTGCTTCAAGATCAAACGTGTCCGGGCTTCTTATGCCTTTTATACGAAACCTTCGACCGCCTTCACGACGTCATCGATGCAGGAAGTTTTAGTAACCAAAGAGCTTAGTTCGGTAGGCAATAATGAACGGTATTGAAGCGGAGTGTGCCCTCCAAGCACACACAGACACACACACACACACACACACACCAACACCTCAAATAGCTGGATGCGCACCGCAACTAATGTCGTGTCGCGAGGAAAAGATGATCGGGCTGCAACCTTCGTTAGCTACGTCCACAGTTCTACGACTATAGAATCCACGCGTTTTAACTTGTAGCCCTCTGGTCAGAGGATCACTGACTTGGTCGCATCAATTGAAGCAGCTCCTACAGGTGCGGAAAGAATCTTCTAAAATTACATGCCCGGAGACCCCCCGGAGACCCTCTCAGTGAGAGGGCTCTCGGGTCTCTGTCTAAATACACAAGGACCGCGAACGCGGGAGAACGCAACGAAAAACCGGAAAACCGAAAACCACCCCTCTAGTCACCGAGAGGCCCACGCCCCAGTTCAGTATAGTTGTCGATGCATTGATTAGGTTGGGAACCGGGACCCCATCACGGCATTATCTCGGTAGGTTTAAAGGGCAAATTAACTATTCGCTTGTCCCCCTCGGTTTCTGCCTCGGCTTCTTCAACTGGTTAGGTACCTATGAAAGCGGTTTTGTTTAGCACCATGTCTGTTATAACTCTGAAGTCGGCTTTAAAGGCCTCTGTACAGGCGTTTATGGTTACACTCTGGGTCCAAGGCATCTAATCTAGGTACCTATTTACGACGGGAAAGCCAGCCACTAGTTTTGTTAATGGGTTCACAGGTAGGGAAACTAATTAATGCGAAGCTAAGAGAACACACACTAAAGGAGCGAAATGAGTGGGTGGGTTACCGGTATCAGCAGCAGTATGGTACGTAGCAGGAACGCTGTTACTGCTGTGCAGTTTTGGGACTCAGCCGTCGACCTATTTCAGAGGACTTGAAACTTGAGTATGTCTAGATGAGCTTTACACTTATTGGAATACATAGCCAACCCCGATCACCATGAAAAGGCTCACGTTTGTCATATTCGTGTCTCCCTAGATACATACATAGCTCCAAGTTAAAGCCATTACAGCACTCTTAGGCCAGAAAATGGCGGTGCCACCGCAAAGGTGTAGAGGAACTTGGACCTTAACAGGCTGTTGCTCTTTGTCTTCTCGGCCTTGCTATTGGTATTGTGGTCTGAAACACCACTTGTCTGGGCTTGTGGGCGTTCTACGGGCCGTTTACCAGCAGAAGGATAAGTCGTAGTTTGAACCCGAATGTTAAGAGCCAGCATCTCTGGCCACTCTTTTGGCTTCATGCCAGAATTCTAGCGCTGAGCGGGAGCCATCATCCGTTGTTTATAAAAGGCGACCTTTACAACCCCTGGAAAAACAACAAAACGTCTCGGAGTTCCCTTTCCGGCCCGGGGTATGGTCACACTCGAGAAATCTTATCCACACAGCCTCCCAAAGGAGCATAACTCGGTCAACGCACTAGCACTCGTCCCTGCACCTCCTCCCAGGGTTCCTGTCGCTAGCTATTCGACTGGAAGGTGCATGGCCACCTCTGAATCTACTTCACCAACTACTCTTCCGCATACGCTGCTTAGTTACTAATACTTGCGTGTGTTGGGGATAGGGGACGAGAACCAAGCCCGCCACGCCGATCCCGTCGTACCGCCGTCCCCCACCCCTCCCACAACTGTGGTCTGCCCTTTTGGCCTTTGCATAGGGTTTCGAGTATCATCGACATGTTGCTCGATTGGGATTCGAGGAACCATAAGGAGTCCTTTCACTTAACCTCATACGGGGGGCGTAAAGTCCCAGGGCCCCGGACTCGACCCGGACAACCTTGAACACACAACGTTAGTCCTAGGTGAAATGCCCGGCAGAATAATGCACCCCCAGAAGCAGCAAAGACCTTTTCTAGGTATGGTGTAACCGTCCAGAGGAATCACCATGACTGGTCGTGGGAACGTATACGCCGCTGCACTCAATCCCTCAGGTTACTTACAACTTACACCTCACCTCCCTGGTTTGCGATCACCTCCCGGGTTGTAAACAGCCCCCAACCTGCTCCCCCGGCATCCAAACAGTGTCTTGGCTTACCTTACCATAACCACATGGATTCGTATAGACTCCCTAACCTACAACCAACGAGAGGGCATGCGACCTCGGAGTTTTGGACAGCCTCAAGCGGTAAGCCCCTGGTTTATCTGGCTTGTTGATTTAGCGAATGAAGCGTCGAGGTCATGCCTGAAAATGACTTTGTGAAGCTGCATCCTTGTACTGTCGGCCCAACATCATTGCTTCATAGGCTCTTCCAGCGGTGGTGGTTGATGGTCGTGATATCTGAGCGGGTCACTGCGGGTTTCATGACACGGGGCGTTTTCAGGTTACATTGCCGATTTGGGAAGTGCGTCATTTGAGCTCAGCCGGAGAAAATTCTGCGAATTCCCCTCTCCGGCCAATTGTGTTGACCAGTCGATATCGATACACACAGAGCAGACAAAACCATGCAGTCAGCCCATTTTATAGCCTCTTGAATTACAAGCCATCTTTATCGTCTTTCTATGCTACAAATCAGCGCGTGTCTCCGCTGGAGACCTGATCCACCAAAATTGCGGGGGGCCGGGGGGCCTGGCTGACTCCAGCGGGATCGTGGGTGGACCAGCGCTAAAACGGCAGCCGCTCGCGTGGTTCAACGGCTTTGTCTCCACCCGTTCCAGAACCCCATGTCTGCCACCCATTGTCCCCTCTCCCAGGACTGACGAATGCGAGTCGCAATCCGCAAGTGCCCGAGTCCTCGTCTAGTAGGCGTAGAGAAGGAGGAAAGCAACCATCAGGGCGAACAAGCCGGTGGCTTCGGCGAAGGCAAAACCCAGAACGGCATACGAAAAAAGCTGGCCTGCAATTGCCAAGATCTGTCAGCTTGCGTCCCCGCTACGCTGGACGGTAGGGCAGAGCTGCGGGGTGCGGCTGAGGGCCGTCAAGTCTTACCTCTCATGGCCGGGTTGCGAGCGACGCCATTGATGAGGGCGCCGAAAACCGTGCCAATTCCGACACCAGCGCCGGCGAGACCGATCGTGGCGGCTCCGGCACCGTGGACTTTGGCAGCCGTGACAATCGCGGCGGCGGTCGACTCGACGACGACGCCTCGGGATTGCATCGCACCACGAATTATGGTCGAGGCGAAAGTGTTCCGGCCACCATTGAGAAGCAGACCATTGCGCCCGGCCGCCTGGCGAGCGGTGGAGATTGTGGAGATGATGGAGCTTGGGACGCGAGCTAGAGTTGAGATGGCACTGGTAAATAACGCATTCTGGGGCAGTGGAGCTGACAGCTGGCCCACTCAGTGGAGAACGTACCCTGTCCTTGTGCCGTTGACATCAAACGAGCGGGCTGCTTCATGCCCATACGGGCGACGACGCCGGGCAACCGGCTTGAGGCGAGCATTTTTGGAGGTTTTGGGATGGAATTGATGGAGGGAAGGTGTGTGACAGTGATGGCCGGAAGTTGGATAAAATAGAAAGGGAGGAAGAAGAGGGCGGGAACGAGAGGGGGTGGCAGTCTCGTGCGGGGACTGGTTCCTGAGGCATCAAGGTGTCACAACATGAATGCAATGACAAGGAAAAGGCAACCAAGCTAACCAATCGCAGGAAGGGGCGTACCAGACTTGTTTTGTTCCGGCAGGAGCCGTGCGAGAAGGAAACCTGGGGAAGTCGCGGGCCCATGTCGAGCCGGTCGAGTGACGGACTCGGTTTGACTCGGCGCAGATTTATTCATCTCCAGATCACGCTGAAGAAAAACAAGACGGATTGCCTGATGGCAATTGCCTTTCTTTCCCTGCCCACAAGACTCGAGGTTTGAGGAGTCGTGAGACGCTCGAGAGCTGGAGTGCAGGGCCCGACGAGCCAAGCCAGCCACAGTGCCATTTCTCCATGGGGAAGATGGGGCAAGGAAGCGCACGAGACGTGATGGGCGGCCAATCTCGGCTGACTTGCGGGGCGAGCTCACCATTGGTCAATCGCTGCCTTTGATCCCTTGCAACTTCCCTGAGCTTCCCCTTGCACTTTCCTCCCTGGCCGAGCAGGTGCAACCTCGGTGCGGAATGAGGAGCACGGCATCTCTGGTTCCTGAGGGAGCAATGGGTCGCGCGGGTTTGAGCCCGGAGCTTCTTGGGAACCACGAGCATTGTCAATGCGATGGCACGTGAGCATCATAGACGACATCAACTACGGTGTAATTCACCAGGTCTGCCAATGGCCGCCGTACGCATCTTCCAGCTTTTCTCCTCCCGGGTGCCGTGACCCCTTGTGATGTGGCAGGGCAGTGTTCCGTTTCGAACAAGCGCCACAGACCCGAACCGCAGCTCTTCTCCATCCATGCCCACGAGCCGGGAGTGACCCTGGCCGTACCCTGCGAACGTTGATGGTCTGGCTGACCTGAACGCGTCGCCGCCTTCTCTTGCTCTTGATCAACGACGGAACTCTTGTGCGTCTACTCCGAGTTCTGATCATGATGGTGGAAATCCGCGTTGCATTATTGCAGGCAAGCCCGAACCTCCACCATGTGCCTGGCGGCAGAATTTCCGCCCGCGGCCAACGTGCTGCTAGTTTCCGGGGGTCACTTCCTTTATTCTGCGAATCTAATGTCAAAGCCATATCTGGTTTGGGAGTTTGAAGTCGGCAAGGGACCAACACGAAGTTGGGACGACCACGACCCTGCGGCTCAGATGAATGGACGCACGGGCGGGACTCGCCGCCGCATGCCGCATGAGGGGTTGCCGTGAGGGGCTCGGATGAGAACCAGGCAACATTGGAACCTTGTCAAAGGGTATGCCCGCGATCAGACGATGACGTATAGAGAAGCCATCATCAATTTGTTTGTCCGTCCGAGAAGCGCACACTCAAAGCTAAATGGACCCCGAATAGGCACAACATGAACATTTGTTTACCGCCATAACATCGGATCTTCCCACTAGGTTCCCTTGATTCTACAACGTAAAACCCTCACAAAGGCGGGAAGGTCTTATGAGTACGTCTTTTATTTTCGTACCAATAATTATCTGTCCGTCGACAACGAACGAAGCCATCTAAGGTGCTTCCCTACGAAGTTTCGTCTGGTGTAGTTTCCTTTTGCGTAGCACCTTGGATGTGGTCCCGGCCGTAGATATCGAAGTCACTGCATATGTCCGTTAGATGGTGATTATCGGGAAAGATGTACCGGGCCGTGTCTGAGGATACTCAGGGGTCACACTCACAAAACGAGAGAATCCACTCCCTCCCTACCAGTGGCCTCAGTATCCACCCAAACGGCAACACTGCGATGACCGACGGGGAAGTCTCCCCACCCATCACCGCTGATAACCACCTGGCCTGGACACCACTTGAGCAAGTCCGTCCACACCTCTCCTGCATGGTGCCGGCCCACAAACATGGACTTGGTCGCGTGTTCCCACGAATTAGTCATGACCACAGCCAGGCCGTCGCCATCGGACTTGGAATGATGTCCCAGACGCGTGAACCCCACACAGTTCGGGTCGTCAAAATAGTCATATTGCGGACCATACGCCCAGAGCTTGCGAGCCATCATCATTTTGGGCAGGGTGAGGCCTCCGGAAGTTGGGGGGATGAGGTTGGTGAGGCCTGGTTCGGGGTGCCGCCCGACGGAACCGAACAGGTCTGCGTAGAAGACGCAGGGAAGGCCACAGTTGGCTCGGAGGAGGATGAGGGCGTAGGCGAGAGGAATGAAGAAGGGTGCAACCGGGAGCTATGGGAAGGATTAGCGGTGTTGGTTGTCAGCCGAAAGCGTACGTACTTCTAGGGATTGCCCTGCTTGCTAAACCAAGGATGGGTTAGCGGTGATGTACCGTATCAATGCGTAGTTGATATCCCGAGACTTACCGTATCGTGATTCACAACAAACGTCTGAGTATCCCCAGCTGTTAGTACTTATCTTAGTTCAGGGTGGGATAGACTGCTCACCACGGCGTGGTCTGGCTTCCACAACGTCAAGGAATCATCCAGCACTTTGGTCAGGTCCCCTTTCTCCCCCAAGGCCGAAGTCGTGCTAAAGTTTGATACCAGTTGCACATCAAATAAAGATATCTGGTGGCCCATGAACTCGATGAATCTGGCGAGGAATTCCGAATCTTCACGCCAGTACTCACCCACAATGAACCAATCCGGGTCCACGTTTTCCTTGATGTGGGTCACGAAGTCCCTAAGGAATCGGAAGCTGTAGTGCTTGATGGCATCGACGCGCAATCCCCCGAATCCCATCTGCTGGGGGAGCCACTCAACCCATCGAAACAGATCCGCCTTGACCTCGGGGTGCTTGTGGTCGATGTCAGCAAAGAGACTTTTCCTCACAGTGTTAGCCTTGCGCTGGACTCGAAACGTGAGCGGAGAATGACACCCACAGAAAGTCGTAGTTCCCGAGCTCTTCATCGACATCATCAGCCCATTCTTTCCCCTCCAACTTCCAAACCCCATGGTCGCCCGTCTTAGAATCGTAATCCACCCCGGTAAAATGCTCGCTGTTCCACTTCATCCCGCTATACCTCCCCTCCCTGCCCGGAAACTCAAACCCCGTCCACGCCTCAATCTCCCCCTCGCCCCCCTCCAGCTCCCTCCCCCGATCCCTCTCCTCCACCTTTCTCGCCCGCACCACCTCCGAATAATCCGCCCCCGTCCTATGATTCAACACCGCATCAAACAACACCCTCACCCCGACCTCCCCGGCCACACCCACCAACCTCTCCAACTCCCCCCTCGTCCCCCACTTCGTCCCCACCCCACCCTTCTGCTCAAACTCCCCCAGATCCCACAGGTCATACACATCATACCCATTCCCCTCCCTGGCATCCGCCGCCTTGCACGCCGGCGGGATCCACAGCTTCGTCACGCCCAGCCGCGCCAGCGCGGGCAGCACCCGCGCCAGGCGCGCCCAGTGGGCGCCGTCGGAGGGGACGTACCACTCGAACCCCTGAAGCATGGTCTCGTTGGTGGGCGGGTCCGGCTCGCCGTGGGTGGTGGCCGCGGCGGCGGTGCGGCGCGTGCGGACCGGGCGGATGTTGGTCGAGAAGCCGGAGCCGGGTTCTTGGCGGAGGGCGGCGGCGCGGAGGGTGGTGAGGTTGGGGGGGAGGGGGGGGTGGGGGAGGTTGAGGAAGGTGCTCATTTTCTGTTTTACTTTCTTTTTTTCTTCTTCCTTTTCTTTTCTTTTGGTAGTGAGGTTGGTTGGGAGTGGTGATGGGTTGGGGTTACCACCGAGGTAGTGAGTTAGAGGCTTCTTTTGTTGCGTGCCCGATCTTTGGTTAAGGTTCTGTGCTATGGAACCTAAGGGCGGAGCTGTGTGGGGAAGTGTTTGAGTGAGTAAACTTGACTCGGTGGGTTTTGCGGTTTGCCCCTGGCGTGAATCTGGCTGCCCAACTCTTTTTTCGAGTTCAAGTTGCTGACTCAGCATATCTTGGGATGCGTTGAAGCAGATGTACTGAGAACTACTAAACAGCAAGGGAGTGCGGACGAAATACTGAACCAACTTGAAGCTGGGCATATTTCACTGATGTATCATGTGGGCTTTCTGTGTGAGTGAGGGCTTCAGTGGCCTTGGACTTACGAAACTATAAGAAGCTAAATATTGCGGAATATCCCATGGTCTGTGGAAATCCCAGGTAGGAAAATGAAAGCTAACTAACACCCATTAACACTGTTAATTTGACAGGTTAATCGTTCAGGCCTCAGCCCTGCACATTGCCTAGAACCAGGAAGCAACTCTGGACTTACACGACAAGTCGTTTTTGTCCCACTACTCAAGATTGACCTACTGCCCATTCTTCCATCAATGGCCTGACATTTTCTGGATCACCGCGGGATACCGATCCCCCTGTGGCTTGACCTCCTCGACGATGCGGCGCATCTCGGCCATCTCGTCTTCGGTCAACTCCACTTCACGCGCTGCCCAGTTCTCCTCGAGCCGGTGGGTCTTGGTCGTTCCCGGGATGGCGATGAAGCCCTGGGCGGCGACCCAGGCGAGGGCGACCTGCGTGGTGGTGCAGCCCTTTTTGGCCGCCAGCTTCCGTATCTCGCGGGTGATGGCGAGGTTGTTGTAGAAGTTCTCGCCTTGGAACTTGGGGACTGGGTGGACGACACACATGTGAGCACGCTTCCCCCTTATCCGGTATTTAAACGAAGGGGGGTTACAAGAGCGAAAGGGGACTCACTGTGGCGGCGAGCGTCGTTGGGACCAAAGTCGTCGGGGCTGTTGTACACAAAGTCCTCCACCAGCCAGCCGTGTCCCACCGGACCGTAAGCCACGTAGGCCACGCCGAGTTCTCTAGCAGTGTCGATCAGGCCGTTGGACTCATGCAGCGTCTCGAAAGCCGAGTACTCGGCCTGGACGGCGTCAATTTTGGCGACTGCGAACGCGTTAGTAGCTTACGCTATGCCAGGATTGCAGCCGTAAAGGTGGTTCTTACTGGAGTGTGCTTTGCGCAAAGTCGCGGCCGAGCATTCCGAGAGCCCAATGTATTTCGTCTTGCCCCCCCTTCGCAGCTCGTCGAGAACAGGAATCGACTCTTCGAGAGGCGTGTCTAGATAGAGAGCGTTAGTGGATGCAAAAGTTACGCAAAGCACTCGGCGGTCATCGTACCCGGATCAATGCGATGGAGGTAGTACAGATCAGGGGTGAACCCAAGCCTCTCAATAGTGTCTTCGATGTATTCTCTGATGTGCGAAGGCTTGTTGGTAACGGTCATCTGTAGAGTGCGCATGTCGATACCGCCCTTGGGCACAACGATACCGCACTTGGATGCAACTGGGAATTAATCCGGCGTCAGCATGCAACGCAAATTACAAACACAAGATAACAAAAAGGCCGAGCGAGATTGAAACGTACTGAAGATCTTGTCGCGAACATTGTGCTTGCGGATGAAGTCCCCAAGGAGTTTCTCGTTGACTCCGGCCCCGTATCCAGCCTTGTCAGGTCAGTACAGTAATGGGAATATAAAACAGGAGTATAAGCCTACTGCGGTGTCCCAGAATGTGCACCCAAGCTCAATGGCTTTGAGCAGAACTGGCTCAGCTTGTTCCAAGGTGAAGTTTGCTCCGAGGCCATGGTTAAATCCCATTGCCCCAAAACCAGGGACCGGGACCTCGATGTCGCCGAATGGGAGCGTTTTGACCATCGTGACGTAGCTGCTCACGGCTGCTTATTAAAAATATCTTGAGGGGAAAGTTGAGAGTATTGGTGGTCACGAACAACGCTTAGAAAGGGGCTGAACTCCATTTGTTTAAGTGTTGTGGCCCGCCGGAGGTAGAGACATTATCTCCGATCCCTGAAGGAATACAGCACACATCCGGCGATAGGCCCCGGGGTTTGACCACAAGCACACCTTTCGGGCTGTTATGACTGCCCGCTCCCCCGGGGGCGTGTGCGTGCGTCCTTCCTAGCGTCCTTACTCTCATCGACACCAACCAGGCAGGCATGTACCTGTCCACTCAACCAGTTCACTCTCCCGACCCCCTCCCATGCCCAGCACCGACAACCACGTCCACCCTACCACCCTCTGTCGTCGGGCCAGGCCTAGAACCCGAGTCCGAACTAGAACCATCCCCGTCCCCGTCCCCAGCTCGAGAGCCACGCGGCCCCCCCCTTCCCAGCTGTCCCCGCCCCCATCCCATCCCCCTCCCCCTCCCATACTCCCTCGGCGGCTGCGCCAAATACGCCAGATACTTCTCCCTCCCCCGCCGAATCTCTGCCCACACCGCTTCCTCGACCTCCCCCGCCGTCCGCCCCCTCCCATCCCTCACCGTATCATCAGCCCCGGCCCCCAACAGCAACTCTTTGATCCTCACCGCCCGCCGCTTCCAGACAACGTACTCCTGCTCCTCGTACGTGCCGAGCTGCCGCCGGGCCCAGCTGGGGAGGTGCGCCGCGAGGTGTAGTGCTGTTGTTTTACCCGCTTCTTGGGTCTCAGGCTCCTTGTTGTCGGGGAAGGTGAGGGCGAGGTTGGGGTCGGCGCCGAGGGTTAGGAGGAGGGCGACGACTGGGGCGGAGGCGCAGCGTGCTGCTAGGTGGAGGGCGGTTGTGCCGGTGTTATCGCGATGGTTGAGGATGGTGGTAGTGTTAGCGGAGTCTTGTATCCGGGTGGCGAGCGTGGTGGTGGTTAGGTGGGCGTCGTCGGTGGTGGCGTCGGCGAGGTCGCGGAAGTGCGGAGTGTAGAGGGGGCTCGCGAGGTGGTGGAATGTGGTGCGGCCGTCGGTGTCGATCAGGCAGGGGTCGGCGCCGTGCTGCAGGAAAAGGGTCATAGCAATAGTCTGCTTCATGTACGCCGCGTAATGGAGGGGGGTACGGCCAAAGGTATCTGGGCAGTTGACACTCGCGTTGTGGGCAATGAGATGGGAGATGGTCAATTCCAATGCCGCTAGCTTTTTCGACAAGGCCGAGCTCTTCTGAGGGTCAGTTTGGAGGCTGTTCCAGGTCCAGGAGATGATCTCGGGGGAATGCCCAAGAAACCGTCCGATTACGGCCCAGTGTAAGGGCTGCCGGCCGTATTCGTCTGTAGCGTCCGGGTCCGCACCAAGGTCGAGGAGGGTTTGTACAGCGGCCGCGTTCGAGTTGTATGCGGCTGTGTGAAGAGGGGTTACTTTGTCACCCCCGACACTATAGGGAAATCGATTCTCGTCTATAAGGTATGGCGGCTGTTGGTGGATGTCGGCTCCCTTGCTCACTAGACACCGAATGATATCGACGCTGCCCCAGCTCGTGACGTAGCCAAGCGCCGAGTTGGGGCAGAAACCGCGGTCTGATACCATCGCGTCGGCTCCGGCGTCGATGAGAAGGCGTATCGTCTCCTCGCGGTCAAGGTTGGGCAGGGGCGGTATATAATAGCCGTCCCAGAACAACGAGCCGTGGCCCCTAGCGGCACAGAGGAGCGGTGTACACCCGTCCTGATCTCTCATTCCTATATCCGATAGCGCACCTCGGCTCAGGAGGAGACGGACGGCTCGGGACCGTCCCTTCGCAGCCGCCCAGTGGAGCGGAGTTCCATTGATAGGGCCGTCATGATCACCATCGTCATACTGGGCGCTAGTATAATTCATAGGCACTCCTCGATCTAAGAGAAACCCGACGGCCCCTACAGCGCCACGGCCTGCAGCTACCTGGAGCAGAGTGTGTTGGTCCTCGTCTAGCCGTCTAGTATATATATCAGCGCCGATACGGGCTAGGAGATCGAGCGCTTCCGGGCTGTCGTAGTCCCGGCAGACCTCGATAAGGAGATGCGAAGCCCAGTAATGATGTCTTGGGGATATCTCCAGTACCGCGCCCCGCTCGACGAGCAGCGCGATGATTGCGAGACCAGTAGGCGAAAGTGCACGGGAATCCAAGTCCGGCTCCCGTAACCGCGGGACAAGAGATGCAAAGACGACAGCCGTTACGGGGTGGCACAGTGGATCGGCTGTGAGCCCCCAGGCCGAGTCGCGCGGGTGTATTAGCTTATAAGCTTGGTGCCGTAGTGGAGTTCTGACAAGCTCGGGATATCTATCGAGAAGCTCACTGCACCGCGCGATATCCTCGTAGAAGAGCGCATCGACCAGATCAGCTCGCGGCGTGCCCCTCTCGGCAGGCTCGCTGAGCAGTATAATGTTCCCCAGGCCCTGAAAACCAGAACCAGGTGCCGGGCTTGGCTCCATAGCTCTAGCAGACCTGGAGAGAGCGAAAAGTGCGTTTCAAGATATGGGAACGAGATTCACGGCCCTGTGGTCATTTACGCCCCATAACTCTAGCCCCTGAGCGAGAGCGCTAGCCGCCTGACCACCCAGCAGGTGGGGACTTTATGCGGGGGACTTGTGTAGAGGATGGGGATCTTGAGTCGCACATGTGCTGCCGAGTGCAGGCGGAGCTAATCCACATGGATGAGGCGATAAAGGGGGGAGATGATTTATTTCGTGCGAAGGCGCTAAGCCTTTTGGGCCTCTATGGTTGGGAGCTGGGCTTGACGCACTCAGCAACCCACAGTCCTACGCACAGAGGTCGTTAAGCGGCTTTTCGGGCGAAACTACGAGCCTAGGGTACTATCGTTGATGTGGGTGTGGTCTAGGGACTTGTGTTTGCTTGCGGGTTGTTTGGTTTGAAGAGTCGGACTTTAGGGACAGCGGCATACCCTAAGGATGCCCACGCCTATATTCTTATTAACGCTTAAAAGTGGACGAAAACCGCGCGTTCTTGGGAGCAGTATTATTAAGTGCTACCCAGGGTTCATCATAAGACTCATCCTGGCCTATTCATCGAAGAGACCGTGACGCGCCGGGTAATATTTCGCCCAACATCCAGCAGCTGATGAATGAAAGACTTGCCAACATTGCCGGCTACTCGGCGGAGAATATCATCCTGGGAGGGAAGGTTTGTCATCTTTGACCTATCGACCAATCCACGGAAACCCCCTCCATCAAGTGTATGGCCACCATGCCTTGATCATTCATGATTTGGTTGCTGACACATGCACCAAAGCTGCTGGTTCGCTGTTTGAGGCGAGCCTTTTCAACCCCGTGCCCTGACCGTGGGGGCCGATGGAAAGGAGCAGGGGCGGATTTCTGTTCGTTCTCAGCTATATCTTGTCTGGCGTGGCTCATGGACTTCCCTATCTAGCCATTTCCAAGACCGTGACACACAATCCTCGCCTTCCACGGCTAGGTGAGACGCCGGGGGCTGCTGATAGTGCGCCACCATTTCAGCCGCCACTCCTCTTCATGTCGACCTGGAGGATGAGCAATGACATCCATTGGCCGTGACATAATCCCGACCTCATGGGTCGTTTGCACTGAGCCAATCGGATACCAGTAGGTCGTTTGGAAAACTCGCTCAAACTTGCTCAACGGCTTTCCAGTACCTTGGGAACGCATACTGAGGCGATGCTTGATACTGGTTTGTGAGTCCAGCGGGTGGAAAACACCATGTATAAACGCTCTTCTGCAACGATTACTTGGACATTCCGCCATCAGCTTTTGTTGCCCTTTTGACCCCTGACCTCTTGTTGACAATGAAGGGCTCCAGGGGGCTCGGTCTCGTCCTGGCGGCCCAGATCAGCTGCACTGCTGCAAAAGACTTTTATGGTCGTATAGCCCATGGGACAATCGGCCTTGGCCAAGCACAATATGCGCCCGTCACTTGCGCGTATGCATGCAGAAGCTCGATGGGGTCGTGGATGCTCGATTGTGGACACGGCGACCACGGCGACGACAGTCACCACGGAGACCACGGCGGCGGCGATAGCGACATGTCGTCCGGACATATGATGTCCATGATGCCGACACCAGAATGCTACGCAACCAACGACCCGTTTCTGATGTCTCTGGCCTGGTGTATCAAGACTCACTGCCCAGGCGACCTCACAATCTCGCAGCTCGAAGAGTTCTGGGAGATGAACGTCGCCGGGCGAAATGAGGAGCAACCATTGCCCAAATACTCATATCAGGATGCACTGGACCGTATCACCGCCACTCCAACAACCGTTTACAATTCTAGCCTGGTGCTGAATGGCACCGAGTTGGTCAGCGAGTATTTTTATGCTATGGTTTACGGGTCTCTTGAAGGCATCGAGATAAACATCGCCCTGGACAACCAATATGCGTAAGATCACCTGTTTGCTCTACATCCGCATGAGAGGGTCATTCATGCTAATCTAGCTTCCAAGTCTTGTCGCGTTACTCACCTGCGGCATATCCCCGGTTCTCCTTTCGCTTTTGCGTTTTCTACCACTCCCCCAATCTTGGGTCAGGTCAGTATCCGCAGTTCCGACTTGTTCCCTCCCGGCACTTGGCTTGAAGAAGGCAAAGGCTGATTCCTGGACCATCGCATAGCAAGTTTTACGCACATGTCATTGACCCTCCCGTGTTTGGTACTCGCCATGCGGTCCCGGCCCTGTTTGGCCTGGGACTCGTCCCCACACGGGGCCAGGCACTGTTTATCTTCTATATATGGGCTATCAACATTATCCTGTCGGCCGTCGCCTACAGGATCACCTGGCCAAACCTCTGGTTCACCAGCATCTCAAACGAGATGGTGGAATGGGTTGCCAACCGGACCGGGATGTTGAGCTTTGCCAACCTGGTTTTGGCCCTTCTCTATTCAAGGTGAGTGAGGATTGGAATCTAAAGTCTTCCTCTTTCACGTTAATAGTCTTCTAATATCCGGAGCAGCCGCAACAATCTTCTTCTGCATGTGACAAGCTGGTCCCGCAACACCTTCATCCTGATCCACAGGTGGACTGCGGTCATCTGCATCCTCCAGGCCTGCCTCCATTCGGCGCTCTACTTGCAGATGTACGATACCATGGGCCCGGGCATGCTCACAACGGAATCCGCCTATCCCTATTGGTACTGGGGTATCATTGCCACCTTCTCGTTAGTATTGATCCTCCCGGGCTCCGTCCTCCCCGTCCGGCAGCGGGCATACGAGTTCTTCCTCGACTGGCACCTCCTCTGGGCACTCCTATCCATCATAGGCTGCTTCCTGCACATCTACTTCCGGTACCACTGGCAATGGGGCTACGAAATCTGGGTGGCCGTTGCATTTGCCGTCTGGGCATTCGACTGGCTGTTAGCCCGCCCCCTCAGGGTAGCCCGCGCCGGGTTCACGAACCGAGCCTACACCAGCATCATCGACGATGACTACCTCAAAGTCGACATCCCCGGCGTCGAAGCCATGGGCCAAGCTTACCTCTATTTCCCAACCCTATCCTGGCGCATCTGGGAAAACCACCCCTTCTCCGCCATTCCCATGTCCCACCCAACACAGCACCCCACCCCAGGCACCCCCGGCTCCCAACCATCCGACGACCTCGAAACCGGCTCCGTCTCCAAACCCACCCCCAGGTCCACAACCTCCCAAACCCCCTCCACCCACCCGCACACCCCAGCAGCAGCAGGAACATCCTTCTTCATCCGCCGCCGCAACGGCCTCACATCCCGTCTCGCCCAGCACACCGAACCCACAGGAGTACCCGTACTCGTCGAGGCATCCTACGGCAGCGAAGCGATGTCAGTAGTGCGGTCGCCGGACCCGCGGCCCTCGCTCGCTAGCCCGAACGTCATATTCATCGCGGGCGGCGTGGGCATCACCGCGCTGCTGCCGCTGCTTGGGCGGTCGCTGCTGGCGCCGCGGGGCAGGTCGAGGCTGTATTGGGGGGTGCGGTCGGGGGCGTTGGTGAGGGCGGTTGAGAAGGTGGTTGGGTGTGGCGTGGGGGAGAGGGTGTGGGGGGAGGTGGAGGTGGCGGTGGCGGTGGGGGAGCGGTTTGATGTGACGAGGGTGCTGGAGGATGAGCTGGTTGGGGAGAAGGGGGTTGAGGGGGGGACGACGGTGGTGGTTTGCGGGCCGCCGGCTATGTCGGATGAGGTTAGGCTTGCGGTGGCGGGTTTGGCGAGGCGTGGTGTGCTGGTTAGGTTCATGGAGGAGCGCTTCTCGGAGTGAATGGGTTCTGTAGGCTACGATCATAATCGAGTTTGGTCTATCAGTGGTAGCAGGGTGCCTTGGAGGTGGAGTTGTGTCGTCGCATTGCTTATTGACAACGATCAAGATCAGCCTAGTCTAAATGGTTGCTACCTACATATCAACACATCTTGCCATTGCTCTCTGGCTCGGGGAGTTTCACGGCTTGACCCTCACGGTCACCACAACCCCCCATCCGGTCATACTCTCCCACACGCCAAGGGCATTCTCCCACCTAAATGTGACCTCCTCCGCCCTAACCGCCATCTTGACGTCGTCATCGTCGTCGGCCAACCCGGGACTCGACAGGGCAGGCGACGCCGGGGATGGCAGCGCGGGTGAAGTCTGCTCGACGGCCTTCTTACGACCCCCACCCAGTCCAAACCGTCCCCACCCCGACTTCTCCTTCTCGACCACCTTCCTCTCCACCACAGTAGCCTGGACATGCCTCCTCTGGAGGTTCGGCTCCGGCCTGAGGTACGTCGCCAGCCGGCGCGCCATCTCCTCGTCGGTAAACCACCACTGATTCTCCTTCTCGGTGTCATCAAACGTATCAAAACGCCCCCACTCCCCAAACGTCGTATCAATCACCTCCCGCAAGCTACTCCCCTCCGCCCTCCCCCCTTTACTATCCCCCCCACCAATCACACCCCTCCCATCCCCCTTCCCACCGCCCTTCTCATCCCCCTTCCCATCTCCAACCCCCCCAAGCCCACCAAGGCCACCAACATCCACCCTCCCCACCTTCACCACCTCCCCCTCCCGGCCCCTCTCCGCGGCCCCACTCATACTCGCCTGCGGCGGCACGGCCGGCCCCGGCACCAGCGTCAGCTCGGCCAGCGGCGGCACGCGCGCGCGCGCCGTCAGGTCGGCCAGGAAGGCTTCCACCAGCGGCACCACGCGCGACGTCAGCTCGAACTCGTCGGCGGCCTGGGCGGTGCGCTGCGCGAGCTGGGTGGCGCGCAGCCGCGAGGGGAGCGTGCGTAGGTGGTTGGTTAGCGGGGAGGGGAGGGGGAGGCCGGTTTGTTGGGGTGTGAGGGTTGTTGTTGTTGTTGTGCTGGGGGAGAGGGGCGAGGTGGCGAAGGGGCGTGAGGGGGATGCGGTGCTGGTGCTGGTGCTGGTGGTGGCTTCGGAGTAGGAGGGGGGTGGGAGGTCGTCGGATGGGCCTCCCATCTTGATGGTGGATTGGGTTCGGGTTTGGTGGTGATGGGTTGTGTTGTTGATCGAGTTGTGGTGGATGGTCTCCGTTCGCGTTGCAGTGGATGCCCGTTCAAGGGACACCCGGATGGATTGAGACCCTGCTTGGGTGCTCAAGAAGCGCACGTCAGTCCACTGGCCCGTCGAAGTGAGGACCTTGCTGATGATGCTAGTCGGCGAATTTTCCCCGTCAGTGGTGGAGAATGTCGAGCTGTATCCAGAACGAAAATTAGTTCGTGGTCGGTCTCGTTGACGTCAATGAACCAGATGTTGGGGTCCTCACCTGCTGCTGTCTGTGCCGCCTGTTGTAAGAGAGTTTTCGTTCTCGCGTTTGGGCAGAGCGCGAGTATATCTTGGTAAAGTGGGAGGATCTCCGAGGGGCCCGCGGCGATGTTGTTCCTGAAAGACAACAAAAAGAGGTTTGATCTCCGTTGTTCTGGTGTCAAGACGCCTTGTGATGTTGAAAGTGATCGTTTGAACCCCGCAAAATGCCCACAAGCCACGAAGTGCCTTGCATATGGGTCAGGATCAGGGGGGCTGTGCAGGGGCCCCGCGGAGTTCCACAGTACCAAGGAGAGCATTGCGGACCCAGTCACCCACCCAGTGTGCCAGTCAGTGGGGGGCCCAGTGCGAGCCGCTGGAATGGCGCGTGGGTGCCACGGCGCCTCGTGCTTCGCTTCTTTGTGCCAGATCTGGAGACCGGCGGCCAGGGCACTGCAAGGCACTCACAGCACTCCGAAACCCGGGACGGCCGACATGGCGGCTGCAGCTGTTGCACTTGAGCCTCAAGCTGTTGCAGGTGATGATGTCCAGATTTGAGACCGAACAACCGAGACGGAGCTCCTGGTATGTACTTCAAGTTGGGAGGAATGCATGCAACAACATGATGTGGCCGACGTGCCGACCAAAGAAAGATAACCCCCATCCTCCAACTCCACGAGCTGTTCCAATATCCTTGTGATCTTGGCAGCGGTCCACTTGTTCCCTTTCAAGGTGAGCTTGCTTGGTGACGGTGAATGGAATTGGGTTTTGAGCGACAAAACATTCAGGGTCGAGCCCAAGGCGCATTTGGCTGCCACCCTGCGTCTCTCCAGGCTGACAACGTGGTCGTGTTCGGTAACGGAATCGAGAGTTAGTGAGGTGAATTAGCGCTCGGTCAGGGGCTGGGCCGACACCCGGAACATCTCGGGCGCCGTCTGACCTTCTCCCTGGCTTCGGAACCTGTATCCGGAAACGACAGGGCATTCACTGGTCCCCGGATGGCATCCGTATTATTCCCACAAGATAATGGGGTTGATCCGTGATTGGAACTCAGGTTGGGCGTCAAATTGCAGAGATGGCCGAACAAACACACTGACCGGCACTGTGCTCAGCCACAATGGCCGTCTTCCTCAGGACCACAAGGCAGATCCATTCGCCCAGCTGTTCCGTCATAGCCGTCCCCCGGTCAGATGATGGGCCTGTTCGGGGCTCAACCGCTTTGTTTGTGGGGACAGCCAAGCACAGCCAAGCATCCCAAGCAATGAAGGACAAGGGTGACAAGGCTGTGCCTGCGGCTCCGGGTGGTACAAGCAGCCCAAGCAGCCATCTGGCATGGACTGTGATCGGAGACAAAACATTTAAAGACGTACGATGCTCCCGCTGTCTTGTGTGTCCAGTCACAACATCGTAATACCCACTCACCTTACTGTTACATACTCCAGTCAGTCAGGGCTCCTGAGATCCTGACCACCATCCAGCTCTTCGTTGCATCATCACTTACCACTTGCATCGTCATCGATCGTTGTTGACCTTCCTCCGGTCGACTTTGCTTCCCTCCATTTGACTTCAGCGTTCGACCTCGGCGTTTGACCGGATCCATCCCCTTTCTTCGCGACAACAGTCAAAATGGCCTCCTACAGGATTGCCGCCCCCGATGAGTACCTTGCCATCACTGGCATGGGAGTCAAGACTGGTAAGTTTGCGTTTGCACCTCCCCGTTTGCTTCACCGAAAACCCCGCTAACACAACTCCAGTCAAAATCACCAAGGCAGCATGGGTTTGGCCCTTCCAGCGCTGCATGCGCTTCAACGTGCAGCCCCACGACTATGCCATGAACCTCCAGGCCATGACCAAGGAGAAGCTGCAATTCCTGCTTCCCGTCGTCTTCACCATCGGCCCAGACGTCAACCAGCGCGGTGCCAACACGAGGAACGGGGCCAACGACGACGGCCACTACGCGGGTGCCGGTAGCGAGGGCGCCCCTGCCGCCGACGACCATGTCCACGACCACCGCCGCGAGGATCAGGGCGACTCTCTGATGAAGTACGCCATGCTGCTGGCCGATTCCGGCGCGACCAAGGGCACGAAGGACCACCAGTTCCTCGAGAATATCGCCAAGGGCATCATCGAGGGTGAGACCCGTGTCCTGGTGTCCAGCATGACCATGGAGGAAATCTTCACCGAGCGCGAGGTGTTCAAGCGCCGCATTTTCCGCAACATCCAGAGCGAGCTGGACCAGTTCGGCCTCAAGATCTACAATGCCAACGTTCGTAACCCTCCTCTCGACCCCTTTTGGCCCGACATTCACTGACATATCGCAACAGGTCAAAGAGCTCAAGGACGCGCCCAACTCGATTTACTTCGAGTCTCTCAGCCGCAAGGCCCACGAGGGAGCGACTAACCAAGCCAAGATCCACGTCGCCGAGGCCCAGCTGCGCGGTAACGTTGGTGAGGCCCAGAGCAAGGGCGAGCAGGAGCGCGAGATCGCCAAGATCCACGCCGAGACGGCCGTCCGCAAGACAGAGCGCGACATCGAGCGCGCCTCGGCCGAGGCCGTGCTCGCCACCCGCCAGGCCGAGCTCAACCGTGACGTCGAGCTCTCGCGCATCTCGGCCACGCGCAAGACGGAGGCCCAGGACGAAGACCTCAAGCGCGAGGTGCAGATCAAGCGCGCCGCGGCCGAGATGGAGCGCCTGCGTGCCAGCGACGTCGTCAAGGCCACCATCGCCCGCGAGTCCAAGCAGCAGGCCGCCGACGCGCACGCGTACGAGATCGAGGCCGAGGCCAAGGCCAACTATGAGAAGGAGAAGCAGAACGCCGAGGCGGTGGTGTACAAGACCAAGATCGACACCGACGCCGCCGCGTACAAGACCAAGCAGGACGCCGAGGCCTGGAGCTACGCCGCCATCAAGAACGCCGACGCCAACCTGCAGAAGAAGCTCAAGGAGGCCGAGGGTATGTCGGCCATGGCGGACGCCTACGCCAAGATGAGCAACGCGCTCGGCGGGCCCGCCGGTCTGCTGCAGTACATGATGATCGAGAAGGGCACGTACGTGGAGCTGGCCAAGGCCAACGCCGACGCCATCCGGGGCCTGTCGCCCAAGATCAGCGTGTGGAACACGGGCGCCGAGGCCGGCTCCGGCGAGGGCGGCCCGGCCTCCGGTGGCCAGAGCAGCACCGCCGCCATGCGCAACATCTACCAGATGCTGCCCCCGCTCATGACCACCATCAACGACCAGACCGGCATCACCCTGCCCGAGTGGCAGTTCGGCCGCCTCGCCGGCCAGATGTCCGAGGCTGAGCGCAGCCAGGGCGTCAACCACACCGGCAAGAAGTGAGTGAGTGGGTGAGTGAGTGAGTGAGGCTTGCGGGGGATGTGGTCGAGATTACGGACAGTGATCGACACCACGGACAGCGGATGCGATTCCGCCACACCATCATTTGAGATTGATACCCAGTTGTGCTTTTTGTTTGTTTTGTGGTGGAGGATAGACTGGGCATGCCCATAATCGGAGGGGTGGACGGCGTTGGTGGACTGGCACGCATACCCCTGAGCTTTGTCTGTCTTGGTCTTTTAGTTACTTGGGGTCTTACACCCCATCGACTACTTTCCTATGTTTACCCTACCTCATTAGAGAATGATATCCTCGATTGCACTAAACTACTGAGTCCATTATCGCTCGGCCTTGTCGCCGTCAAAGTGTTTGTCGACTTGTGCTCGTACGTCCGACAGCCACGTTTGCAAACATTCTGCCATGTGCCATTACCCCTTTTATATTGCTAACTACCACCGCTAGCTATCCACTCTCCATCCTCCCCGCTAACTCCCAGCGCTAGCTAATCCCCCCGGTATAGCATACTCATCTCCCAGCCGCCATCTACTTCTTGGTGAACATCGCAGGCATCGAAGGCAAGATCGAAGGCACCTCGTAAGAAGTACGGATTCTCAGCACATAGCACTGCTCGACGTTGGAAATAAGGGGCTTGCGCAGTTCAATCTTCCAGGTAGAGCGGCCCGTGTTCAACTTGCCCTGGTCAGCCTCGTGGCTAGAGAGAGTGAGAGATATGGTCAGCACAACAAGTAACAGAAACAGCGGTCCCCGCCCGATCAATCCCCCGGGTCACAAGAACAGTGTTCGACGCACCTAAGGACCGCGGCCACAACCCTGCCAGACATGCCCAGCTCTTCGGCGGCGTCTTGAATGTACTCGAGGAGGTCTCCCATCTGGTAATCGGCGAAGCCCACCGGGTTGACGAGGAACTCGACCTGGACATCCGAGTACAGACGCAGGTATGCCCTCTTGGCGGGCACGGAGCCGGAGCCGGAGCCGGAGCCAGCCGTGGTCTTCGCGTCTCCTGAAGTCTTCGGGGCCACCGCAGCCCTCAAGGCCGCCGCAGCGACCGAGTTGCCGCCAGCAGCATTCGTGCTTCCCGTGGCCTTCGCGTTGCCGCCAGCAGCATTCGTGCTTCCCGTGGCCTTCGCGTTGCCGCCAGCAGCATTCGTGCTTCCCGTGGCCTTCGACTGGCCGCCAGCAGCATTCGTGCTTCCCGTGGCCTTCGAGTTGCCGCCAGCACCGTTCCCACGTCCCGACTTCGTGGTGCTAGTAGAAGCACTGGGAGGGGCACCGGTAGGGCCACGGGCAGGAGAACCGGTAGGGGCAGCAGTAGGTGTGTTCTTGGGAGGAGGCATGGTGGCGGTTTTGCTGATTGTAATGCGGTTGGTGGAGGGGTGGGATTGGAAATGGAGTTGTTGATGTATTAGTTGTTTGTATGTGCTTTGTTGAGTGAACGGTGCAGCAGAACTAAAGAGAAAGTGGCCTTCTTATAACCTCTCTACTTGTTCCCTACCTAGGCACCTACCCAGATGTTGATTTCGAGTTGTTGGGATAATGAATCCAACACTCCGGCACCTACCCGGTGCCTAGCATGGTCCCGCCTGCGTGGTTCAAGCGGGTTGGAGCCTTCTGACACTTAGCCGTCACACCGTCCCAGAATCCAGTCCATGCCATGCATGGGTACGTCGTCCCGTTGAGTTTCGTTTCTTAACAAACCTAGGCTCTACTAGGCAAGGCGTCAATCCCGGCAGGCGACCAAACAACTTTAGTGTTTCCGATGGCTCGGACCGTGGTGGAGTCCAACCTTGAACCGTGGGATGTTGCTGCGCCGTTTTCATATATCGCCGATAGCTCATCTGATAACCGACCGTGATATTCGCCGACCATGTCAGCCTGCTGTGTTTGGTTGGTTGTTAGTCGAATTCAACGCAAGGCTCCCGCCAAACGTCTCACCATACCCTTGGGTATTAGTGAAAATTAGGTAGGTACCTAGGTACCTAGGTAGGCAGGCTGTTTTCTTTTGAGTAGTAATTTGCAACGCTGCCCTTGGTTATGCCGGCCACGCCAACGCCGTCGAACACGCAGAACATCAAGCATCTTATCCAGGCAGACATCAATTGTAGCCAAGGCGGCCACTGGGAGGTGGCCATATCGGCATCGGCAGGGTATTGGGCACCGAGAAAGGCGGCACAGTCACATGAGGCCTTGATCTAAGTTATAAGATCTCCGTAAAGCGCCCTCACTGCGAAGCGTGCGTACAGTCAAGAGTCTTCTATCTCCCTAATTCGAGGAGGTCAGCGTAGCCCTATCGCTACTTCTCACTTCGCCCCCATCTCCTCCTGGAATTCCCTTGGCTCTTGTCCCCAATTGCCGGTTAGCAGTGAAAAGCACAAAGAATGGAAGATATTGCTTTTCACCCTTGCGATAATAGTGTAGTTCGAATGACGCCACGGGGCGAGGACGGGGCGGCGTGGTGCGCATGATCGCCTGGGTCAGCGGCGGATTGTGTTTGACTCTCGCTGGTCTGAGACGGCAGGTTCAAGCATTGACTGGACTGGACTGGACTGATAGCTTTCCCGGCCTTACCTTCCGTATTTCGAGCCGCAGCAGATAGAAATGGTGGGTATGGTGAAAAAGAACAAAAAGTGCCAGTGGGAGAAGCGAAGAAAGTAAGGTCTCGGGCCTGGTTTCCCGGGGTTGATGCTGCCCACGCCGCTTGGGTAGCTCTTGACATCTCTGGTCGACCACAGCGCCAGAGTGTAGGGCGTAGGGCTTGGGGCTAGCGTTCAGATTGTGAAAGGAGGGTTGCGCGACTGCCCTCGACGGAATTGGATTCACTCGGTTTTCTTTTGCTCGATTTCGTTGCTCAGCGATGAAGTGAGAGGAAAGCGCAATGGAAAGAATAATAAGGAAGCAAAACTAAAACAACGCTTCAACTGCCGCGGAACATCCCCTCAGAAGGAGAGGAAAAAGGCAAGCAGGACATGGAAGAAGCAAAGAAAGAAGAGAAAGGAAACTGCTCGTCTAACCGCAACTACCTATTCTTCGCCCGATCTGGTTGCCCGTCTTTTCCAAGTCACAACGTAACCATGTAGCTCAGATCTCGCATCAGTTCCGCTACCTAGGTAGACGGCGTGCTTAACACCGACTCGTCGTCGTCGTAGCTTGGGTCGCCGAGCAGTGGACCTCGTTCTTGACGGCCGAAAGAGACGGTCGAGGGGCGGGGCGACTGGGGCAAGATAGACGACGAGAACGGGCAACCAAGCCGGGGATATTGGCTGCCCAGGCTTGGGAGACGAAGCTGTGGCCGATGTGACTAGATGTGCCCGAGGGTATCCTTGTGGCGCTTGACGTTGTCCTTCCTCCCCGAATATCCGCACGAGCACCAGTCCTCCTCTTTAGGCAGCCCACGCCTCCTAGCTTCGTCGGAATGATGGGTCCACATGTGTCGGTTCAGGTCCTTGTTCTCGGCCCCGCCCACGCCGCAGATGTCGCACCGTCGACGTTTGGTATGGTTGTTGACATGCTTACTGTGGATGTGGAAGACAAAGTTAGCTTCTCTACCGGGATCGGAACTGCCGACCGGGGCGGCGTGAAGAAAAGGAAATGCTCACTCTAGGTCGCACTGCCGGTCATACGACTTTGTGCAACCTTCCACACCGCACACGAAGGGCTTGTCGGCGGCAACAGCACCAGAAGATGGCCCCGCCTGAGCAGGGCCGCTGTCTGGGAGCCAGTACGGCTGGCTTGTGGTATCATCGGGGTATTGGGCGTAGTCGACGGGTTGTTGGTGGGCGTTTGTCTGATCCACAAGAGGGTCAGTAAAGTCCGGCGGCTGTGCGGTCCCAAAACCAGCTGTAGCGGGCTGGGCGGAGAGCGAGGCGTCTTGATCGGGCCAAAACGGCGGCGGATCGGCGTTTGCATCGGTGGACATGGCGAGGTCAGAAAAGCGAGCATCGAAGTCCGGGTCGATCCCCGTATTGTCGGCGTTAGGGTCACTCATATCTCTGGGTTGAGGCATGTAAACACCTTCGGCGAGACTGGCAACCCCCAAGACCGATGAACAAGGGCTCTGCTGGCTTGGCCCGTGGTAAGGTTGTTGGGTGGGGGGGGATGGCCAAGGAGAGGAAGATGGAGATTCGTAAGATACTGGAAACGGCGTACTGACATAATAAGGGGGCTCTGCCAAGGTACCCTCTGCTGAGAAATCCGCGGGGGGAGGGTGCGAAGTTAAGAGCCGAGGGTCGATGGTCCCTTGTTCTGGGTTCCAACCCGCGGCAAAGGGATTGGATGCTCGTGGAGCTCGAGACCCATGCCTGGACCTCGCACGAGAGGATGAATGCAGAGGCATCTTCACCACTTTCCTGACAAGGATGGCGGGTATGTATGTTCCGAGTGGTCAGATGTTTTGGTGCCCAAGGCGCCTGTCGGTACTGATGCGCGCCTGGACGGCAGTGGCAGGGTTTGTGCTAGTGTTAGTTGGAACTGTATCGATACAGCTCAGTAACCTGTACTTTACGATGAACACAGCGTAACGGAGACAGGATAACACACCTTCTATGGCACTGTGCGAGGCTGGTTCAGTTAAACGAGAGGGATTGGAAGCTCTGTTTGCCCCCGGTGACCTTTGGCAAACAGCTTCGGATACCAGCATGACTGCGAGAAGCGCAACTCAAATACAAAGACCCCATCGCCTTGCCAGCGAGGCCGTAGGCCACAAGTTGGAGGCATTCCGATGAATCTGGTATACGGCCTCCAAGCGTCCCGTAAGACTCTTGGAGGCTGATAACGAGGCAATACAGAGAGCAGCCCCATCTGGGATCCAGATCTGCAGTGAGGCCTAGGGGCAGTGAGGCCTACGGCAGGAAATAGCGGAACACCAAGCCAGGGCTCCGCGCGTTGTTTGAGTTTCGGCCAATCGGGTATGTGTTAGCTGCCGACTGCCTCCTGTTTTGAGAACTCGCCAATAAGGCTCTTGAGTCAGATTGTCCAACAAGTCAGTTTTCACCGAAACCCACCATGAAAATCGGAGTGGTGAGGTCTACAAGTGGGCCAACGGGGGGCATACGATGACGTGCGCCCTTATGCCGTGGCGTTCGTCACAGGAAAGTAACCTAGGTGCCTAGGTATGTACATTCACGGCCTCCATGCAACCGAAGTGAGACTCTCCAGGCGAGGCAGTTTACATTTTTCCGTCTGCCGCGCCGCCAAATATGTGCAACACTCTACACGGCGTCCATTGGTGTGTCACAAGCCAGAAGGCTACTTGGGAGACATGATCAACTGGAAGCTGCGGCGGGGGAATGGTGATAAAACCACGGAAGGTCATGAGCGGTAGGTAGCATCTAACCCGAAAGGTAGGTAGGGTTTTGTAGCTGCCTCCGGCGTCTTCCACGGCGGTGATTCCCCCCGCCGAAAGTACCTACCTAAGGAAAGCAATGCCCGTCGATACGGGGCTTAATGTGGAAGCCCGTGAAATAGGTAATTTTCCGTAGGACTCAAAACTTTGAAGTCTATTCAACGTCAGCAGAATTCCCAGGCCGTCTCCTCCAAACGTCAAGAACCACGAAGTCCGCATTTAATACTATTCCATCACTATTATCTCGGTATTTATCGCTCCATCACACAATGTCCTTACCCAGCGTACGGCCGTCTGCGTCCTCGGCTTCCAATGCACCTGCTGGAGATGACCGAGACCACAGGCAGCGCGAGAACGACAATGTCGCAACACCCCGCGACGTACCAAGCACAGCCGATAATTTCGAGCCCGTGTATTGGCGTTGCAGCAAGACGGAATGCAACCCAGGTGGTGTACAGGGGTGGCTGAAGAAGATTCGAGATCGGAACGCCAACGGTTTTCCGATTCTTGACAAGATCTGCCACCTAGGCTTAGCTGTTACTCAGGTTGCACACTCCTACCGCATACGATTGAGCTACACGACGTCTGCCCAGGGCGATCTGCTGCAGTGGCACGAAAGCGACGCAGACCATGCGCTGCCAGCCGGGGAGAAATGCCTGGCGTTACCACATAGGCCCTTCACCAAAGAGCCTTGCAACTGCAGCCAGGACAGCACAAGTCTTCTCCGCAACAGCAAAAAGACATGGATTAGCCTTCTCGGTCGCTTATGCTTCTTTCACCAACGGCTCACTCCCCACGCCTGGTCTTGTTGCACACATTACCAGCACTCGTCCCCGATACCCATGTCCTTCCGAAACGAAGGTTGCCATGGTTGCCGCACATATCTCAGGGACCGAACATGTACTTCATGCTTCCTTGTAAACTCTTACGCCGAGCCCCTGGTGTACTTGAACGAGGGGCTCTACACCAGCCCGCATGGGTCGCACCCGTAAAACAGCTTCATGATGTTCATGTGCACGTGGCCCCACGAGTATCCCGCGTCCTACCCTTAATTACAGCGGACCACTGACAGCTTCCCTGACCTATCGAATCGGCTTGGAAATGACGGGACAGTACGGGCCAACGGTTAACAGAATCAGCTTATTTCTACAACCTTTAGAACGAGGAGCGCTCCACCGGATGGGGGATGTTTCGGAGCATCATATCATGCGGAACACGATCCTGGCAATCAGGGGCATCTGTGATGTGTGGGGGCCGCTATTGAACCCTATTAATGCGGCGGCGGGTGGAATGAATTAGGGTTGAGTTGGTTCTCCTAGAACTATGCTGTATCATTAACTGAGCAGACTCCAGCGACCGGTTTTATGTGGCAGGGCAGAATTCCGTAGACTATCAGAATCAAGCGTCGTTATTCAAGTCAACAACGAGATCGAGGAGAACACTCCCAAGTCTCTGATCGCCCGGGCAACGTCTCCGGGACGAGCAATACCGGTGAAAACGGGTCACCCTGGCCCCCTGAAATATGTGATCTGGAAAGGCTCAGGGGCCTCGGCAGGAATTCATGTTATCACGAAAATATTCGCTACCTACTAGCTACCTACTCGAAGTAAATAGTGCTGGAAACCCTTTGGGACTTTCTCTACTAGACCGGGATATTCGACCTGTCATGGAATAGGCTCAAGGGCATCTAATTTGGATGGCGTGGAATCTATTTGATGCCTGGTTCATCTACACAGATACAGTCTCGTCGTCCTATGTACATCTTTTCCCCGAATGTAGTTTGAATCCCTAGGCACTACCCTAAGTGCTCCAGGCAACACCGTCGACTGCCATCTAGACGGCGGGCTCAACAGCCTGAGGGTAGTAGAAGAGGTCGGTAGGGTCAATCTGCTTCTTGATGTCCCTCAGACGGGGCAGGCTCTGCCTGTAGTAGACGTCCTGAGCCTCGGTCCGGCTCATGCGGGGGTCGGCGTAGTTGACGTACATCCCCCAGTCCTTGCCCAGGCCTTGGGTGAAGTTGCCGACCCAGCCGTCGAGGAACGAAAACCCGTTCTCGGGGTAGTCGCCGAACATGGTGCGGTCGTACAGCTCGTAGAGGAAGAGGTGCTTCTTCGGGTCGCGGTACGCATACGAGCCTGCCTCGGTGGGCACCTTGGTGATGGCCGAGTTCGGCCCGCCATACAGGTCGATGATGAGGAACCAAGTGCGGGTGTTCAGCCGGGCGACCTTGGTCCAGTAATCGGCGACGTTCTGCAGCACATCCTCCGGGAGTGCGGGGGTAACCAGGCTCTTGGAGTAGAAAGTCTCGACCTATTCGCTCGTGTTAGTTTTTCGATCCGGAGTATTATTCAATACAACCCAGGGGGTTAAGGGGCACGCCATACCTGCTCGTACGGGCGGGTGATATCAATCTCGTCGCTGTAAGCGTAGTTCTCAAAGGCTCCCATCCAGTCGGTCTCCTTGACATCCGACACGTTCGCGTGCAAGTTCTTGAGGAGTGGCTTGAGCGCGGCCTTCATATCACAGGCGTTGCCGTAGTACATTCCTTGCAGCTGGGTGCCGCTCCTGTCGCCGAGAACCCGCATGTTCATCTTCTCCGGCATGCCACCGGATCCGAGCCAGTCCTGGATGTGTCCCCATCCCTTGACGATCGCCGTGGAGTTGCTCCAGGGCAACCTCACCTGGTAGGTGGTGACATTTTCCGGCGCGGCGAAAGTGTTGAACTGGAAGGAGGCAACAATGCCAAAGTTGGATCCGGCGCCCTTGAGGGCCCAGAAGATATCCTTATTCTCGGTTTCGGAAGCGTTAACGGCAGTGCCGTTGGCGAGAACCACAGTCGCACCGACGATCCAGTCCACCGCCAGGCCGTGCGTGTGCGAGCTGAAGCCAAAGCCGCCGTGCAGCGAATGTCCACCAACACCCACACTGCCGTGATGAGTTCGATGTTAGAAATATCAAAAAGAAGGTACACAGGTTCATTCGGCGTTGCAAAACATACCCAGGGCAGGTTCCGTGGCTGAAAGCCCTCTTGCCTTGCTCATAGATCAGCGTCGCAACGTGGCCGAGACGTGCGCCTGGCTGAACCGTCGCAATCTGGGTCTCGGTGTCGAGCGTGACGTTGTTCATGCGGTCGAGCTGCACGACAAGATGGCCGTCCTCGCCACCAAGGCCGAACGACGCATAGCTGTGGCCACCCGACTTGGGGTTCACCTTAAGGCCAACCTCGGCGGCACACAAGACGGCAGCTTGGATGTGCTCCAGGGTAGTCGGGACGGCGATGGCAGCGGGGAGGTAGGGGAGTCTCTGGTTGAAGGGGTTGACGTCGAGCTCCCAGTCCTCCGAATCCGGCGCGTCGACCGGGACACCGGCGGCCTCGAGACACTCGTCAATGGCGGCTCTCTTGGCATGCGGGTGGGCAGCGGCCAAGACCGCTGCCGTGGTCGAGAGGGCGAACGTGAACCGCATTGTTGGATGTGCAAGCAGAGTAACGTAACCCTACTATGGAAGCTGGTACGTTGGGTGGCCCTGGGAGCAGAGGGATAATAACCTGCCTACATATATGACATGTCCTACAAGTACGTACCTTTAATATTCGGTTTCCACGGCTTCGGGACTCCACATGGAACATTCTGCGCAATTATCCAGCGACAACCCCACGCGGCATGACCGTCGTCAGCTCAGGATCAAGTGTAACCCAAGACAACACTCAGCCGACGGTTATGTCGACCGGACTGCCGATGTTCCTGGAATCGTGGTTTGAGATACAGGAGAGCAGAAATCCCGAACCAATCATTTACACACCAAGTGGGCCAATAAAGTGATCCTCCATGCGAATCAGCAAAGGATCTGCGTCATCCCCTCGAGGGGACCTGGTACTCGGAAGGACTTGGCGTCCACAAGAAGATATTAGTGGGAACATCACTTTGGGGAGTGGATAATAAGCAGGTCCATCCTCGAGCCATGAAAGCTGGGGTAACTCGGACGCTTGCGCCACATGCGTGCAGTCAATGAAGTGGAAAGCGGCCCGACTAAATCTCTAACTACATGTTGTGGGGGCGGACGTCTTCTGCGGACTTCAGGGGGGTGCCGGGAATCCGAGCTCGGCTCGGCCCGTGGTAGCAATACGGATAGAGGCCGTCGACGAAGTCGCAGCGGAGAAAACACTACATGCGAGTAGGTGACCATTGAGTGCGGGAGTTTATCTGGTTGATTTCGGGAATTTAGAGTGGAAGGACGATCCTGAGATGACGACTGGAGAAGCACCACTCCCTCGAGCGTATTCAACACCCGTGGCCATGGAACTTGTAGGGCTAAATGTCTCACTCCATGTCGGCTCGCGGCTCTTCCCCGGAGCATTTAGAACTTGGAGTCAAACAACTCCGCACGTCAACCGTTGGGCCATCTGATGCAGATCACGCCGAAGTCATCGAGGCCACTGACGGGGTCTGCTCATGCTGCTTCGGCACTTGGACGGCATGGTGCGGGAAGCCTTGCATCCGGCACTGACTTGCCTGCAGCTTGAAGCCAGGCAGTCTGCCGTGCCACGTTGGTTGGAAACGTTCCTAAGCACAACAAGGAGCGTTACATGGCTGGAAACATCAAGCCTTTCTGCTCACCAACTCGGACATGCCGTTGCAAATCTTCTGCACCTTGCCCGTTTTTGGAGGACAATCAGAATGATCGTCGATCCCAGATCGGGATAAAAAGGTTGGAGAAGCTTAAACAAGCAAACTCAACTACCGGGAGCCAATCGAGGGCAAAATGGTATCCTTGGTGTTTGACGCCACATCCCCCCCAGAGAGCTATGGCGTCGGCATATTGGCCTGTCACTCGATGGAATGCAAGGACAGGGTTGCCATGGCGGTCAGCAGAGGGCCACAAACAACACCAACTTCACGAAACGGTCTCGACTCCGGCCTTCTTGGTCGAGCTATCGGTTTTTCGGCTTGCATTATCATGCCGCGCCGTGTCTGTGATTCCGCAACGCGGGACAGGAAGACCGGGGGAGGGTTGATGTTAGATAACTCTGCAGCTATCGCCCTCTGGGCCATGAAGCTGGCGTTCCTCACTAGATATCATTTTTGCTCCGCGCTTTGCGTCAAAGTTCGAAACTTTGAACCTCCAACCACCGGCCACAGCCATTCTCAGCATCATCAATAAGAGCACTATCCTATTGGAGAGCACAAAGATATATACCAGGTACCCTCGGCAAGCACTACTGGCTGGCTGCTGTACAACTTTGAGTGAGACAACTTGGCGAAGCCCACATTCTACACCGAGACATTCCAGCTACCGCTTAGCGGTACGGATGATCTTGTGCTTCCCAGGGCCATGTTACTGAGATCTCGGTGATCCAATACATCCAGGTATGTACTAGGCTACCTCTTGGTTTATGGTGCGGCCTAATATAATCGCAGAACCACACCCAAACTCCTTTCGAACACTTGCCACCCTGCTCGGGAGGGATGAAACTCCTCCTCCCTCGCCAAGAACCCAATCCATCGCCCCTATCCCCAGGGCTTCCCGAGCACAGTGAATTCGACCCCGACGACTACTGCGCCCGCCGCCTCGCCGGCCTCGAAACCGGCCCGATACCTGACATCGGACCCGGCACCGCAGCCGCCATTTGGGTCCTAGTCGCCCTCGCCACCTCGTTTCTTGGTCTGCGCATCTACTGCAAGATATGGCGGTCGCGCGGCATATGGTGGGATGATTTGGTCCTGATCATCAGCTGGGTATGCGACCCTCTCTCCTCCCCTTCCCCATGCCACACCATCCTGAACCTACCCCCCCCCCCCCCCCCCCCCCCCGCCCAACCCAAACTAACCCCCCCTTCCCTCACCACCAGACCATGTTCCTCGCCTCCTCCATCATGTCCCACCGCGCCATCACCCTCGGCCTCGGCCGGTACGCGTGCGACATCCACCCGCCCACCAACCTCAGCCGAATAGCATTCGAAGGCGGCGGGCTCGGCTCCCTCTTCACCGTGCTGGCGATCGTGTGGTCCAAGACGTCCTTCGGCATCACCCTGCTGCGGCTGGCGCGCGACCGGCTGCGGTGGGCGCTGGGCGGCGTCGTGGTGGCGATGAACGTGGCCATGGGCCTGCAGGCTGTCTTTGTGTGGGTGCGCTGCGATCCGGTCGAGAAGAATTGGCGGCCGGAAGTGGGGGGGAGGTGTTGGGAGCGGGAGGTTAGTAATGGGTATGCCGTGTTCTCGGCGGTGCTGTCGGGGGTGTGTGATGTGTTGTTTGCGTTGTTGCCGTGGTATCTGGTGTGGGGGTTGAGGATGCGGAAGAAGGAGAAGATTGGCGTGGTGGTGGCGATGAGTATGGGGGTTTTGTGAGTACCTACTCTCTCTCTCTGTGTCGTTATTTTCTCACTCGAGAGCCGAGGTATGGAGGGTGCAGGTGGTTCCTTAACTGACAAAACGTGTTCTGTAGTGCTGGGATAACCTCCTTCGTCAAGTCCGGGCATATTCGGGACATGGGGTCCAAGGATTTCACTCGTGAGTCCCCCCCGCCTCTATCTGTTATCTTTATCGTGTTGTTAATGGGTTGTTGGCACAGACGACGGGTGTTACTTGATAACATTGGCCACAGCCGAGATCGCCACGACTATAATGGCATCCTGTATCCCGGTGCTGCGCGTTCTATTCCGCGACCTGCGGGACGTCACGCCCACGGAGATCAGCTGGACAGGCGTTCTGCAGCACTACCACTATCATAAGTCTGACAGCACTGGGGAGACAACAAAAGGGGTCGTCCGCAGCCCAGCTGATGCAAGCGTCCCCGCCGAAGACGGGAATGGTGGTAACCCGCAAGAAACCCCAGACCAGCCCGACCAGAGGCATAGCCGGACGGCCCCTAAGCTCTGGAGGACCTTATGGGACTTTAGGAAAAGTGCTGGGTCACGAACCAAACCGCCGATAAGAGTGTCACCGGCAGCTGACGCAACCCCAGTAGCACCATATGTTGCCGCTCAGAACATCAGTCAGAGGGTGTTGGTGTGTGTCTCAGGCCAGAGCACACCATCCGAAGGGGCACCAACAGAGGGGGTGATCGTGCAGACACAGGAGTTCGAGATCAAGTACGAAGGAAGAAGGCCACGGACGGGGAGTGCGGCGGGTTATGAGATGGAGAGGATTGAGATCCAACAGGCGAAGTGATACTGTCGGCCGCTAGTGAGGCTTTCTTGGGCCGTCCTGCCCCTGGATGGCCTCTGCTATTTACATGTGTGTTATGACTTTCGACGAGAAACACCCAAGATAGAAGCCTCGTGCGCTCACGCTGTGGATTCAATGTCAGTAATGAGAATAGACCAACGGGCTTGGCTCGATTTCACTAATCTGAGGTTTGTTCACATCCCTATTCTATTCTATTGACGAGTTGACATCCGTGTCCCGGGTCTGTCAGGATTCCTCCTTGCCTGCCTCCTGTTGTCCCTTGCTGCCGGTAGCCGTTGTATCCTTAGCTGCCTCCTGCTTCTTTGCGGCTCTGTCTTTGGCCATTTGTTTCCTGCAACCTGTTAACCTCACGCCTCGAGTGTAGACACAAACCGAGGGTGAAGAGGCTCACTCTTTCTCCCTGATCCATTGGTCCTCCGACGCCTTTCCGCGATCCGAGAGCGGGTTTGGGTCCATCTTCAACTTCAAGATGATATGGACTGGGTGGATGACGTGGAAGTTGAGGATGTCACAGAAGTTGTTTTGTGGAAGTTGCGTTGGACTCGGGTGAATCTGTTCAGGTTGAATCTGAGCGTCGGCCTTTCTCGTTGGGCTGTTTGGGCACAAATGGACGCTGAATTACTTGGGGGTTGCGTAGGTCTGGGATTTTTACCTATTTACCCCCTACTCCGTAGGGGGGGCGAAAACTGTGGGACACGATAAAAAACCTGGGACACTTAATCCCACAACGCGTAAAAACATACCCATTTTCCCATACAAATCTATACTTCGAAATACATTCCATATCCACTACAATCGTATCTGGTATATCTCAAGCCCTTTTTACCATCTACTGGTATATACCGGTAGGCCTATTAGGCCTTTTACTAATTATTAGCCTATAGCCTATTTCGCCAATTGTATAATGCGCCCCCCCCCCCCCGCAACGCGATATCCCTATTATAACCTGCCCCGAAGCTCCCTATACGCTAGTTAATGGATTGCGCGCTGCGAACGCTATTCTTCGAAGCGAACGGCGAACTCGGTCTGGCTATTCTCTTTCAGTTCGATAAGCGGCTCGACGATACGGATCTTTAAAAAGCGTTGTTGCGCGTTGTGCGAAGGCGTTGTATGCTGGGCTATCTGGGGATTCCCCTCTAGGTTTTGGGTAGCCCTGTACGCTTACTTATACCGAGGAGGATACGATATAGGTATATATTATCTTTTACTACTATAGATGCTTTCTAGCGTTATCTAAAATAGTTATTTGTATAGCTAATAAGCTGTACGAACTATATAGGATAATAGGTAAGCCTCTAACAGTCTAGTAGCTATAGTAGTTTATAGATAATAATTTAGATCTCTTCTTTAAGAAGTATACTATAGTTAATATTAAATAGTACCTCTTTAAACTAAATTATAACTCTATTAATAAGTAGTTTAATTAGTATAAAGCTATATTAGTAAAGTTTAAGATCTAGGTATATAATATCTAGAATATTAATAAAGTAAATATCTATATTAGAGTAGTAAGAAGTAGTACTATTAGGGTTATTATCTTATATAAGATAGTTAAATATAAGGTTAGTTTTATTAAAAGCTGTTTAGTTATTAATACTAACTATCTTTTAGCTAGAGATTAGTAATCTAGCTAATAGAGAGTTTTATACTCTAATCGCTTTAGTTAATATAATAGGTAAATAGATCCCTCTATATACTATCTTTAAGGCTAATCCTATTAAAGAGTTTATCGATAATAACCTTAACGATATAATCTGCTTTACTAAATCCCCGACCGGCTTCTTAAGTACTGAGCTTACTATAGACTAGCTTAAGCTCTTTAATCGCTATTCCTTTAAATATTTAACCTTCTTTCTAAAATACTCCTTTAAGGAATAGTTCGGATATAACAAATATAGCAATTCTCTTTAGACTAGTATAAAGGTTTCAGACCCTGCCTATACTATAGGTATAAGGATAAACTATAGTATAATATAAATATATCAACTGTTTATTATCGACGGCTTTAGTAGGTACTATAACCTAGCTATTTATAACTATATAGTAGTATTTAATATTAAGATTATAGACCTTCCTACCTACAGTATCTATATTATATAGCTACTTAATATTAATATATTCTCGTTCTTAAAGGCTATCTACTATTAAACCCTAGAGTTCAGATTACTAGTGCTGTGGCCATCTGGGGGGCTCTACAGTACTGTAATTGAATTCGTATAGCCTGTAGCTATATACTGGTATTTTGGTTGTAGCGGTACGATTACTGGGTGGCTAGTTATCTTAGCTTGAAGAAGGTTGGTTCTTCTTTTCACTAAGTGTTGGTTTCTCCTGAATCGAGCTACCCTATACCTACCCTATACCTAGGTTTCCTAAGCGAGCTACCCTACACCCAGTTGTTCCCAACTGGCCTACCCTACACCGCTTGGCATCCTAAGCAACCTACCCTATACTGTAGTTAGCTCCTAAGCAGCCTACCCTATATTACTTGGCCCTAACCGGCCTACCTTATACCGGTTTTTAAGGTAGTAGTGTAAGTAGGCCCGGGCACTTCTGGGTGCGGCTGCGAGTAGGTGAGCCCATTTTTAGTTAAACCTATATAAATGAGTTTTACGGGATTTAGTTTTTTACCGCTAAGACCGTTGGGCCGAATTCGGTACTACGCCCCGGTCGGTAGGTATATAAGAAGGAAGTAGTAAATCCAACTCCAGTAGTTAAGATAGTAAATATAGAGGTATTCCTAAAACAATAGTAGTTTACCTACTAAATTAACTACTATTATAGGGCCTAGGCCCTATAATTACTGCTGGTAGCTAAGTAATAGTACTGTATATTGCTTCTCTAAAGTGTATTATAAGCTCTGTTAGTGTATGTACTATAGGGCCTTACCTATTTAAATCTTAATAGGTTATAAGCCTGGAAAAGTACTATTTCCAGCTGTAGGTTTATAAATTGCCCTATAATTTAAAGCCTTTAAATGTTATAAGCTTAGCCTGTTTCTACTATTTATAGTTTAGAATCTCTAAATTCTTTGTTTCTCTAAGCTAGAAACTACTATAGGAACTTCGACCTATAGATAGACCTCTTAGTATAAGGTTGTTAACTATACTAGATAGCTGATAGTTAATATAGAGCTTCTAGGGGCCTATATTTTAACTTTTCTAACAAAGCCTGAAACGTTGGTTTTCTCAAAGAGATAGAAAAATCTAGCTTAACTTCGAAAGTGTGACGAACCTGTCTCTGGACCCGTCCTGTTAGGGTTCAGTATCGGTCGAAGGTATTCTCTCAAGGGTGCTTAGGTTCGGTGCAGCCAAAAGGTGCACAACAAAGACTTGTCTCAACAGTAGGCTCTCGATCTTGTAGCGAACTGTAGTTGTGATTGCTAACTGGAGAACTCCCAGAGCTCTCCAGAACGAGTGACTATATACTATCTAAGTCCATAGGTACCTTCGTACTTTTCCCTAGGAACATAGGGAACGGTAGCCGTTCCCTTCGTTCCTTATGGCACCTGAGGAACGGTAGTCGTTCCCTCCGTTCCTCTGCTGATTGGCCGGAGGCCCATTCTTAATGATTGGCTTGGGGCGCTTCCCGCGCAGCCCCCACATAGCCCTGCATGCGACCATGACCGTGACACGATGCCCCTCCTCCAGGTCTTGCGTCCCGAAAGACTTGCCAACCTCCCCATCCCTTAAGTAGCGCCAACAGCCCGAATCCCAGGTGGGTACTCTTCTTCCTTTACCCCCTTACCCTGCTGATCATCATGGGGAATCGCGTGGAGAAACCCACCAGGTCGTTGACCGCTGAAAAGAAAGCTGAACAACGCGACGCCCTTCTTGAAGCCATCCTCCGAAACGCCATCACCATGAAGCGTTCCTGTTCCTTCTGTGAATCTCGGGGTTACACGTGCAAGGCGTCTCCCTCCGACTCCGCGAGTTGTTATGAGTGCGTCTCTCACCATGAGCCTCACTGTGACGCTCAAGGCGTTACTCTGCAGCAACTGCGTCGTATCACTAGCCAGTACGATAAGTTGGACGCTGAAATGGAAGAAGCCGAGCGCCAACGGGCTGAACTGGACGCGAAGATAAATCGTCTTCGTCTCTCGAAGAAAAGGTGGTCTGAGAAGATGTCTCGTGCCTTATCCCGTGGTGTCACTACCATCGAGGATTTGGAAGAACTGGAGCGGCAGGAAACAGAAGAGTCGAAGCGACGAGAGGCTGAGAATGCTGCTGCTCAGTCAACAGTGGAGCCTGTTCCTGAGGAGGCTTTGTCCGACCCTTCCTGGGTTCCGAGGTTCGTGTTTGCCGTGTTGCGTGGCGTTGGTTCCTAACCGTTGCTTAGTGCTTCCTTCGCCGACTTCCCTGCCGACTTCGACTGGTCCTTGACGCCTCCTTTGGTCGATCCGGGTTCCTCTGGTGGAACTCCTGGAGTTTCTCGGGGCAGTTGAGATTCGTAGCTGGTTGCCATGAATTGTCTTCTGGACCAAAGTCCAGCCACTTGACCAAATACTCCAACTGTCCTTTCATGATGCGTGAGTCTAGGACTTCCTCAACGTCCCATTCCTCCTCTTCATCTTCTGCCTCGGCGTCCTTGTCGAGTCGTGCGCCCTTGGGCGCTGGTTCCAGAAGCGAGATGTGGAAAACGTTGGTCCGTAGTCGCATTGTCGAGGGTAACGCGAGTGCGTAATTGTTCTCCGAAATCTTTTTGTCGATTTTGAACGGCCCGATTTTGCGGAAGTCGAGCTTCCTGCTTGGTCGTTTTGTGCGAAGATTTCGAGAAATGAGGTAAACTTTGCCCCCCTCTTCTAGGCGAGGTCCCTCGAGCCTGTTTCTGTCGTAGAACTTCTTCATCCTGGTTCGTACGAACTCGAGTTCCTCCTTGAGCATCGCGTGCAGCGAGCTCATCTTGTCGGCTTTGACTGCCGCTCTGGGCACCGAAACCTCGGGCCCTTGTCGCAAATCTGCTTCGTAGCCGTAATTCGCGAAGAATGGCGTGACCTTCGTGGTCTCCGTGACGGTGGTGTTGTAGGCGAGTTGTGCCGTTGGCAACAGCTCGACCCAGTCATCCTGCTGGAAATTGACGTACAACCGTAGGTATTGCTCGACGACCTGGTTGAGTCGTTCCGTCTGTCCATCCGTCTGTGGGTGGTAAGCGGTTGAAAGCTTACTCTTCGTACCCAATCTTGTCATCAGAGCCTGCCAAAATTTTGATGCGAACTTGGTGTCCCTGTCTGTGATCCATTCCTCCGGCCATCCGTGGACCGAGGTGATGTTGCGGTAGATCACATCTGCGAGTTGTTCTGCTGACCATGTCTCCTTGTAAGGGAGGAAGTAACTCCACTTGGTGAGTCTGTCCACCATTGTGAGGATGCTGTCGTATTCCACTCCCGTTACTGAGTCCTTGGAGACTGGCAGTTTGGTGATGAAGTCCATCGTCACCGAGCTCCATGGTCGTTCTGCGACTGGCAATGGTTGCAACAGCCCATATGGTTTGTGTCGTCCTGGTTTGCTTCGTCCGCAGCGGTCGCACTCTGCTAGGACTGCTTCTGTCGCCTGTTTGATTCCTGGGAAGTCGTAGTTCTGCTTGACTTTCGCGATTGTCTTGCCGATTCCCATGTGTCCCCCGAGTCTTGACTCGTGGATCTTCTGAATGAGCTCCTTTTGGTCACCAAGC